ATCTATCTATCAAGAAACTCCAACTCCAGATCTCACAGGGCCATTCCCCATCCACTATCCCCCATCCCAAACACCACTCCAACCTCAACCCCATCCCAAACACCACACCGCACCACACCACTCCCCTCCAGCACATCAAAACATCATACATCAAAACATCACACATCAAAACATCACAAACCAAACCCAAACTAAACCAATCAAAACCAGACTAACACCCTCCCCCCTCTCCCCCCAAAAACAGGCTGCATAATAAACATCTCCTCACTCCTCGGTCTAAAAGGCGGAAGAGGCAGCGCCGCATACGCAGCCAGTAAAGCCGGTGTTCTCGGTATGTTTTTTTTTTTTAACTACTTTCCTATTTTTAATACTCACCTCTTACCTCTCTCCCTCTCACCCCTCACTCCCCTCCAAATCCCCAAAAACCCATCCCAAAAAACTAACCCCCCCAGGGCTCACCCGCGCTCTAGCAGCCGAAATGGGTTCTGCAGGTATAAGAGTCAATGCGATTGTGCCTGGGTATGTTGAGACGGATATGACGAGGGGTATGTTTTGTTATTTATTTTTATTTTTTATTTCTTTTTTTCACTTCTGTGTTTTGCTTTTGATCTTATTTTATTTTACTTTATTTTATATATTACATTCTACTTCCTTTTTCCACGTTCCTAGCGCTGGGGGTTTGTTTATTTTACTTCCTCATATTTCTTCCTCTCTTTTCAGTCAGTTGATAAATTATATCTTCATATACCGACCGCTGTATCAAGTGATACCTCATTATTTTTCGACGTGGTAAAATGAATAGAGATGATGGATATATATTCATTTTGATTCGCTTATTTATATCACGTTGTGCTGTTCTGGTATTCTGTTTGTTATTCTATGCACCAACTCCAGTCCCTCATCCATCTTCGCAAATTCATTTTCAACCTCCCATTTTTATACGAACCCCTCAAATACCACACCACACCACACCATCCGCACCCTAAAATATTTGAATAAAGCCACTTCCCTCACCCCTTACTCACCCTCATCTCAAATCTCAAAATCTATTGTACAAAACCTCACATCTTACACTGCTTAAAAAAAAACGAAAAGAGAAAGCCCAACTAACACGATCAAAGCCATGACCGATCTCGCTCGTAAAGAAGCACTAAACGCCATTCCCCTCTCACGTTTTGGAGATGTCAATGAAATAGCCGATGCTGCCGTCTTTTTAGCGAGAAATAAGTATGCCAACAATTGTGTGCTCAATCTTGATGGTGGGTTGAGCGCTATGTAACTTTTGGGCGAAGAGGGTATCTAAATAACTTGATCGGTGGAATAAATTGTATGGTTGTTCGAGGACAGTTTAAGGGACCTGGAAATGAAGATGGTCGAATGAGGTGAGATGGGTTGAATGCAAATACTAAAGATGATTGAATTTAGATGGATGTAAACATCTAATCATCATCAATCATAATAGCACCATCATTGGCATCATCTAATACAATAATACCATCATTCAAAGCAGCCATTGACATATCGCCAGAACTCGATGAAGGCTTTGGCCGCTTTGATGTAGTTGAAACATCATTACCGAGGGCATCAGATGCAGTTCTCTTTTTGACACCATTAGAATTGGAATTTTGAGGTTCTTCCCCACTGATGGTTTTGACGTGACCATTTGTAGCTTTGCCTTCCGCTGAAACTGTGGGTTCTGGTTCCCGAGCGGGTTTCTTGCGGCGGGGAATGGGCGATTCAGGAGGAATGGAGGCGGGTTCTTCGGTAAGGAGTGAGGCGGCGGGAATCGAGGGGTTAGCGTGAATGTCGAGACTTTTTATAGGAGCATCTTCCATTGTGGTATCGCTGTATGATTGTTAGGATATGGACAACGGCAGTGATATGACTTTAGACCTACGATTCTTGTACATTGAGTACGAGATTAACTCTAGGACCTTTTGGATTTTCATCATCTTCATCAATTACGGTTAAGAAGGAATCTCCCTTGATACCTGCACATCATGTCAGTCAGTTACTACAAACGTCAAACAAAGCAAACGTACCAAGTTCACTAAGTTTCTTATCCAAATTCTCCGTCTCCTCAACATCATAAAGTAGTCCACTTTCATTGTTAACCACAAACTCTTCTCCATACCCAAGTTGAAGTTTCAAGAAACCTTCGACAAGATCACCAAGTGTAGCTCTTGACATATCGACCAATACACGTGTTTGTGCCACACTGCATACAGGACAATCTGGATTTGGTTCTCGAAATTTGTCGGAGGAGAGAAGTCTTTCCGGGGCGAATGGAGATAGGAAGATCTACGCTTGTGAGTACATAATGTTGTCATTTAAAGTCATCGGGGTGACATACCTCTTTACTACTCGAGTAATCACCACGAAGAACTTTGAATGATTGTAGAACGCAAAGACCGGCTACAATAGCATTTGTGGTTGCAATAGCAGGGATGATATTACCAGCCATTTGCTTGATATCAAATCTAGATTTGGTTTCGATACCAAATACGATAGATCTCAAGTTAGCGCTTGCCGTGACAAAATCCAGAGTATCTTCATCGTCTTTATCGAAGGTAATTATTGGTTCTGCGGATCCAGCACCATTTGAGGTAGCTTTCATTTCTTGTAGTCTCTTACTCAATCGTTCCAAACTGATAGGGTCAGAATTGTTAATCCCAGATAGCGAGTGGGGAGTAATTTACCTATCTCTGAAAACAATGAGATTCTCATGTAAATTCCAAACTCGTTGGTCATCTTTGAGTACAGCTTGCTTTGTGGCCTCAATATTTCCTGCTTCTGCACTAAGGGTGGCGTAATCTAAAGCCTCAGGTGGCCGTCTAGATTTCCACATATCCTCCATAGATCTTAAACGAACGATGTCATCCTTATAGACCTTATCGAAGAGCAGTTGAGGAAATGCTTCAGTACCCATTGATTCTTTAATCTTCTTTAAAGCTTGAGACTCCAACCGCAGCTTTTCAATCTCCTTGGCTACCCAATGTCAGCAAGACACTTAGATATAGTACGAAGCAACAAACCATTTTCTGAATCTTCTGAATGATCCATCTCAGTCGATTCATCCTCACTAGCACCAAATACCTCACTTTTCTTTAACTTAGCAGAATTTCTTTTCCGCTCGTCGGGTCCACGTACCTCAATAAATAGCTCTTTCCCCAAACTATGCAATGAATAGGCTGACTTGGTGTACTTCGAATAGTGCAAACTGGAAAACTCTTTGGCGTTTCTTTCGTCGTGCAATCATAACATGCTGTCTTTCCCTTTTTAATAACCTGAACCTGTCCATTGAAACCAGTTGTTCCCGACTCGATCAGAGGTATATCCGCAGCCAAGCACATCTTGTTTACATGTCTCCTCGCTTCAAGATTATCCAAGGCATTGAAAACCATTGTAAATCCCTTGAACCAATCCACATTGAACTGTGAATCCTTAATATTCGCATGATGTGCCTCTAGCTTGACTTTGGGGTTGAACTTGTGCGCCGCATCTTTCGCAACCTGTATACCTCTGCATCAGCCCATATTCAGATCTGCTATACTTAAACAACATACCAAAGCCTTTGATTTCTTAATATGTTCATGGCGGAACAAGAATTGTCGATTTAAGTTGCTAAGATCGATAGTATCCAGATCCACGATGTGAATTTCTCCAAAACCAGCCAAAACCAAATTCTTGAGTAATTCGCATCCGATTCCTCCAGCTCCTACCATCAATATGCGTGCCTATTCAAGAAGTTTAGTTGGTAAATTCATTTTCAATGGGTTCCCGCAAAAGCAGGACATTCACACAACCAAGCGCTTAAAACAAACAGAATGCTATCAATGATTATAGCATATATATTTCCGCAGACGAGAAGATGAATACTAGAATCGCTAGATCTTACATAAACCACCATGTGAAATAAAAATAAAGCAAAAGTTGAAGTATTTCTCGCACTTCATAAACAAGATATTGTGGGCTTTGCGCTTACCTCCTTGACCATAATATTCAAAGGTTTCCCCAGTGACTGCGTGTTGAATTGATCGCGCATCATCTTGGCCATCATTCGTCGGTTCTTCGCGAACAGCGCAAGATATCGATTGACGATCCAAATAAAGGTTGAGTTGATTTGAAGAGAAGTTCAAGGCTGATCTTCAACTTCACACCGAGATGGTTCCTGAGGCTCTGCTTATTATTTCTAAGCTGTTCGACGTACCTTACCTTACCTCGTATCTACCTATAGGAATAAATCGCGATCGCGTTGATAGAGCTGGAAAACGCGGTTGATTAGATAAGCGAACTCTTATCGCTTTTATGGTCTGTGCATGATTTTATTGTTACAGTTGCAGTTGGTTGCACTTGCATGCTTCACTTAATTTCTTTTTTATGTTTTATGAGGAGGGGTGTACATGTTTGTTTCTTTTGGATACTTGCAGATGCTGATGATTCTATCAATTTGAGGTCTGAGTGTTTAGGCATGAGCTAACATTGTAGTTTAACATTGCACATATAGCTAGTATGACTCCAATATAAAAAGAAATTAACAAATTTCACTATTAATCGTTCCTGCCTTTACATTCTGTAAGGTTACCCACAGTTCATCCAAAAACGTCGAATTTTACACCTCGCCTACACCTCTTTCACCCATATACCACCTACCATACTCAACTCCCTACAAACCACATTGTCGCAACAACCACCTCAATAAATCCCATCTCAAAACTCTCCCAATCATGTCCGACGACGAAGCCGACCCCGAGCTCCTGGAGCTTCTCCGCCAACACTTCCGCAAACCCACCAGCCCAGAAACCCCCGAAACCCGCGTCCTCGAAAGCGCAGAATACGTCTACAACAACTCAATCGATGTAGCCCTCGACATGACCTCCACTAAAGCAGCCGCCGCATCCATCTATTCCCAAATGCAGAGGAAATCCTACTCCACCAAAACATGGTCATCACATGACCTACACCCACAAGCCAAAGACGAATCGACCGTAAACTTCATCTTCACCATGGACTTACTCAATTTCTCATTCTGGAGTATCCAGAACGAAGATGAACGGTTTGCGATTGAGTATAAGGGTAAGAAGTACACGGGATACTGGAGTTTAGTTGCGGCGCTGCAGAGGGGTTTGGAAGAGGGTTATCCAATCACTAGCTCGGATTATTGGCAAAATGAAGATGAGCTCACTGAGGATGTATTCGCGCATATATTTCGTTCGTGTACTGCTGAGCCCATGCCACTTCTTACTACACGTCTTATGCTACTTCGAGAAGTTGGGACAATTCTCTATGAGAAATACGATTGCGCTTTTATCAATTGCATAAAGGAATCTAATCACTCAGCAGCTGCACTGGTGAATCTCCTCGCAGCATCTTTTCCTTGTTTCAATGATGTTGTTTCCTTTGAAAATCGTAAGGAAGTACGATTACTCAAACGTGCACAAATATGTGTAGCAGATCTCTGGGCAGCTTTTGAGGGGGAAAGTTGGGGAGAATTTCACGATATCGATAAACTTACCATGTTTGCTGATTATCGCATTCCGCAACTATTAAACACATTGGGATGTCTATGGTATGCGCCGGCTTTAGAGAGTAAAATCAAAAGAGGCGAAGTCATTGAAAGTGGTCATAGTTGGGAGGTGCAGCTGAGAGGTAAGATTTCTCGTTTTATTACCCCTTTAAATTCCCAATCCAGTGTTCCTGGGATGTGTAGAAAATCTAAAATACTAATCTAACATGATAACTAATAGGTTGTAGTATTTGGTGCGTAGAATTGATTCGAAGAGAGATATTGAAGAATCATCCCGAGGCAAAAGTAAATGCTATTTTGATAGATTTTTTCCTGTATGACACGATGAAGGAGCGGGAATTGGAAGGAAAGGACGAGATACCCCATCATAGAACGAGAAGTATATGGTATTGACCAATGTAAATTAGATAGAATAGTATGTGACATGAACGCAAGAGATGTTTGCGAAACAACAATATAAATCCCAATAATATGTCCTTGACGCAAGAATTTGAGTCGTTGAAATGGTGGAGATTTATTTGTACAGATTTTGTATTTTATCCATCTGTTATACATATGCCAGTAAACCTTTCTCGGGCCCTTGTGATGCATCCATATGCCATACGCCGTAGGGCCATCATCCTCGTCTATGAACTCCAAAACGCCCTTTCACGCATAAATACAAATCCCCATTTTATACCTAGTATCTAATGTAAACGCCACTCTATGCAGGTATCTCATAAATACACATTTGAAAAGATTCGATCCGCAACAATATTCCCCCATCATGATACCATCCAATTCCACAGAGATCTTTTCCACTTAAACCGACGAATCAAATGATACAGGTGATACCCTTTCCTCGTTTGATAAATTCTCTTGTCGTTGCTTGAAACGAATAGTACGTTCTATGACATCCTCTTGGATCACCTCGTACTCTTGTTCTTCGGCCGGCAAGAGCTTATCTACTGGTGGGTCATATTGGAAGGTAAGGTCCCTGTGGGCACTCCTAAGTACCTTCCAGCCAGAGTTTGAGTCAATGGTGTAGGTCTTCCTGGCCACAAGAGGAGGATAGGATAAATAAATCTCCTCAGCCAAAAGTTTGATGTGGTGTTTCCTCTGGTTGACTTTGTACAAGATTGAGTTCAGTTTTCTCATCTTTCTCTCTGGATTCACATGAGGAAAGTCAAGCTGGAGTTCCTGTTCCAAAAGTTTGATATGACGTTTGCTCCTATTGATCACATCTTCGAGTACATTCATCTCTCGGAGACCGCTTAAGCGAAGAGATTGTGAGTTAAGTTTAATTCTCTGTTTCACGAGATGAAGGCGGAACACGAGACGTTTAATTTGCTTTGCACTCACATTGACCTTGGCGGCAAGATCAATTATGCGCTGCTCTCTTTCCTTCTCTATGTAGTAGATCTCCCTTTGCAAAAGGACGATGTGCCGTACACTCAGGTTTATCTGGTAGCCAATTATATGCAGTTTTTGCAGCCGTTTTAAACCCTCAAGAACAGCGATCCTGTGTCCGTAAGACATATACGGAGATTGCTTTAATCTGAGATGATATGTATACTTCCAGTCTCTAGGGAGTCGATCATAATGCAATGAAACCAGACACATCTCAGTCGAAAAAATGTTTGCGTTTGACAAGGCAACTTTGGCTTCCAAGCTTTGCAACATTACTCTTCTGGCCTGGCGGGCTGTTTGCCTAGCTTTCTTTGCTCGTGTTTTCTCCGTCGTTTCAAAGTTATCGAAAATTTCCAGGCATCGGTCAATACTAGACTGAGATGATTGATTCCGAGTTTCCTGTTTTTTCGGAATATAATCTCGGACCTGTGTATCTCCAAATTCGGAGTATTCGCGGTGCCAGGTATGAATAATATTGTATTTCGATCTTTTGGAAGATATATGGAGAATATCTTGTAGGGAATTTATACGAGCAACAAGTCGGTCAACAGAATCGCGTATCGGACCAAGGTTCAAGTAGAACAGAAGCCTTCCTAAATTCCACCGAGGAACATCTACTGGTAAATTTTGTGGTAGATCCCGTGACGGGTCAATTCCGCAAAGATATAAGAGTTCTCTCATGGCCCAGCGTGTACTCTTAGTGAGCGCAATGAGATCAGGCTTTTCTATATTTTCAGCCCAAGACTCTAATATTGACTTCAAAAGCGATTCTCCAGCAGCATGATCTACCTGGGCTACACAACTCCTCACAGCTTCACAAAGTGATTCCGGCCGAATTTTAATGTTTTGACGCAAGGATGCGCGAATGTACATGACAGCTTGCCTAGCGGTGGTGATATGGGAGCTGGTCTTGATAAGTGCATCGAAAATGGATTCGTCCCGTGGTACTTTTCGCAGAAGCCAACCATCTCTCGAAATCAATCTCTGGGCATGTTTCTCCGCCCAAGCTAAATATTTTGGATGCTCAAATAGTTGGTTCGGATGTCTGCGTGCGACTCTCATACTCCCGTCTACTGCCCTCATGCGCCTGATAATGCTTCGGTAGCCTTCTAGGTCATTCTTAACCGCATAATGATTCAGTATAACCTGAATGGTCCTTGGAGTAGGCTTGAATTTCGTGTCGTAGAGAAATGAATCAACAATTATCTGAGCGTGGTCATGAAGCATCAACTCTGTTAATTTTTCGATTAAAAAATTATACGTAAAAATGTTTGGCGACACTGAGCTTATGAGAAGGTTGTAACAGATCTTTGCCAGAATTAGGTTGAGATTATTCTGACCCGGGGACGTTTTCTTGAAGAGGGCCATCAGTGCATCATGAAGTTGGGATCTTTCTTCGCCAACTTCAGCATCCATTTGGTATGTCGGCATGGTGATGTCACTCCTTTGCAATTCCTCAACCCGCTCTATCATTCTCTCTGTCTGGAGAAAAATGTTAGACGACGCTGAATGAAAATCCGCTGCTATAGGTGAAAGCTTAGTAGTCCACATCAATTGGTGAACCAATTTTGCAATGGAAGTTTCTACCCCATCTAAATGCTTCCGAGTTTTTACTTCTCGAGGTTGAAGCATAGAATTCGGGGGGATATATTCGCCGAACCGCTCTAAGACTATATTTTCGGGAGTGGCTGGCTTGACTGAGGGTATGGTAGGTGAGGGGACGGGATCCTGCGAAGTATCTGGTGCAATTGACTCAACATTTTTTGTAATATTTGAGGATGCAATATTGAGTTGTGTCCCCAATCGACTTATTGAAGAGGCCGCCGTCCAGCTGGCTCCATCCCACGTCATAAGTCCTGTAGACCCAGCCTTTGTAGCATTGATTCCAGTTCTTGGGAAAGAAAATTTATTCCCTAAAAATCCCGGCATCTTCGATAATTCTGGTGTCCCTGATATTTGATTCTCGATTTCATTTGCGCTTCCTTTTACCGGACAATCTTGCTTTTCCTCCACTTTATCGGTAGGAAGTCCAACCTTCGCTTCTGCAATAAGTTGATCCCATTGCTCCCTTCGATGAGCTTTCCGATTCGAGTCTGCGACTGCAGCAGTTGCGAGTATGGTTGAGTAACATGCTGTAAATATATCCCCTATGCTAACCCTTCGACGTTTGCCAATTGCATTTGTTGTTTGACGAGCTATGGTTGAACCAATTTTCACACAGGCGTTACAACGACATGATGATCTGGTCTGCGCAGCGCGGAACCATAAACTTTGCATTATATTTGCATACTTGTTGATTTATGAATCTTCAGCTTGCTGGACCGGTCAGTCATGCCATTGAAGGTTGTAAGTTTCGACTTTTGCGCTATGTGAAATAAATTAAAATCTCCCACCAAAACTTAACGGACGACTTTCACAATTGGGCGGCCGCTTTAACCGGTCGGACTTGTAGCACAACACGACCCCCTCCTCATTATGCCCCTCCATGATTTTCATACTTATTACATTGTAAAATCTGAACAGTAAATTCAAAAGAAAGTCACTACGATGCTTACCTTAACACTTACTGCAGACCTTTCCGGGTCAGTATTTACAAACTCTCCTAGCTTTACATAGTCCAGGAGCTAACAGTTTTACTTCATACAGCGTGAATGAGCTTGTCCCCGATGACAGCGCAGAGAAGAATTTCTGGTATACCTTCAAAGTACAATGTGTATCATGCCGAGAAACTCATCCAAACTTCATAAACATCAACAGATTTGTAAGTTTGAGTCAAGAATTGCGATATCTTTCCCCCTCCGAGACTAACGTGAATTTCAGGAAGCAAATGAGATGAGCGGTAGCAGAGGAGAGGCGAACTTTGTATGGAAATGCAAGTTTTGCAAGGTGTGTGATCTAAATCATCAATATATCACGAATCAGAAGTCACTGATTTCGTATATAGAAAGAATCATCTGCATCAGTCATATCGACACCCGTTCCATATCAAGCAGCTTCTCCACCTACCCGTCAGAAGATCCTAGAATTTGACTGTCGAGGTCTTGAACTGGTGGAATTTAAACCAGAAGTAAGTATTCCCTCAAGGAACAGTTTTTGTATCTGTGGCTCATGTATTTGTTTCTCCTAGGGAGATTGGTTGGCTGTTGGAACAGAAAGTGGTACTAAGTTTACTGCTATTGATTTAAATGATGGGGAATGGTATGATTATGATGATAAAGCAGGAGAGGAAGTTAGTATCAAGGACTTGAAATGGGAGATTCGAAGAAACTGAGATCAGATGGGATGACATGAGATGAGACGATATCAAGAATGGAGAAGCAAATGTAATGAGTGTTATGTGGTAAAGTCACCTGCAGCTGGTTTGGCTGAAGCATGAGAATATTTTATACTTACAAGAACAATTTGGATGAAGATTTGATGTCAAACCCAACTTAAAATGTGATAAATGATTCTCACATGATCAATACAGCTTCCTAGATGTTTCTACGGTTGCATCCCATAAGAAATGAATTAATACTGAAATTATTCCACCCCTGAAAATCACCAGCCTCACAATCTCAGCCTTGCGCTGCCTCGCTTAGAAAATTTCCCTGCAGCGCCAGCCTAGCCAGCAGCAGCAGCGACCTCACCTCCGACGCGTCTACCAATTCCGCGTCCCTCCACCATTCAACCCTTCCAACCAACAGCTCACATCATGAGTGTAAGTCGCCTTCAGCTCCTCTATTCCCCTCAGCTCAGAAAACTAACACCTCCCATCTAGTTCGTACCAATTAACCCCCGTCCGTTTCTCCAAAACCTGTAGGTACCCTCAAATCCTTCTCCTACTCGAGCTCCCAAATCAAGCTCCCAACATTCTCACCCATATCGCAATCATTCACACAAACAAATAAACTAATCAAATCCAGCGTCAACGAAGAAGTAATAATCCGCCTCAAATGGGGCGGCCAAACCGAATATAAAGGCAAGCTCGTCAGTATCGACAGCTACATGAATATCCAATTATCCGGCGCCGAGGAATGGATTGATTCGGAAATGACGAGTACGTTGGGACAGGTATTAATCAGGTGTGTTATTTCCTTTCATTGAACTTTCGACGAGCTTGGGAAGCTTTAGTTTTATACTTAGAATGCATGCGCCGGGAAATGAAAACAGGAATGCGAAAGAACGGGAAAATCGAAAAGAGGAAATCTTCAATGCGCGAAAACTAACATGAAATGTAGATGTAACAATGTCCTCTATATATCAGCCGCCCAACCCAAGAAAGAAGGAGATGATGTGAAAATGGAGGGATGAATTAGCGAATTTGAATCGCTGATGAGCTAGCTGATAGATAGATGGATGTGGAAATATGGAAAAATTGAGAGGATAGGCAGAGCAAGAAGGGGTCTGGAGGGAAATTTGATAGATACCTAGGATCGGGAGATAATATGGATGGATTTAAAGATCATTGCATGGCAGGTATGATGGCAGAGTGTGGAATTATCTCACCTTCGTTGAGCAGAAATGGCAGGGGAGGAGAAAATTTACCTATACCTACAATGACGTATTCACGGACGGCGTTGTTCAAAGAAATGAAAGCGAGCTTGTGGTTGCAAGCTACAAAAAAGTCACGGTACATACATTTTCTTCAAAAACTGATATTTCATGTGATGTTTTTGCAGTAGATCAAGTAGGACATCCTCCTCTTTTTACAATAATCGATTTGATCTGTGAATATGCATTTTTCAAACAAGAAATCATCTACATAAGACAGCCAATCTGTCTACTACTACCGACCTCACTCATACCCACTCTCAAACGCTTATTAGGTCCCACCATGACGAAAGCTTCAACAAGCCATTCATACCATACTTTCCTATCATCAGTTTGTCTCCACATACTAACTTCCAGCTCGCTATCATCTGGGATATAGAGAGGTGACTATTCGTAAGTTAATCAATCGTGTTATGGCCATAAAAAGGGTTAAGAGGGAAGAAACCATACCTTCAAAGGAAAGAAAATCGGGAACCACGATATCATATCTTTACTCTTCGCATCGATAGTATCAGGACGCGTACTCAATTCGACTTTGTTGTCCGGGTTTCCACCACCCTCATATAGCATCGCTTCGAAATATCCCGCAAGTCCATTCACCACGCCCCGGTCTTTACATACGAACTTAAGACGTGCGTAACGGGTATTATGTTCATTGGCACCATCGCCTCCAGACATACTTCCACCACCTCCTCCACTAACACCACCGCCTCGACGGGCTTCAGCGATGTGTAGTGTGTTTACCGGCAAAGGATGCGAGAATTCCCATGCTTGTTGGATTTGAGGATGCCCTGGAACTGAGACGGCGAGGAAGTCGATGGCGTGGAACATGACGACGTAGGGGGTATTTGAAGCGGATTCGTCTGATGAGAATCGGTTGGAGATATCGGCATGGAGACGAGGTGCGAGGATAGGGGTAAGATGTGCGGTGTATGAGGCGGGTATCGAGATACCGAATTCGGGTGCTAATACGTGCTGAACTCCATCGATACATTCGGGTGATAATTCATTATCTGCGAAAGAACCAAGGAGTTCAGAAACGAGTATGTCGACTTTACCATAGGTTGTAGCTGGTGTTGTTATAGAGGTTGTTACGGCTTGGCCTATGGGTCCAGCTGCATTTCTTAATGGTCCTTTCCATGCGCGCATATCGGTCTTGACAACATTGACTACCCCATTCCATTTGTTTTCGTTATGTCGTTGGAGGAGAACATAAGCATTTGGGTTCTTTTCTACCGCCCATACTTCAACTGGAACTCCAGTCGTTTTACTTGCCTTTAGAGCTCGAGAAACTAAAGGTCCGCGTCCAGACCCAGCTACTGCTATAACAACAGCACCGCTAAGACTCGATGTAGGCTTTTCTTGTACGGCCCAATCGGAAAGTGCTCGTTCTATAGCTCGTTCGTACCAATCATATTTGACGGGATCTTTCTCAAATACCTCATATGTAACAGATTCAAGATTGTCAGTTAATGGTTGAAGAGGTGCCTGCAAATAATCTTGATAGCCTGAACCAAACTTCTCAATAGGAGTTCGTTCCGGTTGGTTTCTCTGGAGATATCTCAAATATACCAAATGAGCTGCAACGTCCTTTGATTTCGTTTGTGGTTTAGTGCTATTCCTTCTAGCTTGTTCTGCTTCGGCTGGGGTTGGAGAAGGCGCATCTTGAACAATACTTGGTGATGCATACCCATCTGCCACTGAGATTTGCTGACTTGGGTCATCTAAGCCGGGAATTGGTCCCACATCACATAATAATAGCCATGGAGCGTTCTTGAGCTTCATATATCGGGTGACCAAATTCTGGTGAGCCTTGCCCAAAACTGGATGTCCACCCTTGTTCTTCAAGAATGTTGATTGAGTGAAAGTCAATAATTTCAGGGGCTCGGCAAACCAACGAGATTGAACTGAATCAATTGGAAGTTGTCGGGGAAGTGCCAATGCTATAAGTTTTGGTTAGCATATATCCATTCTTAGAGACATTCAGTCTGTAGGCAGAGACAACACGTCCGCGGGAATGAATTGATGCTTCGAGGTCACAACCCTTCGCTAAGGTCTTTTAAACTTCACGAATGCAAATATAAGGCTAGAAATAAGAAGATTCTGGAGAAATAAAATATATATTCATTGACCTACCTACTGAAAGTCTGGAATTGTATTTACATACATCCCGGATCAAATTCCAAGCATCCCAATTCTCATACAAATCGATTTCTCTTTCGCCCTTTGAGGCATCTGGTGTTTCTTGGTATCTTGAGAATGGCAAAAGATCACCAGTCATCTCTTTTTGATCTTCGGTCCCATACATAGGAATATGAATAGCAATGTTGATATAGCTGGCAATTGCGAGAGCTTCCTGAATAGCACGAGCATATTGAGCAAGTCCACTGTTGTCTCCTGACCCACCATTGTACGTTCTTGGACCTGGTATAATAACATTGCCCACTCCGCAGAAAGACGCATATGCAATTTCGATATTCAAAACTTGACGAGAAATGTTTGCGATTAGCGGATCGGGTGAGCATAGATCTATCCAAGGACTAGAATATGCGATGAGCTGCGAGACTGTATCGGAGGGAGTCAATGGTGTATCGACAGGATTGAGTGGTGGAATGATGGGAGCTGGAGGGGTGGCTTTATTTGGCGCATCGCTTGAATCAATCGTTGATATTTCCGCGAGGTGATTCGAGATCAATGTGAGGACTCTCGAGTGGAAATGAGGACTTGTAATGGGGCTTGTGAGCATGTCATACTAGGGCAGAATTATTAGCAAAACTTTTAACTGGGTGTGGAAGCGCATACTCCAACATCTCCAGCCTGTTGCAGAACAAAATCTGTGACAGGTAAAGGTCGCTCCGACTCATGATGTCCAATGTAAAAGGTTGGGGGGTTTTCGTCGGCTGCCGCATCAGAGTTAGCATCGGCATCTACGTGCTCTCCAACAAAAGGATCCCAGGCTAGGGTACCGGTAGCCATTGCGACAAGGCGTTGTAGTAAATGCGCCGATTCTGTTTTTTGGATCTAGTTGCGAACTCTAAGTTCTTGGTTGCGCGGGGTAATAGAATTTGTTATTTATGAAGACGGGGAAGTATTTCCCATACCACCACAAGTATCTCGTATTCCTAAAATCTATGCAACCGTCCGTCTCCAATGGACCTGGTATCAAAATGAATTTTGTGTAATTGTGAAGGTGGGGTCCTTTCAATTATCGTCCTGGATTGATGGAATGATATTTCTGAATCAACTTTTCTGCCGTGCTTGATTAAGGCGGTGGCAATGGAAATCAACCTCTCAACTTCTCAACCTTAAGGAACGGGCTCGTAGTTTCGTCGCATCACTTTATTCATAAATCAACAAGAAACATCAATTCATATTGTTCCATTGCCAAGCTTAAATTTCATCCAAATACTAAGTCATGTTTTTTGTCATAGACTGCATTGTTTCCATAATAGGTTAATAAGGAGAAAGAGCTTTTAGCTTTGAGCGTCGATATCGTCAACTACCCTTTGCGAGTATTCACAAGTGTGCATTGGAGACTGATTACAAACCTTTGAAGACGAGAGACAGGAATTGAGTGCTTCAAATGACAAGGTGATCATAAGAAACAAAGGACTGCCTCGAGGAAGGCCATAAAAGCCAGCTGTTGTATGTGTCTCTTCGCCCCAAAACGGCCTGAAGCAAGCGAGTACACGTTATCATACGTGACTTGAAAGGCAGAGCAGACCGATGTTGGTGTAAAATGCATATGCATGTTTTGGGAAAGAGAAAAGGGGTTTTGCTTATCAAGTCTTTTCTTTATTCTTTCACCAGATGTACTTGGGTCTCTTGTTCTCCCTTATGCAGTTGAGCAATCCAATCAGACTCGATGAGCTTCGCAAGGCGGCAATCCCCTTCATCCTTATATACATAGATCAATTATGAACTGCAAAGCCGAGGTTGTGCGCTCATTCCAGGCTGTCTACTTATATTGCGCCCTATCTATAAGATAGCTTCAGGTCACTGTGCCTGAAGGAGCAAGAAATGACGATCCAGACCAGTTCTTTGATTCTATCCTTGCTGAGGCTTGTTCTTTCCTATGTACCATCCGCCAACCCCATTCAACGTCAGTTGCCATCTACTTTCGTAATTGGTTCAGGCAATATGCAAAATGAAAGTCTGTCTAGAAAGGAAATTTATTCATCCCATAGCCATTCCTATCGCAACACTGTCAATACATACAGTACTAGCTAGGGGAATACCAGCGTATCTACCCTTTTTTGTCAATATCATTTCCTAAATAACAGGAGTTCAAAAAGAACATACAACAGTAGGGATTCGCTGGTGGTCACCCACCCAACTACTAATCTACCGATCTGAAGCTTGTGTATGGCAGAGCGGACGGGATGCCCAATTCTCTTCAGTCTGTGGTCGTATGTGGAAGATAGGAGGTCATCTAAGTTTATCAATGAAGTAGAGTGGGTGAGAAAAAGAAAACAATCCGAGACCCAGAGAAGTCAATGTGAGTTTAATGATCCAAACTTCATAACAAAACCCGTCAAACGCTTCTAGAACGTTTTTTAATCCCTTGATGGAAAACAATTATATGTCCATCGTTCCCAGTACACTCACTACAAAAGTTGTTTCGATAAATTTAACGTGAGCTTGGTGGCTAACTGTTAATCCCGGCACCAATCTCCTTTCCGAGAGAAATACCTCAGCCTATTTCACTTTTCCGAATCCAATTTACATACCTAAAAATAAACCGGAAATATAACATACGCTCAAAATGCCAAAGGCAGCTTTCAAACTTTTCAAATCTCGTTTATGTTTCTCTCGAGGGTCACTCGAAAAGTGTCCTACCCATACCCCAAAAGCTTCGTATCACGCGCTTGAAGAATACATGATGATCCATTACCGCACCTCTTTATAAAAAAAAAATCATCATGATTGGGGAAAAGTGCGTTGCTTAAAATGATCACTGTGAGGTTTAAATTTCAGCTAGGGATTTCTGCGCCGGATCTGATCGAAGTGTCGAAGGGGGAAGATTGGGCTGATGAGACTAGATGTGTCAATTGTGTCTTGGGAAAGCATTAGGAGTCTAATCCTTTACTTCCTTGTCTGAAGCTTAGATTTCAAACCTACAGAAACTTCACGTTGCATTCCTTAACACAGTGTGTTACATCACCTTGAAAGGTACATTTTGTTCACATGAGATATTTCTGCCTTTGTCCTGCTCTCATATCTCTTCTCACCTCAACCTCAAAGAGTCGTGACAATTTCATTCAAAATAATAAACCCCTTCCGTAGTAAATCAACATTTCTTGTCCGAGCTTCTTGATATGCTAGTTTGGCTTGACGGCTGTTGGTCCGAAAAAGATGTTGTGATAAATGGCAACGAAACTGCAAGTGTAGTGAAGTTATTGTCGCCGTCGGAGCTAGGCATCTTGTTTAAAATACTTATGGGGAGTGACGAGACTTTACAAAGAACATACTATCTGGTGAGATGCCGAAGTTTAGTATTTGATTTTATTCTTCTTTTCCTGGTTACCGTTATTGAAGAGTCTAAAGCCTGACTTGGGAGTAGACTTCCATGCGGGAGGAACTCGTAAAATAGGTAGAACCGCAGAACCATCGGGCATAGACGAGAAGCTGCATTTGCGAGGGTGAAAGAAATAAGGATCGCAGATTAGCATCGTATATACGAAAGATGATTCGAGCGATGGTAGACTTATATCTAATTTAGTCTATTATTTAGGAAGGAATCTCTGGATTCTAGAATCTGAATTCTGGAGCTCTGGAGCTTTCTTCAAGAAAATTTGCATTTATAGCGATGATTAAGAAGAACCATACACTCACTCTATACCTGAATTAAGTACATAGTAGTTTGTTAGCCTATCTATAGCCATAATCGACGCTGTCGATGCAGATATGCAACAAAACTTTTTGGTGAGTGGAAATTGACTAATGGAGTTTCACAAATGAGTTTTTAGATATTTTTATAGTGAATATTTTCGGAAGTTTTGTTGTATAAATAGGTATCTTTTATATTCTTTATATATTTAATTTAGTTTATTATTTAGACAGGGATCTCTGGATTCTGGATTCTGGAGTTTTCCTTTAGGAAAATTTATATTTATAATGGTGATTGGCAAGAATTATATACTCTATATCTGAATTAAATAAGATTTTATATAGATAGCAGTTAGTCTATAGCCATGATTGACGTTGTCGATGCAGGTACGCAACAAAACTTTTTGGGAAGTGAATTCTGATTAATGAATGATAATTGGCTATATAAGTTTTTAACTATTTCTATAGTGAATATTTTAGAAAGTTTTGTTGTATAGGTAGGTGTCTTATTTTGTGTTTTTATATAGGTAGGAAGGTAAAGGGCTAACTGGTTCATCTGAGGTATTGATGGTATTCCTAATTATCTCTTGAATTTGATATAAAGTGATGGGTGTGATGTTTTGGATTTGATCGATAATAAGGGTTATTGAAATTATCAAAGTTTGTTAGGTATATATATTCTTACAGAACGAAGATATCTACAATTGAGGAGAGTAGGCAAGAGATTGGTTATATAGAAAAGAGACTCCCCAAAGTAAAACTATTTATAGACATCACTCAACACTGAATCCCCAAACACAGAAATCCAAACCCATAGAAATCCCACACAAACCCTACCTACCTACCTACCCACCCACATACACGCACAAATATCCTCACACCGGACAAGCCGATACAAATTCAAACAAACTCACAACTAGCGCACATACCCGCCCGCCCATGACCAAAAAATCCAAGTACCTCGTGTCGAAGATTCGACAAAAGCAGAAAGTGGAGATACGACCTACTCCATAGAGAGGGAGGGAAGATCTAAATTTCCTCTCTCTCTTGGCGTCTGTGATGGGTAGATAGTATATGGGTATTTGTTGGTAGGTAGTAGGGCTATGGTTCGTGTTGTGTAACCTTATGTGACAAGCGAATTTTATTTATAAGTTTGAGGTTTTGAGATTTTTATTCCTTCACTTCTTGTTTGGGGTATTTGGATGTTTATGGGATGTGAGGAGGATGATTTAAGCTTGGTTTATTTTTATTGTTTGGAGTTGATGATGAGTTTAGCTTTATGCTTGTGATAGTTTAAACTTTAGGATTTATATTATCCGTAGGTTTCTGTGTATTTATTCATCTTCTGTTGGATATAAATTTATATACTGGGGGTAATAAATGACCATGAACCAACAGTAGTAATAATAGTAAGATTTTAACCTTTCCATCCACCAATCAACCAATCAACCAATCAACCAATCAACCAATCAACCAATCAACCAATCAACCAATCAACCAATCAACCAATCAACCAATCAACCAATCAACCAATCGATTCAAACAGACTGCCTTAAAGAACCAAACCTCAAATCCAAAATTCAAAAAAAATAAAAAATAAAAAAATAAAAAAACCAGATATGCAACAAACCCAAGCAAAACAACCATTTAATTGGCTAGCGCAGCAGTAAACGGAAGTACAAGGTAAATGAGACAAAATAACCTTTGCTTTGCTTTGGTTACCAAGAAGCAAAGCGGCAGGCAGAATTCATTTACCGAAATATTTAAAGTTTTGGGTACATAGAATAGGTAGAACTACTAGGTATAGTACCTACCCTACCTACCCTACCTACTCTACTAATCTGGAGGGTATTTCTTCGTATATATGTTGATCCGCTGCGGAAAAATACGATTAGATAGGTATTAGATTTAATACGATGTACGGAGTCTTACTAGGTCTGTGTACCTACTGAGTACACGTTTTTTTTCGCGCCGAAGAACTTCTTTCAGCGTAAGCGTAACCTCACGGCGGAGGCGAAACATATGTGCTGGGGTTTGTCCGTGAATGGAGCGTGAATGGATATGGTGGGAAATGGAAAAATTGAAAATGGTAAATTCTCGTGTAGAAGGTTTCGAAGGGGGTCGTGGGAGAAATTGCAGAATGAATACCTAGGTAGGTAATAATGGGATATGGTAGGTGATACGAGGGGCTCTGCTTGAAAAGGCAAATAGAAATTGTTCTTTTTTTCGTATTGTTGTTATATCTGGTATATCGATAACACTAATTACCTAGGTACAGTATTGAATAGAAACTACCTACCTATTATCGATTCGAACTTTTCGTTGAAGTGACTACTAGGTAAAGTTCCCTATCGATTAAGATTAAAATTACCCTACCCGTATACTCGTACAGTAACACAGCAGGACGGACCCGTTGAATATATCTTTATTTCTACGTACGGCTCAACGGCAGTAAAACACTAAACCGCCTCCTTGATTTCTTGGGAGCACAGACAGACATATGCATGGCATACCGTATAAGCCGCAAGATTCACGGTCTTGGCATTGGCTAATTTTTGGGCGGAATGAATATTGAACCGATTGTGCTTGATGAATGTGTATATACTATATTGTTATGAGGTATAATTCTTTAGTTGTATTGATTTTGGAGATTATGGGGATTGTAGAGCGGTCGGATATTGCTCCGGTTTAGATGTTATGTGCAGGATTACAGGATTACAGGATTTACAGGAATATGCGGTATAGAGAAGATGGATGAGATGATGAGATGATGAGATGATGAGATGGCAAAGCTGTCGGATTTATATCGGTTTCAAAACTCCTTTTCTCTCATTGGTTATTTGTAAAGATGGTATAAACATGGTATGATGATGATATGTTGGTATGAGCACAAATGAACCTTTTCCACGGATTCCCTAACCTGAATAGCCGATCGGACAAATTGTGATGTAATTAGGATAATCGGTACTTGCATTATTACCTGTGTCTACTAGGTACTAGGTACAATATACAATATACAATATACAATATCTTCATCCTTGGGAATATCTATCAAATTTCTACTCGTATCAAATTTCAATCCTCTTCAATGAATCAACAACAATCGACATGAAACGACCCAAACAACCTGTATCACGATTAATTTCATCTTAATCATCTCCATTTCATCTCCATTTCATCACCATTTCTTCTTCACACTTTACCTATCATGGTTTAGTTACCGCTTCTTCCCATCTGTTACTACCTCAATATCTCGTATTAAGTTCCAATCTCTTATCAAGATTAATCTTTTCATGGTTTAATCCCAACAGGCCCCCTTCAATAATTCAACCGTGCTATCCTTTCCTTCAGTAGTGTTCACTACAAACAAGCTTCAAATGCTCCATCTTTTTATTCCAAGGTTAGGAAACTAACCTTTTCTTGATCTCATCCATCCACTCACTCCCTCTCCCTCCCGCTCTTTCTCGTGTCATCTCTCTTATTTTTACTTTATTTTTTTTTCGCAGGAGCTGTTGAATCATTATTTGTAACATCTCCATACAATCTTCTTGGTGAATCCTAACTTCACTCGTTTGAAGGATCCCCTCCTCAATAAAAAGTAATAATAATCTTCATTTGGCCTCTTCAATTTGATCAATCAATCCATCTTGCTCTCGCATTTTCTCTCGTTCTTGGTTGTTTGAACTTTCTTTTCTTTTCCAAGAGATTGCTTTACAGTACTACTCATCTACTTAATTAATTTTGGAGGAAAATTAGAAATCATGTTATCTTCTATGGTATGTTTTAATGTTTCAATCTTTTGATATCCTCGGTCCCTTGCAGTTTATATCTATCGCTTGAATGAACCAAGGAACACAAAGGCTTCCAGTGCAGTGAACCGTGGAATTCATACATGCATAATCTATTCCATCTATTGTTGTGCAAGTGTAATCGACACAGTACTGACATTCAACTATGTAGATCCCCACTACCATTCTCGCCCTTTGCGCAACTGTTACACTCGCTGTTCAACCGATAGAAATTCAAGGTTCCGACTTTGTAAACTCTGCTACCGGTAATAAATTTCAACTTTTGGGTGTCGCATATCAACCAGGTGGATCTTCAGGATACAATCCTGGAAGTGGTGTTGATCCTCTCAGTGATGGTGCCGTTTGTTTGAGAGATGCGGCTTTGATGCAACAATTGGGTGTTAATGCTATTCGTGTGTACAATGTGGATGGAACTCTTAATCATGATGAATGTGCAAGTATCTTCAACGAGGTGAGTAATTTATGATCTGAGATTTCAACCTCATTCGGCTAATATTTGTAGGTTGGAATTTATATGTTGATTGATGTTAACTCCCCTCTTGTTGGCGAGAGCATCGATCGAAGCGCCCCATGGACTAGTTATGATGTCGGTTATTTGACCAGAATCTTTGCTGTTGTTGAAGCTTTCAAGGATTACCCAAACACTTTACTTTTCTTTGCAGGAAATGAAGTTATTAACGATGATGATACCGGAAAAACTGTTCCTCCATATATGAGAGTAAGTTTCACGAGTCTCTTCTTCATTCCAAACTAACAATCATAGGCTGTAACTCGCGATCTCAAAAATTATATCGCCAAACACTCTTCTCGCTCCATTCCAGTGGGTTACAGTGCTGCAGATGTTCGTGATATTCTCCTTGATACATGGAACTACCTTCAATGTACCACTACCGACGACGATACCGATCCATCAAGAGTCGATCTCTTTGCTCTCAACAGTTACTCATGGTGTGGAGACTCTTCATATACCACTTCCGGTTATGATGTTCTTGTTTCCGATTTCGGCAATTCTAGTGTTCCAGTTTTCTTCTCCGAATATGGTTGCAACGTTCCAGCTCCTCGTGTTTTCACAGAAGTTCCAGTTCTTTACGGTCCATTGATGACTCCAGTTCTTTCTGGAGGTATGGTTTATGAATTCTCACAAGAAACCTCAAATTATGGATTGGTCACTATCAATGATGATGGATCGGCTCAACTTCTTTCCGACTACAACACTCTTCAAAAACAATTCAACACCCTTAACATCACTAGCATTGAAGGAGTCAAGGCACAAAACACCACTACAGTCGCGCCAAAATGTGATTCATCTCTCCTCACCAGTACAACCTTCAACAGAAATTGGACCCTTCCAGCTGTTCCACCAGGAGCTCAAGATGTCATTGATAATGGTATTAAGAACGCTAACAACGGAAAGATTATTTCTGTTTCAGATACAAAAGTAACTCAAAAAGTTACAGATGTTGGAGGAAATACCATTTCCAACCTTGCCATTAAACCATTGTCAAATGATCAAAGTAATACTCCATCAGGCGAAACCACTGGTTCAGACGTCACATCCTCATCCTCATCCGCATCTACATCAGCAACCAAAACTTCATCATCGTCATCATCATCAAAATCTACTAGCACTAGCTCAGCTTCTAGTTCTACCAGTACCAAAACGAGTGGAGCTAGAAAAATCGAAGGAAGTTTGATTGCTTTAGTAGCTATGATGGGAGTTGGATTGGTTCTTATTTAAAAATTTTGATTGCATATATTTCTTCTATATAATTTTAACTCTTGCACATCATATTTATCGTTTTTGGGGGCCATTGTCGCATGCATGTATGAATTTGTATTTTCATTGTACATTTGTGTTGTACATGATTTGATGTGGCTGGTTTCCACTGAGTACTATTAGTCATGATGGATGGGATGGAGGTGGAGGTGAAGTGAAGTGGAAGTGCAGTGGAGATGGAAATGGAGATGGAGATGGGATGATCCCTCGAGGACAGTGACTTTTGCAGAGTAAGAGGGATTTGAAGAGGTTTCTTTTGAGAATATGATATTGAGGAATTTTTGGGGGAGATTTTGGGCGAGAGATTTTGGGAGAGGAATTTTGGGAGAGAGGAATTTTGAGGGCAGAATTTTGGGGAAAAATTATTTGTTCTTTCTTTCTTATAGATGGATTTTTGAAGGGAAGAATGTCTATTCATATAAAGGAGGGACTTGAGGTGGTGGCTTTGAAGATGGTGGTTTTGGAGGATGAGGTTGGGTGAAGAGTTTGAGGTGAACAGTTTAACTGGAGAGTAGAGGGAATTGAGGAGAGAGTGGAAAATAATTCATTAATAATGAATGAATATTATATATTTTATAAGATTATTTTGTCTTATTTTGGTTTGATGTGCTTTCTTGTGTGCTGTCTTGAGTATATCCTTTTATATATTCTTTTATATATTTTTTTGTATATTCTTTTCTATATCTTCTCTTATATATTCTCTTATATCTTCTCTTGTATCTTCTCTTATATCTTATCTTATATCCTCTCTTATATCCTCTCTTATATCTTCTCTTGTATATTCTCTTTTATTTAAATCTTATTACTTATTTATTTATTTACTTTTATTTATAAAGATTATGAAGAGTATAAATTAATAAATTGATTAATTTAATGTTTTAAATCGAACTTGAAGATATAATTAATAATTATATGATTTAATTTAAGTATTAATTATTTACTATATTGAATCAATCTGATCCGATGAATTTGATGAGTATGGATTTGACGAGTATGGATATGAATATTAGTTTTTGAGGAGGGTAGAGGGGTAGAGGGGGAGAGAGGGGTATGGCTACTTTTGTTATTGTTATTGTTATTGCTATTGCTATTATTATTATTGTCAGGGGGATTTGAAAAGAAATTGATTGATTGGTTGAGAGGTGGATCGAGAGGATAGAGAGGGGCATTGTAGGCTTGGGGGGAGCAGATGAAGTAGGCTGTGTGATGTATAAAAGAAAGATGAGGTAGCAAGGTTTGGGGGGTAAAAGAATAGAAGGTGGTGATATAGTGATTGGAAGGTTGATATTTGAGATGTTGATATTTGAGATGTTGATATTTGGGAGGTGGAGTGGGAGGAGTATGGGAATAAAAAGAATAAAAAGAATAAAAAGAATAGATAAGATATAGAAAATGGGGAGGATGAGGGAATAAAAGAAAAAACTTGGATTTGAGTGTGATAAAGGTATGGTGAATATGTTGGTGGGGGAATTGTTTTGGGGCTGAGGATGAAAAAGATTATGTGAATGAGGGGATGATGAAAGGAATAAATGAATGAGTGGAATAAGGGGAAAGGAGAATGAGGGGGTAAAAGGATAAAGAAGATAAAGGAATTATAGATTTCTTAGGGAATGTGTTGGTTATGGAATTTTGAAGGTAGGTTGGTGGATTAATGAAGTGGAGGGGGTGAAAGGGGGGATTTGAAAGGAATGATGATGTGAAGATTTATTTTAATGGTTGGTGGTTTTGTGGGTGAGGGCGGATTATTATTAGGAGAGGGGAGATGGAATGTTGGATTGATGGATGATATAAGTGGCGGGAATAATAAAATAGGGGGATGGAGAGGAATGATGGGGTTGAGGGGATGGAATGAGTTATATATATATAAGGGGATGAAGAAAGAGATAGAAAATGATTTATAAATTACTAAAAAAAAGAATTTATGAGGGAAGAGAATAGGGATGAAAATAGGAATTAGATAGTTGTGGAAGGGGGGTAGGAAGGAGGATAGGGAATTGGGAATGAGGGATGAGAAAGATAGATGGGTGTTTAGATTGGATTAGAGATTTGAGGTGTGGAGCAGAGAGTACCAGATAGGAGTATAATGGGAGAGTATGATAGAGGGGGGATAGAATAGGAGAGTGAGATGGGATAGGGAAGAGAGAAGAGAATGATAGGTATAAGAGATAAAAGAGATGGAATAATTTATATAAGAGAGGAATTTGAAAAATAAAAATAAGTGAATAAAAGAGTATGAAATCTGAATATCTGAGAAACAAATAGAAGTTTAGAAGACGAACTGAGGGTTTTGTGAATAGGTATGTAGGTAGGTAGGTAGAGCTTGAGATAGAAGTAGGATATTAGGGTATAAGATATAAAGAATTAGAATTAGAAAGTAAAAAAGGAGAGAGTAAGAAGTAGAATGAGAAGTAGAATAAGAAGAAGAATGAGAAGTAAATAATATAAAAATAATAATATAAGAAATAAAGTAAAAAAAAAACTTTTAACTTTTATATTTTTTTTATAAAAAAAAACTTATAACTTTGTTAAAAGGAATGACCTCACATAGGGAATAGTGGGAAGCTGATAGGGCAGAACTGAGGTAATATTGATCTAGTAGGTTAATCTCCCTTTTAAGTTCTACAGAAGTGCGAAGCTCTTTGTAAGAGAGCTTCTCAATCTAGTCCTAACAGGACTAGTGCCCTATGTATATATTATATAGGAATTATTCACTTTAACAAACTTTAATTTTTTATAATTATATTAACTCAATGTGACGGAAATCCCTGCTTTCCTCCCACCTTTATTATATAAGAAACCTCAGGTACATTAACCATGTCCACACATGATACGATTACTCGAGATTAGTATGCGATTTAGGGTGACCTGAGGATCAGATCCGGACAAGTACTAGGTATCAATGGTTATCGGTAAAGTAAGATCATTGGAGGAATAAATATGACTTCTTTTTGCCTAGCCATTACGGCTAGGCCATTCATTTGTGTATATATAGAGTAGCTATCCCCATCTACAGGTGCTCTTCACCTGTAGATTCTAAGTTAAATACAATTGCTGGTCTATAAACACCCTTTTGGTCACACACAGACTAGATTGAGAAGCTCTCTTACAGAGAGCTTCGCACTTCTATAGAACTTAAAAGGGAGATTAACCTATTAGACCAATATTACCTCAGTTCTGCCCTATCAGCTTCCTACTATTCCCTGTGTGAGGTCATTTCTTTTAATATATTATATATAAATTCTCACATAATATCTTATCAAATTATTATTGTACTTTTATCAGTGATAATTCTACACTGTTTTTGAGATATTAATATTTTGATAAATGTTACAACGGCTATCTTCTATGCCGCGTCACATGACTAAACCAAGGTAACGTGATTAAAGTCACGTTATGGACCGCTGAGGAACGCTGGCTGTCCAGGACCGCGCAGCGGTCCTGACTAGCCATAGGCATGAAGGTCTATATAATCAAGATGGATTCCCTTTGTATAGAGCTTCGTGCTCAAGATCAATCATTTAGTATACTCTACTATTAGTTACGAATTGCATATCATTATTGTCATTACTTAAGTCCCTGCTTGACGCCTAGTTATAAACCACCTCGAGAGCCTGGAGCACTTCCACGTGATCTAGACGGCAAACCTCGTAACAATAAAGATAAATTTTTTATCTTTATGATTTTTTAAAAGTTTAAACAATAATATCAAGATGTTATAATCTTATATTAATTATTTATTATGTTAAAATGAATGGTTCCTGCGTAGCACGTGCATAGGGCACTAGTCCTATTAGGACTAGATTGAGAAGCTCTCTGTAGGAGAGCTTCGCACTTCCGTAGAACTTAGATAATGAGTGATTTATATAAAAGGCCAATATAGCCTCAGTTCTGCCCTATCAGCTTCCCACTATTCCCTGTGTAAGGTCATTCCTTTTAACAGATAGTACATATATACACATACATCCACATCAATCATCCACCCAAGACGACCAACCATCCATCAAAAAACCATCAAGAACCATAAAAAAACATCCTCATTCATAAGAATAAGAACACAAGAACATAAACACAACATCATACAGCATACAGCATCCACACTAAACATCCTTCCTAAAAACAATCGAATTCAATCGATATACACACGAAATACAAGACAAATACATCATATAATATTACAACCGAACACTCTTAAGCAGAAACACACTGCGAATACCACGGATTCTGCACCACACAAGTACCCTCGGAACAAGATTTTCCCCCGGTACAATTTCCATACAAAGGAACCGAACCCGATCCAGAAGCAGGAGTAGAGGTAGAAGTAGCACTAGGTGTAGTAGAAGTAGTGGAAGTAGTGGACGTAGTAGTAGTGGTAGAAGTAGTAGTTACCGGTTTAGCTGGTACGACCGGTTTGCTGGTTGCGGAAGCAGTGGTGCTTACTGCTTGGTGTGGTGCGCTAGATGTAGATGATGCGGTGGTTGAGCTTCCTGTGGAGAGGGAAACGCTGTAGTCTGAGACGGTGAAGACGGCGTTGGATCCTAGTGGTTTGTTAGTATTATTCATTGATGGAAATCTACAAGGAGACAAAAAAAAAAAATCCATACCAGTAAAAGGTTCAGTTCCAGCTTGCAAAACTTTGAGATATTGACTCTTGGACCAGTTTTCGTTGGTAGCCAAGTAGTTCAAGAAATCCATGAGGTCACCGCTGAAATCGGTGATTTGAGTAGAAGCAACGAAAGAATAAACGGTGGTGTCTCCGTTAGGTCCAGAGTACAAGCTGAATTGATGACCGGCAATGCTAGCGGTAGCAATGGGGGAACCGGTTGAGGAAATTGGTCCGGCTCCTCCGATGGCGGCTAACCAGATCATGATTTCATATTGGTTTGTTCCGTCGGCTGTAGCGGCGGTGAAAAGATCCCAAGATACATCAGCGACGATGGATGATCCGGTGTACCTAATAATACCATTAGGATTATTTCATGAAACAAATAGATAAAATAAGTACATACCCCCATTTCCAAACAGCAGGAATGCTAGAAATGGAAGAAACTTGAACACCAGCGGTAGCAACCGATTGAAGAGCAACATTCGCATATGACTTAACGCTGCTCGATGCACCGGCCCAACTCCAAGATGTGGACCAGGCGATAGTGGTACCACTCAATGAATCAACAGTCGTACATTGGGATCCAGATGATGCTTGATCTTCACCCCAAAGATCTTGGTAAACCGTGTATGCACCAGTGGCAACAGAATCCCATTGACCACAGATTTGAGTCGATCTAGCTTTCAAAGTCTTGTCGGCAACTGGTGCTGCAATTGCTGCAGTAGAGAAAAGGAGTGGAAGCGCGACCTGCGTGAACTTCATTTTGACGATATTTTTAAAAGAATGTGATGGTCTGAAAATGAATGAATGACCGATTGTACAAAAAGAAGATAAGCTTTTAATGATCAAGGAGGATTAAATATTGGAAGGATGGTAAGTTATATATGAATGACATGATGTAAGCCTATAGATTTCATTAGTCCAGAACAAAGCATGCATTTAGCGCCTCCTTTCTACATAGATGAAAATTAGATGAAATAAGATGAGATGAGGGGGAAAATGGGTCGATAAGCGACAAAATATAGTGAACAAATTTGTTTCATTTCACCTAAGACAGTTAGATGCTCCGTGTCATAGAATCATTTCAGGGGTATTTTATGGGGTGCATAACTTTAAAATATTAACGATCCAATGATGAAGCTTGATTTTAACCATGCCCATGGCTAGTGGTGAGAAGTAGAAAGCAAGGCACATCGATGTAGCCATGGACCGTTTCTCATTGACAAACTGTCGTCGCAAGCATTACCATTTGAGAAATTCTCCTTGGCGCAAACTATTCTTCCAGAAGATATTACTCCATCCGAACCATAAGGCGTCGACATCAAGCTACCAAAAATAGGAAATTTATGAAGAACTATTGATTCGCAATGTCGGATTTAACAGGCGAACCACATTTTGTAGTGATTTTTTGGAAACTCCCTTTGAAGAATTTCCACCCAATATGCTGCTTAATGTTCAATACGGGTAGGGTTCCGAAAGGTTTGATCGATGACGGAAATAATTCTTTGTACAGTCCGTCTAGTAAAATGATTCTCCCCGCAAGAACATGTTCCATGCCCCCATGCCATCGAAAGAAGATTTCCGAACCCGATAAAATGATTAGAGCTTGGAGATTAACGAATCTTGTCTTGATGAGATTATGAACAGCAATCAGTTGTTTTCATCAATTACTTGTACAGTTCCAGAACAATAAGGTTCGCGGGGGATGTACGGAGTAAGCCAATCGAATCCATCGCGATGTTGGGTATTGTTGAATCTAAGACTTCGAAGTTCAAGGAAAAATTATCAATAATGCACCAAGACTTAGAAGAAATTGTGTGTATTTTTTTTTCCCGATACACATGAAGCCATATAGGAAATTGACCAAACTATAATTTTCTTTCACTTCACAAGCAGTATGGCGAAATGAATCACATACCTCGAGTAAGTTGTACGCATGTAATAGTCGGCTCTTATAGGTGGTCTGTCGAATAGCTCCAAGTCAGGAAAAGGAAATGTCTCTGGCAATACGAATCTGGCAATAAAAATTTTATTACATCAGCTTGAAAATTCATAGCTGTGTACCAAAAGTAAGATTTTTCAATAACAATTTAGGATTTTGTCGTATTTTATACCACAATCCGGTAAAGGGACAATCCGCTTTCCGGGACATCCGCTTCCTCCGACTAAGAACTGATTGACTATTTGTGAGAGCCGATATGTAATCCTGAGAGACTGGTTTGAGGCATCCGAGTCCAAGGAGGATAACATCCGATTGTCATCTCTGAGATAAACAAATAAGAGTGCCGCAGGAACCAAATTTGAGTAGTACCAGCAACGATTCATGCTGATGCACAGACTGAATTCGCCGTTGTCCAAACCAAGCAAGTCTAGCCGATCGGTAATGTGTCATCACAAGATGATGTAAGGGCACATTAACCCTTAAAGCAGGTCGATAGTCCAATATGTTTTGTGCATTGCGACTTTTGGATAGGGGGTCTTACTAAGGATTCTGGCATTGACCACCATTTTCATCTAATATTTCGCTTGGCCATACCTTCTCTTAATAAAAAGGTGTTGCGTCTCCTCATTCTCACGTACTCCCTCGGAGTATCGAAATGCTGTGGGCAAATGCGAAAATCAGCGATCCTCGGTGTGGGTAAATTCGACAGCGATGGCGCCGAGGAGATGGTGATGGATATTTTTGAAAACACTTTCGTCATCCCAGGAGGAAAAAGTAATTTTGGGCCATTTTTGAAGCAGCCGTATACAACATGGTGAGAAAAATAAGAAGCATTTAATGCTATAAATGAGGGTATTTTGGGAGTTCATTGTTGTTCTAAAATGACCAGAGAGTTGCGATTCATGAAGCGCCAATGATCCCATGCCGAATTTGTATAAATGCGAGGAGGTATTGGTGGAGGTCCATCATTGATCGGAAATGACAGCCAATCCTTCAAAATCCAAGTTTGTAGTAACGTAGCCCAATTTTTCGTGATTTCCGTATGAATGAGAGAATTCAAGGAGGGGGTGTGCTTAAAAAAGCATTTACGATGATTTGCCTCTTCATTTTCTGTATTTCAGATATCCAAATCTCGTGGAATATGTGCTGCCAATCTCCAGATCCCATCTTTCAATTCGTTCGGGAGGTTTGAAAAAGGGTATAAGTGGAACGTCGAGCGCTATTCCCAGAAGACTTAGGAGATTCGACGCTCGAAGTGATGGGTCCCACATCAAGGGAAGGGCATGTCCTAGCTGTAAGGAAGTTAGCTGCTATATTATATGACTATGCCAAGCAATGGATGAATTCAATCGTACCTCAAGATATGCTTCTTCTTATTTTCGAACCTAGATCTGAAGGATTATTTAATTGTCATACCCGATTTGTGATGCCGAAGAGTGGTTGATAGCAGTTGTGGAACTGCAATTTAAATATCGGACATCCATCGAATTTGGTATGTGTTGATGGCAATCAGGCTTGTGAAAGTGTGAGTAGGTATGTATCGACTTTCGATTGATTCCCAACCCCAGACTTTAGGCAGGTTGAACTCTTTCAGAGAGCATCGAGGCCGGTGCCTCGCTAGCATGTGGAGCACCATCTTGAGCATATGATTGTACCTGCAGTATGGTTCAAAATGGGCAATGGAACAAACAAGACGGTGGCAGTTTGCAAGTTCATTGGAGATGCACGCCAAGCTGACAGTTTAGAGTCCGTGCATTAAAATTCGTACTTGTGCGTGTGTCCCTGACTCTAGACCAAATCGGGATTAGCTTATTCCTTTTGAACTTCTACCTGACTTCATTCAACCTTCACTCTCATACAGGACGCTACTTTTCTTTTCTTTTTTTTTTTTTTTTTTTTTTTTTTTGGAGAAATTCATTAACACGATGGAATGTTGGATATCTCTTTATAGACACTCACTCTGTCTGATTTCCTATCTTCTGTCTTCGAGTGCTTCATTCAAACCAGCAGCTTCCATACTCCATCAAATGGGATACAATCTGACTGGCAATCACCAGATATATGACGTCGGCTCAAAGAATTTCTAATTTATTACTTCTTGAACTATCAACCCTCGCCATGAATATGAATTGCACTCCTCTATGCACTTCTCTATGCATTCCTCTATGCACATGCTGCTTTCACACACCGGGTCAGAGACCGAGCAGAACCTAACCATAAATCTCGAGCTTCATGAAGCGTATCTCGGAAATTCCCGGGCCAGAGAATGATTCACTACTGTAGGCCATATTAGCATTGGTCTATTCTGTTGGATTGAGGTGATTGAGGAAATTGGGACTCACGAAGCAGCAGTCTGGATCCTGGGATCACCACGCAAAAAAAGAATTGTTTCTTTCCCAATAATATCCCGTGGAATTCCCTTTGGCCCTCCACTTAGGAACCAATCCAGACCCTCCGTAATCGAACCATTTTACCGTTCAGCACGCAAACATACTTCTGCTTGTGTCGAGGGTGATGACATTCTTGCCTCCTGCAAAAGAACTGCGATTCTGTCATCCGGATCTTCTGTCGAAAATAATCCCATCTTCGGGCACGGAAGTAATCAATTCTATGATGGAGTTTTATAATAATGCAGTGAATCGGAAGTCTATAGGACTTCGCTTGCAGAAGTAGTCGTCAAGGCTATGAAGGTAGAATTTCGATACCTTCTGGAGAGTCTCCCTAGTAAGGTCCCATGGGTCGCAAAGCGATAATAGTTTATGAAATGTTTGAATATGCCGGTCATTGTCTTCCCAATTTCCGTCATCAAACTTGCGGCGAACTGGTTCCCATCCTTCCTCATTTCCTTTAGCCTGTCAGATAGTGAGCATATCCTTATGCCAATTGCAGCTGCGTTTCCTTCGTGTAAAGCTTCCCAAAAATTAGTGTTACTGTTACAGCCAAATACGCCCAATGGGCATTTACAATCATCATGAAAATGGCGGTAAATCCGAGGCTCGACCTTATATTCTCCAACAGACGTTGGGGTGATGATGTGAAGCTGATTTTATAGTATTTAAGAGCAATATTCCGCGACAGGACGCTAACATGTAAAGTTATGGGAACAATTTGCGTTGCGATGGACTTAGGGCCTTCAGTTGGACTTGATCTACATCTAAAGCCCAGATGTCTAGGGTTCTTGCGTCATCGCTTGCGACGATTTCCGATATCTCAATCCAGAGCTCCGTTGGCAACTTCTTGCGATATATGGATGCGCCTCGTGCAATGCTATGGAAATCACTATTGTCCATCTTGTTATCAGTATCGTTGACTGGCATACTTCTGCTGACGGCAGGTGATGGTATGTGCAAAGACAATCCAGTTATTGACAGAATCATCCCATCCTCAAGCAGGCAGGATTCGTCACCGTCACTTTTTTATTTTACCTTTCACTCCGTTAAATTTGTGATGAGCTCATTGATCTTAGCATTATCAGATCACTTCGAGCCACCTTCCTGAAAACTATCTTCTTTTGGATAAAAGCTGAGTATGTCTCCACTGCATCAGCTCCATCACCATTTGAAAGACGAGAGTCGAAAAGAGCCATGGCTGAATGAAGGCTGGTGGGTAGAAGTGAAGTTCTGTGTTTTTGAGCTCGGAGTGAGATTTCTTCTTTATTCTCTGCATTAGATATTGGTGGATGGTGTTCTGACAAATTCTTACTAGACTTTAGCTTTACTCCCAAGCCTCTTGGTTTCCATAAGTGTCAAAGGCAAAAGACTTTGTTTATGGCCAAATAAATCACATTTATCTAATTATACCTAACAATCTTGGCACTCAAGTTGGTCTCTCTGGGTATCTCAATCAATTCACACCTTCAGCCACACTTCTCAAAATTCATCCACCTGTTCCGCCATCCAGCTTCGTTTCTCAAAGTTGCATAACATTAAATTGCCTCAAGATGACTGGCAAAGCTGATCTTAATCAAACAAAGTTGTACAGCACAGCCTGGATCTTCTTTCGACATCCCTTGTCATTGTGCTCCTCACCGCACCCAGGATAACTCCGAAAAATCTGATTCTGCTCACATCACTACCAGCTTCCCATTAGCAATTTCTCAAATTCGTCAGCTTACGTCTCGTCTAGACTTCCCGCAGATATCATGCCTTTCTTGTAAATTCCGCATGCGCCAAATGAAGAAGAGCAGTAACCTCGTCAGTCTCATAAAGACAGAGATTAAGCCACGCTGTGAGGTTGTTACCAGAAATGAAGAATCATCTTTTTTAAGGTTTGCTGAACTTCCTAGAGAGCTTCGTCTCCAAATTTGGGAAGAGTACTTAGCGAATGCTCCTCCGAGGGATATTCTAGTCTGGCGTGTTAAGAATCCCAAGATCCATTGGTCCACCACTCGTGACATCAACATCTAGGATCACAAAAGTAATCGTGTCTAGTATTTCTCTCTCAAGAGTGGACTAGAACGTCATTATGATTTTAAGTGGATCTGTCCACAACCGGACATTTTTTACATTAACTCAGAAGCTCGACAAGTGAGTGTGAAAGCATACACTATCCACACAGCAGAGCTTGAATGGCAACATCTATTCCAGGAAAAGCTGGGACACGAGCTCGGAGATTGGCTCCGCCACCATCTATCGTCATATCAATGGTATGGATCATATCATGCTCATGTAAGACTTCTCAAATGGACACGATACCGCCTGGCACGAAAATGAGCATTAACTCGAGGAAAGTATCGCGTCTAGTGCTTTTCTCTACGACTTGGATCCAATCAGCCTATTCTTCCACGTGAAACACTTTTCATGCCAGTATCGGATTCTTCTTTGTTCGAAAAAAAGTGGGGGAAATAACAATATTGAAGTACCGGAACTTCGACAGCAGTTGCACCATCAGCCAATATACCACCTGCTAGCAGAACCATCGACCATTCACACTCATTCTACATCAAAGAAATCACTACCTACCACCACGCAGAAAGTCTCCTCGAAGTATTTTAATTATTATTTTAATTATTCTTTTAATCATTCTTTTAATCATTCTTTTAATTCAAACAACGACTTGTTGCTTCTAGGGAAAACCTACTCAGGGAAAAGAGGTTGCAAACATATAACTTGAAATGTCATTGGATGAACACTAGCTAATCCTAGCCAGCAGCATTCTCTAAGCCTAGCTATAACCCACTCGTCATCTCATACTCGGCCTTTTCCTAACAGCGCCAACTCTAATCCGAATTTTGTCAAAGCCAATCGCCGCACCCGAGATTAAGATATCTCGGAGATGTTCAAATTTAGAGTGCTGGAACCTTAGACATTCAAACATCCTCTAAATCTTCATAAAAAGTGCCCCTCTTTGTAAACACCAAGCTTGGCCCATCATGATCCGAGACAATTCCATCATACAACTGGAACTCATCTGTCTTTGACCGTGCCTTATCCATGGCATGGGACCGTCCACCTCCAAGCATTCCAGCCTCCCCCGATGCCTGTGCAAAGTCAAAGTACCATAACGTCTTGGCAATGACAAGACTCGTTTCCAGATATGCCATGCCTTTGCCGAGACACATGGCGTCGCCGGTGCCAAAGGGCACAAAGGCAAGGCGTAAAGTTTCGCTATTCACCTCGTCAAGCCAGCGCTCCGGCTGGAAGGTGAAAGGATTTGGGAAGTAGGTAGGGTTGTGCATTATACAGTAAGTATTGACGACAACCATGGTGCCAGGGGGAATGACATGACTATCAACAACGAAGGGCTCATTTTGGGTGCCGACGGAGGGTAGAATCTCTTCCTCGCGCCAAGGCATTGAGGTGGTGGGCACGGAGAGACGTAGGGATTCATCGATGACAGCGCGGAGGTAGGTGCAGCCAGCCAAAAGTGGGCCCCTTTTAATGGACTCGGCATTAGGGAAAGTGGCCCGAATCTCGTGAGCTAACCGCGCATAGGCGGCTGGATGGCGTGATAGGTAAAAGAGAACGGCTGTGAGGACGCCGGCAGTGGTCATTCCACCTGTGACGGTGATGTGAGAAATTATAGCTCTTCCACCAAGAAAGAGATTAAAATTGCTGCAGATGGGGAAAGAAGAAATCTGCGACTAACCTGCTGGTACGAGGAATGTTGCCTCTCCCCAAAGCTCCTTCGTATTCTCTAGGGTAGGTAGCTGCACACTACTATTCTTGGCCTCGGTGGATGCAACAGAGTAGAAATCATGCTTAGCGTCCCTAGGTAAGGCGACACGGTTATTTATGATCCGCATGAGCAGCGCCCGGAACGCGTCAAACTTGGCATTATTCCACCAGACGACCAATTTGGGTAGACCAATGATTGAGAGAGTGGGCCATGCGACTATTAGAGGAGAGCATAGTTAGAAACGCAGGCAACGATGGGGTTTGGGGAAGATGAACAATTATAGACGCACCAAACATATTGGCCAGCGCCATTCGGCCCATGATAGCGCGTGGCAGGAACCGGTTATCGTCCTTGACCTGCGTCTCAAGCGCATGGCCAAAAGCCAGCAGGCCCGATATATCAGTCGCCAGACGCTCGCACTGAGGCGTCATGTTCAAAGGTTTCCCGGTCCCGGCGTTCGCTAAAAGCTGGCGAAGAAAGACGTTTGTCTCGACGTGCATCGTGGGCTCGAAGTCCTGCAGAGCTCTCTCCGAGAGCAGGCGTCCATAAATCTTACGTTTCTGTCGTCGGCGTTGCTTATCTATTGTACTAAGCAAGTTCTCCTGGCCCTCGAGGGACGAGTAGCGATAAGCTCGCGCTTTATTGATTCGCGGATTCAAGTATATGTCGTGGAGGGCTTCAACAGTGTTAAAGACAAGGCGCTTAGGGCCCTGTCTGTATACCGGCCCGTATCGTTGCAGGTCCGAGAGGGTCTGTAAGTGTAGTCGTCGCCGAATGGCATGGTATCCTGCGTATCCATCTGTAAAGCGAGCTATCAAAGGGCCCGGGAAACGCCTCAAGGGATCAAAGGCGAGATAGTATATCAAAATGCTGAGGATCAGGGACAGCGAAGTGACCATAGCATAGGTGGCCAAAGGTATGGCTAAGCCGTGAAACCACATGCTTACTCACAGCACTTGGAATGATTCAGAATAGTAGCTGTCAAAGGTAAATTTCAAGGCCAAATAAGATAGCAGAGAATGGTAACTGTGCTTAATGATCGATCTGCTGTAGTTAGAAAAGTAAAGTTTGAGGAACAGGTACTATCAAGACCACTAGTCGGCCTTATTGGGCTCCGAATACCGTGAGAAGATGGTTCTCGGAGGGTATGGATCTGGCTATAAACCGCTTTCCCCTGTGTGTTTAATAAACACTCAAGGGAAGGTGCAAAGGGGAGTCGCATGGTAGGTGTGTTAAAACAAGAGAAACTTTGCCAGGTTCCATGGTAGCGTATTACATAATTCAGGAACACTTAGCTAGACAACCTATTCTGCTAATCTTTGTTTTTGCAATGTTCTTCTGGGGCACATTGCTTTCCCAGATTGGGGGCATTCTTTTTCTACTCGGCTCTTTCTGTCAGCAAGCTCGGAACCAGATTGGACAGGGGGGCTTGCTTCCCAAAGCTGGCAGAGCTCATGGCGTGTGCTAATAATAGCCGATTGTCAATTGCTTACCGAAGTCTGCGAGTATCGCTTATATAGTCTTATTGCCGAGACCTATAACGGTCAAACTCAACTGTATTTAAAATTATGATGTAAAAATAATAATTTTATTTATTCATTATTTATTTATCGATAACAAAAATAATACTTTTATTAATTAAAAATATAGATTCTTTTAAAAACATTGTTTTATTATATTAATTTATAAATTTTAATATAATATTTCATTATATTTAAAAAGTATTAAAATATAAATTAAATAATCATGCCCCTGATTATATAACTTGGATAATTTTAATATAAGTCTCGGTATTTGCTATATTATAATTCTCCTGTTTTTATACGGCCAATGACAATGGTGTGTGTATGTGCACAGAATCTCAGAAATTACCCACATCTGCCCGTACGACCTTGGCTGCGTCAGAATCAACTGGCTCACGTAATACCAATGAAGCGTGCATATATTTACACATACAGCCTTACTGTGCCAGGATCTTCGATGTAAGATCTTATGTGCATACTCGATCTGTGCCGTGCCAGAATTTCTGGCATGCATGCGGTGAAACCAATAAATATGCGCATGTAGAAATCTGACATATGCAGCCTCTGCTGTGCCAGAGTTCACCGGCTCTAGTGAAACCAATGAATATTTAATGCTGGATATGCATACAGCCGTGTAGCCGGTTCTAGTAAAGCATATGATTTCTCGCCTGTACCATCTTTGCTGTACCAGCATTTTATCTATACACTCTTCTTACTGCACCCCCCTCGCTTCGGTAAAGCTAGTGAACATTATTGTATGCGTATACCGCATCTCATCGAGTATGCAGGCAGAATTCCCAATAAATATTGCGTGGGTGGATGCGTAGACGTTATCTTATCTGTGTAGTCATAATTCTAGCTTTGGTAAAGCTAGTATCTAGTATACGGCATCATAAGCAGCCTCTGCTGTGTCAGATTTTCTCGTAGTAAAGTCTTTTATACGGCTCTATAATGATTTATAAAACATTTGTCTTGCTAGCTCTTGTAAACTTTATAAAGACAATAAAAATCTTTTTTTAAAGTATTTAGAAATGTATTCTTTTTTTATTTGTTATAATTATAAAAAAACAATTTTACTCTCAAAAGTAAAATTAAAAAATAATTATTACTAAAGAATTATTTTATATATAAACTTTATATGATTAAAATTTCATTAAAATTAATAATAAACTTTATAATTATTTGAAAATTAAAAAAAAAAACTATTTAAAAGTATTTCATTTTAGTATTATTTATTAAAATTATCAAGATTTAATATAAAACTTATTTTAAATAAACTTTTATATATAAAAAATTAAATTCACTAACTTTATCATTGTATCAACTGCTCAAAAAGAAATAAGATTAAATAATAATTTATTCGCTAACACACTTATCACTGTGATGGATATGTCCCTAGGTAGTATGATAATATTCTACAAAGAAGGAGAAAAGGTGTTAGGACGAGCATCAACTATGTAGGATGTGGAAGCAGAAACGTCCATATAGGCTAACTAGAACGGGTTGAAACCGTGACAATACTATATATAGCTTAGTAGATACTAAGAGAAGGAGGAACCCTAACTTCGTTACACTGCATCCCCTTTCAGAAGCACTTTGTACCGAAACAAACAATAAACTCTCTATGATTTATTACTATATACCAGATGACTTTCTTCGACACTCGTATAATTAATCTAGTTAAAACCCTATCCTAGGATAATCTTATCATGTTAGTAATAATGCAAGGCAAATCTTACTACCGTTTAACCAGCGCCCTCGGTTAGTCAGATCAAGCTAGGGCCTAGAACAGAACTTATTACTATATTTAACCTTTTATAACAAATGAGATTTACTAACTTTATTGTTATTTTAATTACTCAAAATGAAATAAGATTAAATAATAATTGTGACCAAAAGGGTGTTTATAGACCAGCAATTGTATTTAACTTAGAATCTACAGGTGAAGAGCACCTGTAGATGGGGATAGCTACTCTATATATACACAAATGAATGGCCTAGCCGTAATGGCTAGGCAAAAAGAAGTCATATTTATTCCTCCAATGATCTTACTTTACCGATAACCATTGATACCTAGTACTTGTCCGGATCTGATCCTCAGGTCACCTAAATCGCATACTAATCTCGAGTAATCGTATCATGTGTGGACATGGTTAATGTACCTGAGGTTTCTTATATAATAAGGGTGGGAGGAAAGCAGGGATTTCCGTCACAATAATCTAATTATTAATATATTATATTAATTACTCAAAATGAATAAAATTAAATAACATGTTAAAAGGAATGACCTCACACAGGGAATAGTGGGAAGCTGATAGGGCAGAACTGAGGTAATATTGGTCTAGTAGGTTAATCTCTCTTCTAAGTTCTACGGAAGTGCGAAGCTCTCTGTAAGAGAGCTTCTCAATCTAGTCCTAACAGGACTAGTGCCCTGCGCACATGCTACGCAGGAACCATTCACTTTAACATAACAATCTAATTATTAATATATTATATATAGTTTAAAAAAATTATATTATATAATCTTATACTAAAATAAATAATATTTATTATCTTTTATAATATAAGATTATATAATGTAACTTTGTTTTAATTTGTTTTATATAACAGTTGGATTTTATTTAATTATTTTAATATTTTGTTAAAATGAATGGTTCCTGCGTAGCACGTGCACAGGGCACTAGTCCTGTTAGGACTAGATTGAGAAGCTCTCTTACAGAGAGCTTCGCACTTCCGTAGAACTTAGAAGAGAGATTAACCTACTAGACCAATATTACCTCAGTTCTGCCCTATCAGCTTCCCACTATTCCCTGTGTGAGGTCATTCCTTTTAACATATTTTAATATTTTATTTTATTATCATTGATTTTTTTAAAAAATATAATGTTAAATTAAAAAAGTTGTAAAATTAAAACCAATATATTACAACAAATAATATATTTCTTACCAAGGTAATATATATTGCCTCGAAAAAAGACATTTCATTTACAGAATTGTTGCCCCAATACTTTATCTACCCTTAGAAACACCGTCCTGTAGCCAACACGTGCTTATAGGGGTACAAACCATCAAGACATGCAACAGCTTGATACGACCCAAGGCTGAACTGGTAGTCTTTCCGTCAGTATTTCTCTTCCCCTTTCATTCTTCCCTACAATTATAATCAGGATGGCTTCCTCTTCCACTTTGTCAAATTGTTCTCCAAAGCATCCCTCGAGAAGTAGAAATTTGACCACCCTCTCAATCTCCTTAGCTTCTGGCTCCATTCTTGATTGAAATATCTATCAATAGACAGACGGCATCGCCACGAGAAGAAACATGCCTACTATCATTTTCGTTTTGACCATGCTGGCGAGCATAGTATCGGGTCAACTTCAAAATCTTCCTAAGTGCGGGGTTCGTAACAATCAGCACGAGATCCAGAAAAGAATTACCTGTAACCAATGCTGATATGCTCGGCTTTATAGATGGATTGCCTCACCAGTGCCGTCCTAAACTCGACTTGTGCTCCGACTGACACGCCGTGTATTTGCGCCGACAAGGCTCTCCAGGTCCAGGCGCATCAGTGTGTTCTCTCTTTCTGCACTGTACGAGAGCAATTGGGTGAGAATACCAACCCCTTCCCCCATTGAATCTCCATCGTCTACAGCGACCATTGCGTGCATTGTCTCTAATGTATTGGCTTGGTAGCTACGCTTAACATCACCAATGCCGAGTGCGGCATCTTTTCGGGCCATGACCACTCATGGTTTCCGCCGCTGATGTTTTTCGTCATCTTTGCTGGAATCATCTTCGTCTTGAGATTAGTTTCCAGAGTTGTATGCCACACGAAATTCTGGTGGGATGACTTCGTCAATCTCCTTGCCATGGTAAATTCCCTCCTTGAACGTGCACGATTTCATTTAGAGTTCCAAACTCATCAGTTTCTAGCTTGGCTGTGTTGCATACTCTACCGCTTCCATTGTGACCGGCAACCTAGGCCTCGGCACCGAGATTTGGGCGGTACCCCAAGAGAATATCACGACTCTTCTCAAAGTAGGTTCGCATTCTTTTCGCACCTGCGTGCCGCTTATTCTAATAGAATCTAGCTCTCATATGTCGAGTTCCTGCTTTACAATTGGTGTGAGGTCACCCTACGCACATCTGTCCTACTCTTTTACATCCGCGTCTTCACCGTGGGGACAGGCCCTCGCCGCATCTTCTTGATCACACTCATTGTGAGCAACACTCTGAGCGTGGGCTTCGCCCTCTTTAACATTTTCCAATGTACGCCCATCAGTTACTTCTGGCTACGATGGGATGAAGAGCATAAGGGCCATTGCATTCCTGCCAACAAGGTCACACTTTCGGGTGGTATAATTGACTTATTTTGGACTGTTCTGATCATTGTTATTCCCTTGCCATATATTCTGCGACTCAAGCTAGCAGCCTACAAGAAGTTCGCAGCCACTACTATGTTTGCTTTGGGAATATCGTATGTATTCAAAACAACCACAATAACCCATGAGCACAGTCGCAAGTTATTTAATAGTTAGCAAACGCTGACCGTGTTATAGTACCATTGTCATCATGTGTTACCGGTTCAAGACCTTGAAAGCTTACGACGTCGGTGAGAACCCAACTAGTGAGTTGCCCATCTCCTATATAAATATCGTGTTTACTCTCCTGAACAACTATTTAATCCCCTAAATAGTGGATGGCATCGGTGTGACGCTCTGGTCGGCGATCGAACTTGATGTTGCTCTTATTTGCGCCTGCTTGCCGAGCATTTACCCTCTCTTCGTACGCTTGATCCATCGCGGCCAGCCGCCACCAGAGAAGCCCGCTCCAAGCTCGTCCCTGATCACGATAGGCGGAACTGGTGGCAAGGCCTTGGGGAGATCCAAGAGAAAGCGTGGTCTGTGGTCCTATCCCGGCATGACAGGATTGACAAACACGCATGATGATGATAGAAGCACGAAAGAGCCTAATAGAGAATACATAGAATTGGAAGAGGCACAGACTCACTGATCCCGAGGATAGCCTCGTGGGATATATCAGGTTGTGTTACAATGGGGAATCACACGAGATTATCTTGGTAGACCGCTGGAAAGAATATGAACATACCGAAAAGGGTTGAGAGATAGAGATGCGAGTTATTGAATGGCGAGTGATTACATGCAATGATTAGTACTTAGGCATATCTATAGCAAGCATGTTATAACTTCAAATTTTAAGTGGTTGAAATGATTATGGTGATGTCCACGCGGATAGGTGCGAATACTGACTTACTAACCGCTTATTCAGCGAAACCTACCGAGAAGTCGCGACATATGTGTTACGAGGTTTGCCGTCTAGATCACGTGGAAGTGCTCTAGGCTCTCGAGGTAGTTTATAACTAGGCGTCAAGCAGGGACTTAAAGTAATGACAATGATGATATGCAATTCGTAACTAAAAGTAGAGTATACTAAATGATTGGTCTTGAGCACGAAGCTCTATACAAAGGAAATCCATCTTGATTATATAGTCCTTCATGCTTCTATGATTACTGGTGATCCTTCATGATCACCAGTGATCACCTATATCGTGATCCTTAGTGATCCTTAATGATCACCAGTGATCACCTATACCGTGATCCTTAATGATCACTACTGATCATTTGTGATCACGTGTCTTGGTAGCCCGTCGTAACAATATGCCGCCGATTCCCGCAGGTATGACGTCTTTTTGGGCCAATCTAGGACATAATTTCCCACCTCTACTGTAGTATCGTATATTGGATATTGGATATCATATATAAATCATTAATATATTGTATATTTTTATATATTAATAAGATTAATTTTGTTTTGAATTTGAATTAATTATATTATTTATATAAACAAAATATTCAATTTATAATAATTTTTAATAATATAATATAATATTTTTACTATATAATAATCAATCGTTATAAAACACAGTAGAAATTTATAATACTATGGTAGAAGTGGGGAATCATATCCTAGATTAGCACTATAGCAGGGCCCTGCTAACTACATGACGTCAATGCCCTTGCATATGATAGAAAGCTAATACAAGGCTCAATGTATCCTAGACATCTAGTTGACGGCTCGTCAAGCGGCTCTATGTTTAGACTTTATCACCCAATCATGTAGAATTAAAATTATCATATCTTATCCGTGATTTTTGCTTCGCCTTATGACAGCAGCGACTCACCAAGCACCGCATTCTGTTGTAATACGGCAAGACATGTAGGTGAAGAATTACTATATTATCATTGCGCGCCATGGAGGGGCTCTAACACGCCAAGGGGGCGTGTGATTTTTGCATCCAATAAAGATAGGATGAGGGGTATATGAAAACGGGTAAAGAGGGCTAGAATCGCAGACTCTGGGCTGAAAAGGGTAGATTAGACGAATACGGCTTACAGCAACAGGCAATGGTACCTTGGCAAAGGCACAACATAATATGATAGTGTGCTCATGCTAAAAGATCCGCCAGGACTATTACGCCAGGGATGTGCATTTGCTTATGGTAATATTCTTCCGAACGCCTCTCTCATATTTATCTTACACTATTATCACCGGACCAACCACAGCTACTTTGCTGATCAGCTGCTCTCTGTCAACGACCCTTGGTTATATACTCATCATTATTGACACCTGCAGGGCTTGATACCACCGTTTCAATATTGCCTCTGTAGAAGCAGGCTACTCGGCCATGATTTACGTGTCACAAATTTATGAACGTGAATCTTTCTTGATTATTTTTATGTCTACCCAACCAGGATCCTTCCCTTTCTTTCTCTGTGTAACTTCACCGTCCTCTAATGTGGGGTTATGTGTAAGGTAAGCTTAGGTAGCATCTCTGTTGAAACCATAACTGGATAAATGAAATAGTGTCATAAGCAGACGCAATGGACTTGGGAGACTTTGCAACATGTATATCACATATTGTATGGGAGCTTTGCTGGGGATACAACCTAGTATTGTCACAAATCCTTGGATGATGTAGGATATTAGACGTTGAAGATAAGAATCTCAAGCTGAGAAAGAGCCTTGGAGCTGTAGAGAAGTGCTTGCTGTACGAATATTCAAGATTGAAATTCTATATGAAAAGGGAGATTGAGAAAGCTCCGAATTTGATTAATCTGTGGAACCTGAGGAGAACTAATCCAAAACTACGAGGCAGGACGACGAAGTTATAATTGATAAAAATCGTAGATGAGTAAAGAATCCATTTCCAACCACTTCCTCAGCATTAAATCCCCATTTCGACAAACAGTAATACTGCAGCAGATGGTTTTCATCTCGTTCTAGGTACCTTCTCTAATCATTGTTTCTTACAGTCGTGGCCCCATCCGTTTCCCTAGTTTCGCTTCTTCCCATGTCTCATTCACAATGCGCCAGTAGCGATCTGCATCCTTTTTTGCATGGGCAACATGTCCTGAACCATTGAAAACCTCGTGGCGTACGTGATATCCCCGTGTTTCGGCCTCGTCGGCATGGCGCTTTACGCCGGCAGCTGGCGTAATGCGGTCATCAGTCCCATATATGTAGACACGGCAGGCTTCATTTACGCACGCCACGTCGTTGTGCGCACGCGGTGCTAAGTCGCCAATATGGTCGGGTATTCGCAATACCGTGACGATAACCCATATGAAAGCAACGTAGAGATATGCAATGGGCATGACTGCAATACGAATTGCCGGCGAAGGGGCGCCGTCGAGGATGCCTCGTACAAGGGTCTGGTAAGTGAAAGGTGCAGGCGTGGAATCGAAGACTGTAGCATGCAGGGGTAGAATTGCACTTTTGTTTTTATCGGAGGAGTAGGCGGCGTAGAGATGGTATAGCATTGTCGAGCCGGCGTTAGAGAAGACATGGAGAAGAAGGCGCGGGTGCAGCTCGGAGTCTCTATGGGAAAGCGCTTGCTGCTCATCCTGCTTCATAATAGCTTGGATGGTAGTAGCTGCAATGCGAGACTCTCGCAAGCCCAACCAAGGAACAGTCATGCCGGCGAAAGTGCAGGTTATAAGAAGAATAGCTGATCCCGGGAAAATAGCCTGGTACTGGCGAATGTACTTGGCTAGTGGTCCATCAGGAGCATTCATCCAGCCAAAGATGACGATTAGCGCGGGGTCGTCGGCTTTAGCTCCGTTTCTTGTGTTATCTAGCGACGGGCGGAAGAGGTAAACGTGGGGGGAGATTTTCTCCATAAAGCTCAACGCGCTGGTGGTGCGCTGTGGAGCCTTTGCGCTCATGATCGATAGATGGATAATCAATAAGGGATGTAAGAAAATTTAACAGGCAAAGGTCCTCTCAGCAAAGGATACAAAGACGCGACTACCAGTCAGAATGGATGTGAGAAATAATGTTAGAGGAGTGATGGCGGGAGTGTCTGGTGATGATCTATAAATGAGTCGACATCTTTATGCCTAGTAATGCTGGGCGACGGCGCAGCTCCCTGGTACTTTTACATACAGAGTCGGATACTAAATTTGCCGATTTTGCTATCCAATCGGGGGCTTGTTACAGGCAGAAAGTCAATCTGACAGGCATCCTGCAGAGTACTTTTATTTGTGTAACCTTGGCGTTTTTTGAGTGGTGTGGTCTTCTGGGAGACTGTGCCTCTTCATCCATTATATTTATTATCCAAACACAGACACACCGTGTACTTGCCTTGCGAACCTTAATGCAGCTTTACCTTCTTGGAGACTATGATCGGCCAACATATTCGCTTAGCCTGCTACTTGATCAGATCACTCTTCTTTCCTACTAACTAGACTTGATCCTTTTATAATCCGATAATTCTTCAAGCTACAATTTACATTTTAAGAGCCGTAATGGCTAGTCCTCCCTATAGCTCTACGAATGAGTTCAAAATGCTCAAGACTAGCGAGCCTGACGCTATCTTCCACCAGCCTGTTGAAAAAGACGACTACGAGCAAGATATGGTTTCCTCTGACTCTGGAAGATACCTCACTGGCATGAGGTTGACACTTGTCTGTATAAGGTCAGTTGTCTCTTGGAATTTTCAATCATCTACCGTCGATCGCAGTACCAAGCTCACATATAACTATATGTCGGTATGAAGTCTATGCATTTGCATTTTCCTTCCGACTGCCGAAATCTCCATCGTCAGCACCTCTTTGGTCACCATATCGGCAGACCTCAGCGGCTTTGACAAGAGCAACTGGATCATCACGGCATATCTTTCTGTCTTCACGGGTGAGTCTATTTTGGCTGCTCAAAACGACGCAAGTCAAACACTAAAAGCTCATAGGGCTGCTCATCATTTGGGCCAAGATTGGACATCATATTGGCCTAAAGCCGGCACTTCTCAGCACACTTGTACTCTTCATAGCCTTCTCAGGCGCCTGTGGAGCGTCAAAGTCTATCAATGAGCTGTAGGTGGACACTGCCCTACTAATGAGAAGATACTGGCTCTTTATAGCATCAATCATTTTAACTAACGTTTATCGAAATCTAGAATTGTTTTCCGTGCCCTCCAGGGCATCGGTGGCTCGGGCGCGATGGTGCTCACGTCCACTGCTTTCTTTCAAATTGTGCCAACCTCGGGCTACAGCAAGATGAATGCTATTCTGTCCAGCACACTAGCCATCGCCTTGGTTACCAGTCCACTCATCGGCGGTGGTCTTAGCAATGGCAATCACTGGCGTTGGATCTTTTACTTCAAGTGAGTGATATGCTATGGCGATGTGACTCATGACAAGTTGCTAACCTTGCATGTTATCTGCTATAGTCTCCCTGTTGCAAGCGTCGCTCTCATTATCCTCGCATTTGCTTTACCAAATCGGTTTCCACATCACGCTGATCCCAAGCCAGAGAAACTAGACAAGCGCAGCATTATGGCCACAGCGATTAGCTTTCTCTGGGACGCCGACATTGTAGGCGCGCTTCTACTCTTGGGCACGGTTGTGTTCCTAGTGACAGCGCTTGAGGAGGGCGGGACTGTGAGCTATGGCTGGGATTCTAGCCTCATCATAGCTTCATTTGTTCTTTCGGGTAGTCTTTTGACCGCCTTCTTCCTTTGGCAATGGTGGGCGGGTAAGAGCACAACAGGCGCCATGCCTTCATTTCCGCGCAGCTTTACACATAACCGTATCTTATCGGCGGGGTTGTTGTAAGTAACCTTCTTTGAATTCCTTGCGGCTGCTGACATATTTGAATAGTGGTGCTTTCCTGGTTGGAGCGCCCATGACCATATCATCCATTCAGCTGCCCCAGCGCTACCAGCTCGTTAATGAAAGCTCTCCACTCGGGGCTGGCGTTAAGTTTCTAGCTTATGGCGTCCCTTTCCCGGTGGGCGTGGTAATAACGTCTATCCTCGCAGGCAGGTTTCGCATCCCTTTTATATACATCATTCTTTTAGGGACTGTCTTACAGATTGTTGGATTTGCTCTCCTCTCGACAACGCCCAGCACTGTACACCCCTGGCCCGGCCAATTTGGGTATAGTGTGATCACTGGCCTGGGCGTTGGAATCACGGGAGGGTTGTATAACTTCCTCAATCCATTGTCGATTGACAAAAAAGAGCAGTGTAGGTTCCATTCCTCTCCGAAAAATTACCTACTGATAGTCTTAAACTTGCTGACACTGACGTGACGAGCAGACCTGGCCATTGGTGCGGGTGTTCAAGCTCGTATGCTCGGCGGCTCGGTTGGCATCGCTGTGGTCAACAGTATATGGGTGAACTACGTACGAGTACACCTGAAGTCGATGCTCACTGAAGCTGAAGTCAACGCTCTGCTCACAGACCTCGGATCACTGAAAGCCTTATCTCCCGCCGTCCAAAAAACATTCCGAACTGTGTGTAGCGACGCTTACAACCTGCAGATGCTTGCCACATTGGGCTTTGCGGCTGCGCATGTCATTGCCATGGCCGCTCTTTGGCGACGGCCAGCATACCGACTAGGTAAGGAAGGGACACTTGTGTAAGAAAGTTATATTTGCGATTCATCAAGGCTCTAGTCGTTGGTAGGCATTGTGGCTGTAAATGACGGGTACCTGTCTCACAATTACCTAACTCGTTATGATTGAGATTCTTAGTCATTTAATCTTAGCTTTGGTTTCCGTATATTTTTGTGGGTTTTATTGGAAACCGCATATAATGCAGTATATAGTTTATTAGCCTCCAAATATGCTTTTTGAGGCATAAATCGGCCTAGGCCTTGGCTTGAAAAGGCCTAGTTGTCACAAAAGCATAATATTAGAGTGTAATTGTTATAGAATTGAAGCTACTGCTACATGGATATGATATCATTATAATGATTGACGTAGTGCGAGAAAGTAAAAGAAACTCAAAACAAGACTAATGAAATGCCTCAGTATATAGTCTCCGTCCTCCATAGGACTTTCTTTCTATTTTGTAGTTCGATTCTATTATTATTCCCATCTCTTTAGTTTTTCACACCCTGACAACTGAAGTAATTTTTAAAACATGTTTAAACATATTATATTAACTAAATTAAATTATATTAATATTATTTGTAATTATTAATAATTATATTTATTTATATTGAAGTATAAATATTATATATATAATATAATCAATAATTTATATTATTTATTTTGTACGAAAAAGGTATTTAAATTATTAAAGCTTTTCATTAGAAGGTGTTACGTGACGGTTGTTACCCACTAGTGGCTCACGTGCACTAGCCCTTTATATAAAGACCTTCTTACTTAGAATCTTCTTAGTTCTTTAGTTTTAGATTCTAAGTGATTGAATTGACTCCGTTTACGACTTTTCCGTCACAGAAGGAATGAGTCCTCTTCTTTATTATCAGATGTAAATTATATTCTACAAGTCAGAGTTACATTGCATTTGCTTCAAGTTCTGCCGAATACATAGTAATCTCTGACTGTAAGATGCACGTAAGAGTCGTATTACATTTGCTTCAAGTTCTGCCGAAGATATAGTATTCTCCAAGCATAAGATGCAAGTCAGAGTCGCATTGCATTGCATTGCATTTAAGTTTGTTTTTATTTTCTTGGTACCCATGTTGTACAAAGCGGCGCAAGTTTTACCAGCGAGTAAAATGTAAATAGAACGTAGCTACTCGGTGAAGTTTCCATGCATATTCTAGGCACTTATCAGTTAAAGACGAGGTTTCAGTGCGGGTGCACAACCAGTAGAAGAACACTTTATCGGACGAGAATCATGAGTTCCCATGGTTTTGGGCATTATTACAGGTCAAAGAATGCTCACTGAGTATCATACATAACTCGGATGTCTAGGGTTGTATGTTTGAGTCGTGATATCACACGAATACTTGCTCTTGTATACCTACCTGATTAGTTCATGAGGCCGGCAAAGCTTATCGTATCGTTGGGCAAGCAATATTACCACATATTACTTGTTTTTGTCATTTGACCCCTGTTGAATCAGGGATTGGAAATGCTAGTCATCATATACGTTTCTTGTATCTCGTATAGAATTTATTATACCGCTTTGACTCTAACCGTACTGGCTAGCATTGGCAGTGACATTGAAAAAGGTTCCTACTTCCATACCAAATCTACTAATCCATCCATCTGACGGACAGATCATGAAAAATGATATGACTTCATCCGACTTGACAAAGCTAAAGCCTCGATGTCAAAATAAATCACATGATGAAAACCCACAATAGAATATTTTGAAGATATATTATTTATTTATTCTAAATATCAATCTCAAATGAATTTTAATAAAAACCTTTTATTATTTATCGTGATCATGATATTATAATTTGATATATTATATAACTTTTAGATAAAATAAATTTTATAATTCAAAATATTCTAAATACAATTAATATAAAATAATATGTATATATATATATTGATATAATGTCTGATAGTCCAACAAGCGGTTGGCCGGCATGATCTAATAGTGCATTTTGAATCTAATTTCCATTTCACAACTCTAGTTCTAACCTTTAGCACTACTAATAAACGCAACCGCTCACCGGCAGCTACCATGCGCCAGAAAGGCGACATTGTATGATTGCACAGCTAATTGTGACAGCAGAAAAGTTCATATAATTGGAACATAAGCTCAAAGCAAATCCATTTTCATGAAAATGACACAGTATGAGTAGGGATGCGTGGGTAATGGTGTTTTACTCGGGTCAATATATTCCCCGGAGGCGGCTTGAATAACCAGCCGCCTATACTGATTCCAATATCCCAAAGAATCGGTCAGCAGTGGATGGCACAAGCGGCAAAGGTCGTATTCCCTCCGAAAAAGGTAGGCAGTTCATAGCCCTTGTAAAATTAGAGACGCTCCGGTGGTGTATCAAGAGCGCCAGGGGGAACAGGGGTGTTTTCCCTCCGAATACTGAGCCGCATCTCAGAGCAAGCTGTTCTGGGTGTGTTTTCTGAATTGGTTGTGTATCTAGAGAACGGGCGCGTCTGGGCTTGTTTTCCATTCTTTAAGTAGAAGCAATTGACTCATGTCCAATGGTCGAGTGTTGCTATATGCATGGCCCCCAACGAGCTAGTACAAGGTAGAATCCAAGGCTGCTTGCGCCGCGTTCATACCTTTACTTGTAGGTGGGGTAAAAGACGTAGTTGATTAACATGTGTCATAATGATCAAGAAGAACAGCAGTGAGCGTAATTAAGATGACTACAAGCCTGGATTCATCGCAGTAGCCTATCTCTGTTGAATATACGCTAATGCAGCGTTCATCCTCCTCATTCTGTATATAGATCATGCTTCCCCCTAAATTTTTAGAATCTAATTCGCTGTCTCTTCTTCTCTGAACCTAAAATCAACAATCTCTTAGTATTCTGTAAGCTTGATCCTTTGTATTGTCACAGAGTAATCTCCATACTTGCTTCCAACTCACCCAGTCCAGAACAAACTTAGCCAATTATGGGATCCACAAGCCTTAAGGATGGTGGGATACTCCGTCCTCTTGCTGTGGTTGGCATGTCTTACCGCTTTCCGGGCGGCTCCACCACTGACCAAAATTTTTGGGATATGCTCATGTCGAAAAGATGTGCATCAACCGACGTGCCCCCTGACCGCTTCAATATCAATGCACACTACAACCCAGACACAAGGCGGCTTGACACTCTGAGTTGCCGTGGCGGTCACTATGTTGACGGCAAAGCTGGTATGATTTGATATTTCGTTGCTCTAATATCCATTCACTGACCTGGTGAGTATCTAGACGTCTTTGATGCCGGCTTTTTCGGTATTGGCACTGTTGAAGCCAACTCTATGGACCCACTCCATCGAATCTCGCTGGAAGAATCATATCGAGCCCTTGAAAACGCCGGCCTGTCTCTGGAGGATGTGGCCGGCACCAAGACGTGCGTCTTCTCAGGATGTCTGTCCCCAGACTATGTCACAATCTGTCATAAGGACACCTACGCACCAAACCAATACCATGCGAGCGGCTCGGCTATCAACATGTTGGCTAATCGTGTGAGCTGGTGGTTTGACTTGCGAGGACCCAGTGTGACAGTAGATACAGCATGCTCAAGCAGCTTGATCGCCCTTGATCTGGCCTGTCAAAGTATTTGGGCTGGAGACGCAACTATGGTGTGTACTCCCCATGACCCCGTCAACCGGTGCACCTTTCACTTGCTAAACAAGTCAACTCGATTATAGGGACTGGTTTGTGGGGCAAACATGATGCTCACGCCTGAGTCACAGTTGTACTTGAACAACCTTGGCATGTTGTCCAAGGATAGCCGGTGCTATTCATTTGACCACCGTGCGAATGGCTACGGGCGCGGAGAAGGCGTTGGCGTTCTTGTTGTACAACCACTCGACGAGGCTATCCGCGCTGGTCGCACCATCCGAGCCGTGATCCGGTCTACATGTTCTAACCAGGATGGCAAGACGCTGGGAATCACCCAGCCGAGTAAGGAAGCACAGTACCGTTTGATCCTCGATACCTACGCCAAGGCGGGGCTAACAATGGAGCATACGCGGTACTTTGAAGCCCACGGAACCGGTAAGACTGAATCACTTTCTTCGAATGTAGAACAGCGAGAAATGTAGAAAGACTAAGTAGAACAAACGCCAGGAACACCACTCGGCGATCCGATCGAAGCCGACGCCATTGGACAGGCTTTCCGAACATATAGAAATCCTCAAGATCCATTATACTTGTATGTCACTTATCTGATATAATCACTTGGTCACTGTTCTAGTTCCCTAACGTAATCAATTTCACAGAGGATCGGTAAAGTCTAACATAGGTCATCTTGAGGGTGGCTCTGGCGTTGCTGGTGTGATCAAGGCAATCCTAGCACTCGAGAATGGTGTCATAGCGCCAAATGCTGATTTTGAGCGGCTGAATCCTCAAATTGATGCCGACTATTTGAATATCAAGGTATGTGCACTGTTATAAAAGATGACAAGAAAGAATGCGGGAGAAAGAAAAATGTTTTACCAACCATAATGTAGATAGCCGCCGACGCAATTTCATGGCCATGCTCCAGCCTACGGCGTGCGTCCGTCCAGTCCTTTGGCTTTGGTGGATCCAACAGCCATGTTGTCCTAGATGACGCTCTCAACTTCATGCGTCTACATGGCCTAGAGGGAAATCACAAGACTAAAGTGGTATCTCAAGTCGATGGCGTACTCAATTCAAGATCCAACGCATCTAACGCCATCGGCGATGGGTTCCAGTCAACGGTACCGCGGCTACTTGTATGGTCAACCGCGGATGAGGGCGGTCTCGCACGCACGAGAGATGCTTGGCGCAACCACCCAGAACTAGTCAGCCTGTCAGCACACTTGTCCAAGGGGCGTGACTACCTTGGCGACGTGGCCTTCACATTAGCAAAGCGGAGCCACTTTCAGTGGCGGGCTATGGCAGTGGTAACCGGCACGGAGAGTCTTGCAGCCGTGGCAGACATTATGAGTGCACCGACACGGGCCGCGATCTCGCCAAAGCTAGCTCTTATCTTCACCGGGGTAAGTCGCTTCACTACAAACTCGGGGATATGAAAACTTACTGTCTTTTGTTCCTGATTAGCAAGGAAGTCAATGGTATGCCATGGGGCGTGAGCTCATCAGCTATTATGCCTTGTACAAGAAAAGTCTGGTTGATGCAGGGCTTTACTTGGCTAGCCTTGGATGCGCATGGCATCCAATAGGTATGTAATCTGCAATCGTGTTGTTGAAATCCAGGTTATACACAGTATTAATATAACCATTGAGCAGAGGAGCTCATGCGCTCGGAAACGGACACCAATGTCAACAAAACACTATATAGTTCCCTCTGCACTATTTTACAAGTTGCATTGATTGAGCTGCTACGTAGCTTTGACGTGGAGCCCGCCGCAGTTGTCGGCCATTCTTCGGGCGAGATTGCCGCAGCGTAAGTTTATCCATACCCATGACGGAGAAAAGTAGGAAGTCTGTTCGCAATTTAGCTAAAGGCAATACACTAGATTCTGTACTGGTGCACTCTCTCGCGAGTCTGCATGGAAGATTGCATACTACCGTGGGCTTATGGGCTCGCGTTTAGCCAGGACCAGCACTATCAAAGGCTCTATGATGGCCGTTGGCATGACCGCAGAAGAAACTAAACACTATATTGATCGAGTAACTAGCGCCCTTGGCGAGTGTCGCCTAACGGTCGCCTGTGTTAACAGTCCCTCCAGCGTCACAGTGTCTGGTGAGGAAGTCCATATAGACTTTCTCAAAGACTTGCTCAATCAAAACCAGGTGTTTTGTCGTAAGCTTCGCGTTGGTGTGGCATACCACTCTGATCAAATGCAAGAAATAGCTGATCAGTATCTTGAGATGATAAGTCCCCTTAACCAGGCAGGTGACGTGATAGCGCCGCTACGTCGCCCAGCTATGGTGTCATCTGTGACTGGGACTTGGATCTCGTCCGAGGTGATTGCTAAGCCCGAGTACTGGGTCCAAAATCTTGTTTCACCGGTCCTGTTCGCCGATGCGCTGGCAATCCTGGTCCGGCCACCGGCGGAAAGCGCCTTAGAAGAACTAGACAGCCTCACCAAACGTAAGCACATGTCTATCAACACCCTCGTCGAGGTGGGCCCACACTCGGCGTTACAGGCTCCCATCCGCGATATCTTACGAGCTATGGACTTGGATAGCATTGTTGCATACATGTCGCTTCTTTCACGTGACGCATCGGCGGTGCAGTCCCTTCTTGGTGCGATGGGCCGTCTGCACTGCTTGGGCCACCAATTGGCACTCAGCCGTGTAAATAAAGACCAGGGCGAGGCTATGGTGGCAGTAACAACATTGCCACCTTACGCCTTCAACCATTCTAAGGGGTACTGGTTTGAGAGCCGGGCTAGCCGGGGTTATCGCCACCGCCAATACCCTGCCCATCCTCACTTAGGCGCACCTGAAGCCGACTTTAATCCCCTCGAAGCTAAATGGCGTAAGATCATCCGTATCGATGATATGCCATGGGTTGAGGACCACAAGATTAACGGCACCATCCTATACCCGGCGGCGGGAATGCTAGTCATGGCTATTGAGGCAGCCCATCAACTTGCCAACCCAGACAAGATTGTCACTGCCTTCGATATCAAAAACGTTACCTTGCATTCTGCTTTGAATCTACCATCCAACGCCGCCCCGTCAGTTGGCGTCGAGGTAAATCTATTTATGCGTCCGCGGCAGGATCAGGATGGGAAGAATGCCGGATGGTTCGACTTCCGTCTGTGCACGTACGACGACGAGACGCGTACCTGGTTCGAAAACTGTAATGGATCCATCCAAGTGCTGTATGAGCTAGATAAAGACGACACCAATAGCACAATGGGCATCAATAGGGGCCGCGAGGATCGCTTATGGCGCGCCAGCATGTGTCGCGAGTACCATAGCATGACGGCATCATGTTCAACTACACTCGAGATAGACAAGTTCTACGCCCAGTTGTCTGAGTGGGGTTTCCACTATGGTCCAGCTTTTCGTGACATGACGACAGTGGCCTCCGATGGCCAGGGCGGGGCGGTCATTGAGGTGAGGACATTCGAGCCGCCAGTGGGAACCGCGTATGCCGAGCACATTATACATCCCGCAAGCCTGGACTGCATCTTCCAATTGATCATCGTTGCCATGACAAATGCGGGCACTGTTAAGTTGGTGACGGGCATTCCCACCCATTTTGACCGCATCTGGATTTCAGCTACCGGGCTCAGCTTTCCTGGTGCTCGGTCCATCAAAGCCTATGGAAGGGCCAAGCGTCTTGGACTTCGGCAGACAAAAACGTCTATTGGGGTTGTTGATGCATCAGGAAACCATGCACTCCTCAAAATTGACGGCTTTGTGGCCACAGATATCTCGCGATCTATAGACGATGACACAACCGAGCAGACAAGACCTTCCACCATTGATCCTTTATGCCACATCATTCAGTGGAAGCCCGATCCCGACATGCTATCCGATGTGCAGATCAAGCAGCTCTGTGTCGATGAAAATACCATTGCCCCTGACTCAGCCGTATTTGAGAGTCAGCTTGACCTCCTAGCAACTGCATACCTCAGACGCGTGTTGAACAGCCTCAACCCCAAGACAGAGGCATTGCTTATGGACAATCCTCGCTCTAAGTTATATCTCGAATGGATGCGACGATGGTTACATTCGAAACAAGCAGATCAAGATTCAGCGAGACATCTAGTCGACAACCCGCTTATTGACCAGTTAGCTGCCAGAGTAGCCGCAACTAACACACTTGGTGCATTATATACAACCATTGGTGGCGATTTGCTACGCCTTCTCCAAGCCACAGAAGAAGACGCGCAGGAATTGGTCCAAACCTATTTTTCAGAACTGGTAAGCACAAGTATCTGTTCTCCTAAGGCTCGCAATGCATGCTTACATCTCGCCTAGTGGTCTTCAATGCCGGGTATAGCGCACTTCGGATCACTTCTCGACGCCATCGTACACAAAAACCCTGATGGGCGTATCCTCGAAGTGGGTGCCGGCACTGGCGCTGCGACGCAAAACTTAATGAGTATACTTGCCCTGGAGGACATGCCAGCTCGCTTCAGTGTTTTCGACTATACCGACGTTGATTCCTCCTTTCTCACCGCAGCGCAGGAGAAGTACCAGCACTTTGGGGCAAAAATGCGATTCAGAAAATTGGACATTGAAGCAGATCCCGAAGTTCAGGGATTCGAAGCAGCCACATATGATATAATTGTAGCGACAGCTGTGAGTTGTTTTTCATGACCCTTTTTTCCTTTGGCGGTTGTTCACATTGGGGAGTGTCTTCCTAACTCCTTTCATTTTAGGTTTTGCGCACTACCGTGGACCCAGCCAAGGCGTTGAAACATTGCCGAGCACTTCTGAAGCCGTAAGTTTTCTGTGAACTACCTCGAAATCCAATTGTTTTCTCGTAAAGGAAACAAATGACGAGCTTGATATCGAGAAGCTAACAATTGCGACGATCCAGGGGGGGTAAGCTGATCATATGGCACCCTACGCGTTCAAATGCAATGACTCGGGCACCCTTTGTCGCGGGCCTATTGAAAGACTGGTGGAGTAATTGGGGAACAGGTCACGAACCTCTAGACGAGGCTGCTTTAAGCCAGCTACTTGCCTCCACTGGCTTTGGTCAAAAACAAACTGTCATACCAGGCTTGAGCAGCGCTATTATGCATGACTTCAGCATCGTTATATCCACGGCTGTTGAATTATCTCAGCCTCCAGCTAAGCTGTTACTGCCTACTGTGGAGGTGAAAATTATACATGACCCAGAGCAACGCCAGGCTGCACTAGAGTTGCAACGGTATCTCATGGCAAACGCGCAATACGCAAGTAAAGTGCTAAACTTGGATGAGGCAGGTGTCAGAGAGATTATGCCGGACAAAAGTATCTTAATCTTCCTCTTAGAGCTTGCCCAGCCGGTGTGGTATGGTATCGCTCGCAAAAAGTTTTTGCATCTCCGAAACCTCCTTTCAACAGCACACAAAGCCATTTGGGTCCAGAAGGGAGCCGAAGTCTTGCCCCATTTCCGTCTCATTGAGGGAGTGTCGCGGGTTCTTAATTCGGAGCTCAACATGGCAGCACTCACCTTGCTTAGACTTGAAGACAAGGGCAGCATGCTGGAGACAATGCAAATGGGCCATATATTGCAGCTATGCCAACAAAAACTGGAGTCAGACGATATTGACACCGAGTATGTTGAGCGAGACGGTATACTGCATATCCCGCGTCTTGTGTCTCGTTTCAAGCTCAATGAGCAGATCGAAATGCGCCTACGTCCCCGTCGACGCGTCACTCGGCCTTGGCATGCCAAAAACCATGTTCCCCTGCGATTAACTATTGGCTCGCCAGGCTTACTAAATACACTGCACTGGGCTGAGGACACAGAGAACACGCCGCATGCTGGACCACTAGGTGACACAGACGTGGAGCTTCGTGTGCACAATGTGGGCCTCAACTTCCGTGATCTACTGATGGTGCTGGGTCGCGTCAACCACTCGGGCATCGGGAGCGATGTAGCTGGCATCGTGACGCGCCTCGGGGCGGGATGTCAAGGACTACAAGTGGGCGATAGAGTGACAGCTTGCCGTATGGACTCATTCCGTTCCTTGGTGCGTTGTCCACGCGCCCATGTTGTCAAGATCCCAGACAGCATGTCCCTGACAGAGGCCGCGTCCCTTCCCACGACCTTTGTCACAGCATGGCAGTGCTTGAATGACAGAGCGCATCTTTGTGCAGGAGAAACAGTGCTGATCCACTCCGCAGCGGGAGGGACAGGGCAGGCTGCCGTACAGGTCGCACAGTGTCTGGGTGCCAACATCATCGCGACAGTTGGCTCTGAGGACAAAAGAGAGCTTCTAGTTGAGCGATATGGTATTGATCCAGACCACATTCTATCAAGCCGCGATACATCATTTTCCCGGGGCGTAATGCGTTTAACTGGCGGTCGCGGCGTCGATGTTGTCCTAAACTCACTTTCTGGAGAAGGCCTCGTCGCATCATGGGAGTGTATTGCCCCATTTGGACGCTTCATTGAGATTGGTAAGAAGGACATCATTGCTAGCAACGAACTACCTATGGCTCAGTTTTTGCACAATGTGTCATTCAGCGCTTATGACTTGTCTGAGATGCTATTGAATCGTGCAGAACATGCCGGCGCAGCCCTCCACCAAGTTATCGAACTGATCGGGCAGAAGAAGATGAGCCCTGCTCACCCATTGCATGTTTTTAGCGCAGGCGAGGTTGAAAAGGCTTTTCGTGCGCTGCAATCTGGAAAGACCATAGGTAAGATTGTAGTCGAGTTTCGATCCGATGAACACATTGAGGTAAGACACGTATGAAGAGCTCCCGATTTTCCAGTGCTAATCAATCCTTGTAACGTAGGCCTTGGTCGAGACGAAGATGAGCCTGTGCTTGGATTCCACTGCAGCCTATGTTATTGCTGGCGGACTCGGAGGTCTTGGCCGTGCAATTTCTCGCTGGTTAGTTAGCCATGGAGCGCGGACTCTAATAATCCTCTCGCGCTCTGCCGGGTCCAAAGAAGCCGAGGCTCAAGAACTTATCAGGGAGTTACGTGGCCGGGGCGTCAGAATTGAGACTCCTCTTTGTGATATTAGTGACCCTAATGCTATCAGTGCTGCTCTCTGCGCATATCCAAGTATGCCAGTCATCAAAGGCTGCATCCAAGCGTCCATGGTTTTGCGCGACGCCGCCTTTGAGTCCATGTCATTCAACGCCTGGCAAGAGTCCATTGCAAGCAAAGTCGCAGGGACGTGGAACCTCCATGAAGCATTGCCGCGAGGAATGGATTTCTTCATCATGCTCTCGTCGGTGGCTTCAACGGGCGGAACTCGCGGTCAAGCCAACTACGCCGCTGGCAATGCATTCCAGAGCGCAGTTGCCCAGTACCGGATCACCTCTGGTGAGCGAGCCACAGCCCTGGCCCTCGGACCCTTCTTTGATGTTGGCGTCATGACCAATAACGAATCCTTGCAAAGCCGTTTCAACGGAGCAAGTGGTGTGACTGAAACAGAACTGCTTGCTCTCTTGGACTACTACTGTGATCCTACCAGACCAGCGGATCATGGTGACTGTGAGCCAACGGTGATGCGTTTTGTGCCGGAGATAGAAAACAGCAGGCTTGCCTATATCATGCACAAACCCATGTTCCGTGGCATCAAGGCGGCGGAGATGACTAGTGACGCATCCGTAGACGTCAATAAAGCAGCAGTTATCAATAGCCGCGTCGATTTTACCCGCTTCTTTGCGACAAAGCCAACAGCAGCCGAAGCTGCCAGCACTGTGAGCGAGGCACTGGCAGCTAAGCTTGCCGATGTTATGGCCTTATCGCGGGATGAAATTGACATAAAAGCGCCAATCCGTAGCTTCGGCGTAGATTCTCTTGTCGCCGTCGAGATCCGCAACTGGCTGAGCAAGGAGGTTCGAGCTGACGTGGCCATATTCGACATTTTGGAGGCGACCTGTACGGAGGCTCTAGGTGCTGCGGCTGTTGGGAAGAGTAGTTATTTTGCATAGACTACGCAGAGCATGATATATAAACAAGGCTAGATAGATAGCTCACCTTTTGCAATGACTTTGCCGGTTTGTTTGAAGTCTTCACTCTTGCTATTCGATTGCTCTATTGTGAGTCGTAACCTCCGCATTGACATTGATCTGGCTATTTTGTATTGAAGGCTCAGATATGTGAGTCTTAAAGATTAGAGACTTGGATATGACGTTATCGGACCGTTTGTGAAACTGAGGTCTTGTTCATGATTGTATTCGGAATTCACATAGATACTAATCCAGATGGCTACCGTGGTGGCTCTTCCGAGTTCGGCTGCTATTGTTGTTTGCCAGGAACACCATCATCGTCTTTAATAAACTTAGAAACGCGTCAAATTTACTGGTATTCATGATCGGGATGCGTGAAAGTGTATACAGAAAAACCAATCTCGCTGGGGTTAGGAGTGGGTTCATTTCCTAACCTTATCTCTTAGAGTCACGTGAAAGGAACACTAGACTCGTGTGAGACTATTCTAGCTCTACTCTAAAAGGCCTCAAGCATGCCTTTGACTCGATGGAGGAGGGAGAAAAAAGCTTTTGCGTGCTGCAAAATTGTCCACGAGTTCCTTAAGTGATATCCAATAACTTTCTGAGCCACACAAACGGTCGGCCATGTAGCCTTTTACTGTAACACCTCACTTTAACATTCAAAGCACTTTAGCATTTAAAACATTTGAATATTTATAGTTTTTGTATTTTAATATTCAATGTATAATATTTTTATCAAGAAAATAAAATCCTTATTTTTAAGATTAAAAATCTAAAAATCAAAAATCAAAAATTTAAAATAAAGAAAAACATGTTACGATGGTAACAACTGACTAATTAGAAGAGCTTGGGCCTTGTGCAAAAGCGATCAGATTTCATCGAATTAATATGTTTGATTGATTGATTGATTGTGTTTATCGTCATAGGCCGTAGGCCCACGCGCCTTGGCGCGTGATAACCTTAGCCATCTATTCCAGTTTTGGACAAATGACGCTCAGAGGAGTATGCCTCTGAGTAGTGTACTAGCTAGCTAGGGAGGGTATTTATATACAATTTAAAGGGGCTAGGGCAGGGTTTACATGATTGCCTTCGCGACAGATTTGGGGCCGGTTGGCTTAGCGGTTAATATTGTGGTCCTCCTCGTCCACTAGATCACTGGCTCTTGATCACTCTCCCTTCCCCTCATACGTTTTTGTTGAATTATCTTGTGTATTTACTGTTTTTTTTTTTTTTTTTCCTTTTTAAAGAAAGGGGAGGAACGAAGAGAAAAAGAGAAGAGAAGAATAAAGATGTAAAGAGAAGGAAGGAGAAGAGGAGGAGAGAGAATAAGCCCTTTGAGTACCTGTTTGAAAAAGGAGATACAGGAAGTAGAGGGAAAACAAAGGAGAGGCTTTGTTTTTTTTTTTTTTTAAGCTGCAGATACAAGCTGTGGGCAGATATCTGTGTAGAATTTGGTGGATTCAAGCTATTTGGCTAGTGCGAGACCATCTGTGGGGATGTCTAGAAGCTAGGGGATGGCTTCAGATGGTGGGCTTTTCGTAAGTGTTTTGTAAGCTTTGCCTTTCTTGCAGAAGAAGAAGTGTAACGGGGTTTTCCTTTTACTGTATGAGCAGAGAGTGTGAGCTGTAGTATAGTTGAAGCGTTTGTGATATACTGCAAAGTCTCTATACTGTGATCTGGCTGCAAGAATATAGTGAAGTGTAGCTCTTTTTAAGGAGAGAGTAATTGTATTGGAAGTATGCTTATATTGCAGATCTTTGTAATATTAAGGGTTGATTGTATTCTATAATTGGTTATTCGCTTTATTGGTCTTTGATCTGATTAGTCTTTTGAAGGAGGTTAATGTGCAGGCCGGGTTGGGGGTAAGAGGGAGTTTTGCCCCTTCCTTGACTGCTTTGTCGGCCATTTCGTTGTCTGGAATGTTGAGATACCCTAAGATCTAGTGTATATATATTTTACCAGAGGGGATATATAGGAGCCTCGGTCTAATGGCCCAGGCCTGTGTAAGCTTCAGGAAATCTTCGAAGACTGCCTGAGACAAGCTATTGAAGTGGGAGTCTAATCTTAGAGCTACTTCGTAGTTATCCAAGAAGATCTATAGGTCTGTAACAAGTTTGATTGATAGAAGTGTTAGGGCCTTTATTGCCCCTATTACTGCAGCTATAGCTTCCGCATCGAATACCTCTGCATTTGTACCAAGTGAGAAGGAGTAATAGGCTACTTGGATATCAAATTGTATGATTACAAAGCCACCTTCAGTGGCGCCGTCCTTGCTTTCGCTTTTTGAACTATCCGAGAAGATCTGTATATCACTCCTTGGGATCTTAGGATGGAAGGCCTTGAAGTCGTCAGCTGCTTGGGCCTTTGTTCTGCCTATCGGGCCAGCTACATATATCTCGGCTTCTGCTCTCGATTCTTTGTATTCCTATGAAGGGAAAGCTAATGGATTTATATATTCGGCTTTTGGTAATACTATGATGAAACTTGAAAGTCTTGTATCTACAGTTCGTTTCTGGTCTTTGGCTTTGATCATGCTTTTCGCTCTAATTCTGAGGGGGTGGTAAAGGTCTAATCTGAAGGTTCGTATAGTATATGTTTGTGAAGCTAAGTTTAGCTCGATTTCGGAAGGCCTGAGTTTGGCTTCCTTGTATAGCATCGCTGTGTTCGTGGTTTTGTATACCGGGAGAATTGCTTTTGTACAAGTGAGGATCACTTTGTTGAGTAGATTTATATAGCTGTCCACTACATTTGAAATTGACTCGTTTGAGGCATTCTTCTTTAATCTGGTTCGGCCTGGTCACTATGTTTCCGAAGCAAAGTAGCATTTCTTTAATATATAGGCTACAGCCACTCTTGGTGGAGTAGGAGGGTATCCCTTAGCATATGTTATTGAAGGATCTTAGTGTATGAGCTCCTTTAAGGGCTTTTACTGTAAGAATCTATATATATATAACTTGAAGTTTAGTCTTCTATCGAAATAGACTCCAAGCTATCTGAGCAGACCAGGTTTCACCTCGATGTTCAGGGAACCAGTGTGTACTGAGGGAGCTTCAATTAGTATGCGATGTCCTTTGTAGAAATGTATTAGCTCAGATTTTTTGGGGTCAAAGGTGATGCCTTCGGTTTTTCCCTATTCGAGAGTTTCTTGTATATTTGCTTGAAGAGTATTATAGTTTTTTTTGGGAGGCTATCAGATATTGCTAGTAGTACAATATCATTAGCCGTACCCGAAATCTTTTTTGTAGATTGCTCATCCAGAAAAGGGGGTGTAATATAGAGTATAAACAGGATCGGGGAGATTGGAGAGCCTTGGGGAAGGCCGCATTCTAGCTTTGTTTTTGGGCCGATCTCGCCGTCCAGTCGGATCTTGATGTAACGATTGGTGGCAAAGGACTGTACCCATTTAACCAATTTGTTTGGCCATCCTTGTTCCCGAAGGCGGTTCACTAGTCGTCCTGGTAATACTGCGTCAAAAGCTCCCTTCACGTCCATTGTGAGAAGTGTAGTTTTTAACCCTTGTTTCAAAGATGCTTCGATATCATGTGTGACACAAGATGTGAGGTCTACTGAGGATCGCAGTGGTAGAGCTCCGAACTGTTGATTTGCTAGGACTTTGTAGTTTAGGGCAAGCCATGATATTTTCTTCGCAATGAGTCTTTCAAGGCCTTTGCCTAGAACTGAAAGTAGAGCAATCGGGCGGTATGATCTTGGGTTGGTATAGTCGGGCTTATTGGGCTTAGGGATGATTGCGATTGTGGCTATCCGGAAACATTCTGGGTGATGTCCTAGGTTTAAACACCCTTTGAAGAGGGAGAGGGTTATATCCCTGATTAGTGGCCATGCGATTTGTAGGATTCTCGTCGGGATTTCATCTGCACCGGGTGCTGTGTTCCCGGCCTTTAGAATAACTAGTTCTATGTCTTGTAAATCGATGTCGGGGAAGATAATAGAACGACTTGGGATCGCTGGGATATCGAAAGGAATATCGTCGATTTCGGCCGAGTTTGTTAGTAGATTGCTGGCGAATGCTTCTCTTTTCTCTTCGATGCTGTTTGCAATGGTCAAATTTGAGGGGTCTGCTAAAGGCGGGATTCGGTATATGCCTATAATCTGATGCCATTTGGCTATTCGAAATATATCGTTTATGTTCTCTATTTTGTCGATTTTCGAGATATAGAAGGCACATTTTGCTTTTCGGACTGTTCTCTGGAGAGAGCGCTTGGATATAGGAGTTTTAGCAGTCCTGTGTTTGTGTACAGCCTTTGTGCAGTCCTCGTTCCACCAGGGTTGTTGAAGGGGATTGTTTTGTAGATCTTTTTGCAGAGCTTGTATAGGTCTTTATGAGAGCTTATGTGAGAGATGATGTGTTGACCTCCTGGGGATCTTGGCAGCATATGCATATATAGTACATATGCATATAAGGAGCAAACAAAACTCAACTTTTAATTCATTCTTTCCTTTTTGGGTATACTGTTTGTTTGCTTTTCATATTTTTGATTTTCAAAGCACTTTAATTCCGAGGGCCGAATACCCCAACCTAATCCTTCCATTTTTTTGGAATATAATGCTCGCAGCTTAACTGCTTAGCTAGAGGATCAATCAAATTCAATCTGATACTCTTTCTAGTCTCAAGAAACCCAACATGATGCTAATCGATCTAGCTCAGTAGTGTAGAGTACTTCGGTGCTGGTATCGATATTGATTAGGTTTATTCCTAGTAGATCTGTAAAGAGTTTTTCGTTCAATATATTCAATCTAAGTTTTTGGATGGCCTTCGAACTTTGGCAGTTCCAGTGAAATAAGGTTTTTAACGTGTTATAATCTGAAATGCAATCTAGGTGTTCAGCTAAAGAGGTGTATACTATATAAGGTCCTGATAGAAAAGTAAGGTCTAAGGTGTTTCCTTTTGTATGAGTAGGAATTCCGATTGAAGAGATGAGGTGTAGATTTCGAGAATTGGATTATTCTATGAAGGGCTCAGCTAGCGTTGAGGGGATGAGATGTAGAAGATTCTAGTTAGGGTAATGGAGATTGAAATCGTCTAATAGGATAACGTTTGATGGGAAGTTCTGCAATTCAAAGAGAGAAGTGATAGCTTGGTTATTGTCTGAACATTGGGGCGGAGTATTGTATGTTTATGATTGTAAATGCCGAGTTGTTTGTGGAGAGTAATTGTATGAAAATTAGGTCTTATGAGATTGTGGGTCTGATTTGGTTGATTTGTATTCCGATTCCTTTTCTGATATAGGTTAGAATACGAGGAGTGATTTTCCAATCGTTTAATGGGGTAAAGATTTTATATAAGGGATGTGTTTTGGTAATTTTCCTTGATATATCCTTATAGATATATAGTTCTTGGATTAGGATGATATCGATCTGGTCTGAGTTTGCTAGATTGAGAGCGAGATCGTATGAGATCCTTTCTTTACCAATATTTGTTTGTGTAATGGATAAAGGTTTAGTTCGATTTATCAAAGAAATTTCGGAAGTGGTTAGTAGGGCGAGTATTAAAGGGGGTGGTAGAGTGAATGGATCCGAAAATATGGGTTGGGGTTTTGGGGCGGGGTTGGCTTGTAAGGGGGGTTGGGGGGGTAGTATCATTCTCCATTTGGGAGTCAGGTGCCTAGGCTTTCGTGCAACCAGCTTTCAAGCAGATTAGGGCTCTGCCTTCATTGTATATTTTGCGTATAGTTTGACGTTCTGATTTAGACTTTATTTTACTGGTGATAAAGCGCAGAGGACAATTGGGGTCATCTGCTGGATGTGATCCGTAGTAATAAAGGCATTTTAGAGGGTATATATATGTTGTATTGCATTTGATTGTATAGTCGTTTTCAGAATGCTTGTTTGAGCTATATAGTCTGCAAGTTTAAGGTTTGGAGTATGATCTGCTGTTATACTATTGATAGCAGCGAGTGTATTGGATGGTTTTTGGCTTATAGATTAAGAGAGTAGCGGTGATATTGGCTCCAAGGATTTTGAGGGTTCTCTTTAGAGCTTCAATGCCTGATTTCAAGCCTATTATTTAGGTGGAGTGGTATTGATCGGTTGTGTTGTTCATCTAAGTTTGAATAATGTATAATAGTTCCTGCCCAGAGTATTCTTTGATAGTATTGCGAATTATATTCTTTATAATTGTGATAGTATCAATTTCGAAGGAGTTGTTTAGCATTGTAACTTTCCGAGGTATATAGCTCAGGCGGTATGTATCCCATTTTTCTTGTGTTTCAATCTTACAATTCCCGATGGCATTGGCAATGATGCTTTTCTCCTTCTCGAGAACTGTTAGGTTGCTAAACGAGCTTGTACAGAGTGCAAAGTCTGTTTTAATCTCTTGGACTTCTTTTAAGAGAGAGACTATTGGGCCAAGTACTTTCTTTAGTGTAGTGAGGATTGTAAAGGATCTTGTTTTGTATGCAGAGTGGGATTGTTCGATATATGTAAACAGACGGTTATCAATGTAGATGATTGGTTTCGTCTTTTTGATCGATAGTGTAAGATCAATAAGGCTAATGGCTTTTTGGGTGTATATTGCCTTAGGGCCTGGCTTTGTGATCGGGGGGCTAGTACAGATACTTATAGAGGGTATTATAAGGGGTAGCGGAGAGTTGGTGGCAGGGTTCGTAGTGACTCGGAGGAGGGTGATGCCCTGTGATCAGGGCATCAAAGTGTCGCTCGGTAGTTGCCTTAAATTCAAGGCAAAGAGCAGTGAGAAGTTTTCGTGATCTCGTTGGGAGAGCAAGGACTTCCTCTGAGCTCAGGTAGGTGTCTAGGAGCTGGGTAACTGGGTTGTAGATGGCTTGAGCATCGTTAACCTTGTAGAGAAGGTTGCTAGCCTTATCGGAGAGGGTTTTAGCAGTGATAATATTATATTTGCAAATCTATGAGTCTTTTATAATATATCCAGTGAGACTACAAATATAAGTAAGAGTAACCAATTCTTACTATGCTTTCCCAGATACAAGATGTCAGTCTCAATATCCTTTGAAAAGGTTGCCCCTAGACAAAAACAACCTTTCTACACCCATTATCCTGTTTGCTCCCTAAGCCTACTCAATATCTCCATTGCCAGCTGCCTTGTACCCTATTGTAGACTGATACATGCATCCATCCTCTCGAACCATATAGATAATGTCACTATCGCTGCCATTATACGTTACGCCTCGCGGCTTGTACACCGTTTCGCATTACCTTGCCGGATCTCTCTTACACAATAAGGCCGATTGTATCTTGTAAGCTTTACTGTATCTTAATCCTTAATCAGATAACTAAAAATATAATGTTTTCAGCTTACTAACCAAAATACAATCTACAAAGTCCATTCCCCTAATGTATAATTTGTAATCGATAATACAGAGGGTTGAGAATATATCGAATATATATCTTATAAGGTGGCTTCTGCCAAAGCTCATCCGCTGTCGTGATGTCTGCCGAATGCTTCGCAGAAGAATGAAACTTGCTAAAAGCATCCCTCTTGTTCGAGAGTTCCTCTACCGCCATAATACCACTCTTGTACATTCATAGAGCAAAGTGCCAAAAGCATCCCTTCATCCCTAATCCACCCATACCTCCGTTGGCCTCAATAAGACTCTATCACAACCTTTATACATTCTCGATTACTCCCCTTAACCACCTGTAAACTTCCAATCCGGTATACCCGCAGATTTTACGCATTGTTGGGTCGTGAAAATTCTGCACGCTAGCGCCCCAGAGGTGCCCTGTCAATCACCGGGCACGACGCTTTCCTTCTCAGGCTCTGCTCCCACACAGGATTATTCAGGCAGTCCGCTTTGAAATGCTCCTTAAAGCAATTCTCAGACTCTGCATCCCACTGCAGATTCGTAAAGGTAGTTCCGCTTCGAAATCCGTTGTTGTTTCGTTGATTGTTAGATAGTTTTCATCTCCGTTCGACTAATAGTCCTCTGTTCCGGGCCAAATTCACGATACCTTCACTCCTAGTACCGCTCCTTTTTAAAGCACGACCTTTGCCTAGCTTCAGCCTGATTCAATCTTGGCTCTGTAAGAAAAATTACAGGTTCGTAGGATGCACCACGTACAGGTGTTGAATCATCGCATCCCATCGAATTAATATGTGATCTGGGTCACTTTAGGATCGTATGCGCACGCACCGTCAGAAAACACGTGACTTGGAGCTTTTGGAGCTTAGGATCCAAAAGGATCCAAGGGAGCATGAAGATCTATATATTCAGTATGAATTTCTTTATTGTAGAGCTTCGTGCTCAAGATCAATCATACTCTACTATTAGTTACGAATTGCATATCATCATTGTCATTACTTAAGTCCCTGCTTGACGCCTAGTTATAAACTACCTCGAGAGCCTAGAGCACTTCCACGTGATCTAGACGGCAAACCTCGTAACATAATGATCGATAAAGGGAGCCCCCAGGAGCTTTGAGGGCTCCTAGGGCTCCTTATCACGTGATCCCTTTTCATCCCAAGACACTAATCCTAATGGTGAATCGTGACATTTTCCAATTATAAATTTTGATTTACAATTTTATTTAATAAACAAAAATATAAATTATTCGTATTCTAGTATATATGTCACGATTCATTAATTCACGTGACCTCGAGGACCTTTTGGACCTTAGGGTCCCAGAGGTCCTCAAAAAATGATATAGGGTATATAAACATTCATTTAGTCTCGTAGTTAAGGAGCTTCGTGCTCAACTTAGTCATCAATTAGTTTACCTACATTCTACTTGATCTAGTAACGACTTCACTTCCAAGTGAAGACCAGTGATAAAGCCTTAACCCACAACTACCAACCAGACGAAACCTTAGGCAGCCGCTGCCTCCAGTACAGTATCGTTACAATATAATTGATATATATTTAAGTTTTTGATTGATTATAATAATATTATAAAAAGTAATTTTTAAATAAAAATATAGTAAAATAACTATTTTTGATGTGATTTTGATAACCGACGAACAGCTGTGAACGGTTACTGTAAGTCTAGTTTAGTCTGGTTGGTGATCAAGTAGTAACATAAAACACACTCCAAGGAAGAATACTGGAGGAAGAATTCCGGAACTTGCCAGCACGATTGTGTCGTGAGTATTGATACTGGTGGTGGCGCGAGGCTGATGAATGGATGTACCGTGTACGGAAACTTACTAAGTTCTATCAAGAATAGATGGCTTATGGACGGAGTATAAGTGGAAAATTATGTGTAAATCCGAGGTAGAGGAGTGTATCCATTTATTGGGGGCACTTGCTAGTTCTTTGGGATAGAGTGTTCCTTGATTAAAATGCATCGAAGATCTTCACTTTACATTACGATTGGCCGTAAACTATTTACTATTATACCGTGAGTGAAAAATTTGCATCTCAAAGATTCTCGCTAGGCATTGGGATTGCTACCAAAGTGTTACATAATGATAGTTTCACCACCCTGCTCATTGTCCGCCGACTACATAAATTCAAGCTGTGTCAGATATAAGGCCCTGGTATATCATGCAGCCCAGCACGGAAGGAAACAATCGAACTCTGGAGCACGCTCGACGAATGATGAAGTGACGAACCTGAAAAGCGTTAGCTGCAATCACTCCTCAAATTCTCGACTCAGCATTGGCCCCAAAAACCTTTTAATTTCCCAGACAGGTCAAATCTACCCGAGCTAACAATCACTGGAAAAATCTGTTATTATTCCATTGTTAGTGCATATGTTGTCTCGAGGCTCGCTGTCACACCATACCTAGGTACCATGAGTCACCGACGACGACTCGCAATCTTGCCCCCAACATCGACTCCTCTGAACCCGTTCTTCATCGTCGATGTAAAATTGCCAAGTTGAAATGAGCAAAATTCATTCGCAAATACTTGCTATATGTGACATCTGACCGGAAATTTCGTAGGTAAGTTCTGAAAGGTTATGCGAACTCCCGACCGGATATGCGAGAGTGCAGTTGCACCGCATATCAAAGGATATATGTTGAGGCTCATAAAGAATGGTGTGAGCTATATTCCCATTTTCTGCTACATTAAAGTTTTGCTTTCTTAAAAGTATGGCGGATATCGAATTGGAAGTTATCAAGTCGTCCGACAAGGTGGAAAATGGCAACGACTCGGGTGAGGGAGGGAGCGATATGGTGGAAGCGAAAGAGGAGCCTTCCACAAAGACAAAAGGCATAATCACTGGAAGCATGGGGTCTTCATCACTTCAATACTCGAATCAAAGCTCTCCTCAATCTGATGCCCCGAAAATCCGATCTCAGGACAAGGGGAAGCAACCAGCGGCACGAGAGACGCAATCAAGTGCAGATGAGCGAAATACCTCAACAATTGATCTAACGAAACACAAAGGGAAAGAATTGCAAGTGGATCGTGAGGCATCAGGGCTATCCGAATCACTTCTCAAACCAGGAAAGTTTTCAAGGTATCTTGGAAAGTATTAACTAAACAATGTGCTAATTTTTTTTTACAGACGAAGCTGCCGAATCCCAATTGCAGATTAATGACTGGGTTGCAACGCGATCTAGCTCTCTAAACACATTTGAGTCCAAAAAGCAACATCAGATTCAGGATGAAGCTCTCGTTACATTACCTATTCCCACTGTAGAGCTGCAACGGCTGGTCAAATACAGCATAAGGATTTTAGAGGAAGGGAGATACAGGGCAGAGCAGAATGAACAGAAGTTCCAGCACGATTCTGTACATTTTATGCAGCAAAACTCTGTTGCTGAAACATCCGATGTCACTGGTGGGAGAAAGGACAAGTCTGTCTCAGACACTCACGACGTTCGTCAAAGACAGGAGGAAACTGAACACATATCTAGGAGCGAGAGTCACATGGATCTGGAACTCCAAAAGATAAAGCTTAGAATTCAGAACAACCCTTGGACAATCAAAACTCTTGAAAGAGGCTTCGGAAAATGATATCAATATGGAGATCTTGGATGGTTTAACTAAAGCAGAAACCTTCAAGCAGAACTTTGAAAAAGCTTGGTCGGAATATTTCGAAGATTTTTTTATCGAATTTCACGGAAGTGCTAGTAAAGTTTGTCTAGAGATGCGTAAATCGTGGTTGGAAAGACGTTTACGGCGTTTTATCTTCTTCAGAGAATTGCAGAATAGGGATTCCCAGACGCGAGGTGCTGTTGGAATTTTATTTTTTTATATGAAGGATGCAATGTCTTAGCGTGATTTTTCGATCATAGATTACATGGTAGAGTCTATACTTGAGCTTTGCTATAGTAACAAAGTATTGGAGCAGCCTTAGCCTGCAAATTAGTATACTTCGCTGTCTGATCAATATACTCTTAATCACGAGGATCTGACTTAAATACTCCAAGTAAGAGCAGTTTTATTCGCCATCTTAATCCTGAATGATTGCTTAGAGCCCGAGGTTTCTTGGGTATCTTACTCTTTTAGCACCGAATGGCACTTTTTCAATCGCCCTGCCAGCGAGTTTCTCGCTCTTCGCCTTCCAGAAGTTGCTTTTTTCTTCCATTCATCCGAAATAACTTTAGCCGAGACTGATATGACTCTGGGAGATTCACTTCAGATCGATGACCTGAATATTGTATCGCTGAAGGCAATTGGAAATCTCGAGATTTGCTGGACAGATCTCATAGAGGAACATCTTTTCTTAGACCCAGCTGCCAGAAAATTATATCTTGCGTGGACAAGGATGGAAGAAGGGGAAGGATTTGGAAAATTGCAGGAAGCGTGGTAAGAAATTCTTGTACGCTATGTTGTGTCCGAGACTAAAAGATTCAAGGCTCGGCATAAGTGACATTTTTCCATTCCGATATTATCGTCAATTTGCGCTATTGGGTTCCCACTTGAATGCAAGTGTTTCCACTTCTTGGGGAATGTTTTTCTCTCATAAACTTGGGATACCAAGACAGCAGGAAGGGTATTTACAAAGAGCATTAAAATTTCTCCATCCTAATCATGATCACATCTTGGAACTCAAACGGGCGTATGAAAGCATTACTTTCCACAACTCTGAAAATGCCTATATTATTGAAACTAGCCAGAAATATCCATGGCAACGATTTTTTCGCGACTCCGCGCACATAAATACTGCTGGGTTCGAAGTTATGCGCGAATATCATCTACAATTCGCCGGGGGACTCACCGAGGCACACAGCACGGCTCGCAAAGCCCACCAGAAATTTGCCTTGCAATTCTCAGAATTTGACCTCTTGGAAGATCGAGTTCGTCGACTAAGACATTACATGGACAGCCAGAAGCCTCGAGGATTTCGACAACTTTGGAGAGACAAGAGAGATGTGTTGAATTATTGTACATTTTGGGGGGTAATAATATTCGGAGCGTTAAGCGTGTTTCTAGCCTTTGCATCTCTTGCTGTCGGCATTGCTCAAGCTGTTGCTTCTTTCGAGGCTCTAAATCTGCGCCCTCTCTCTAGTCAAGCATAGGATTGTCTATTGGTAGCCATCATGGGTAGATCGGAAAAAGTGACTAACATATTTGCAAAACACCCAAAGTTTCTGGAACTGAAAGGATTTTACATTGTAAGGACCCATGTGCTACTTTGAGGAGAATTGAAGAAGATCTACATTCTAGAAAAGTAGAGTACTCAACATAGTCAAGGCTTCGAAGGTTTTACTTAGGCCCGGATTTTCTTTCACCCACCATGCGCAGCGTTTGATGGCACAACCAAAATCTTTGTAAGTGATATCACAAAATCTATCTTTTAGGTTGTCTGATAACAGAATGAATGCAGAGAGTAGAATCACTTGAGGCCAGCTGGTCAATGATAGTAGGAATAAATGTTCTTCCCCGTTCTTTGGCGACACAGTTTCTTGATCCATACTGAGATTTGGATATCTTATGAATGTGTGTAATAATGATACTTGTGTTGGAACTAGCTGATATACACACAACACAAGCAGCGTAATGGTAGCACGTGAATCCAACTATTTATATGATAACGAAAGTCTTTCTTAGCCAATCGACCGATGATGTATCCAATCGAGCAAGCTCTATTCATTGCGGTTCGCTGTGTTGAGGGTGACACTGCACAAATGCAGCTTGGCGGCAGTAATTATCCGTCATGCACTAGCACTTGATCATTGACTGCTCAATTCAGGTTGTCGAAGCAGTTCGTTGCTTGATAGTCGTCATATTGTAGCTATTATATAACCAACTAATTATCCGGATGTGGATCAATTTGAGTCCAGGTCAAGGAGAAAAGATGGCTGTGAGAACAACTTCATCTGAGTTCTAGATTCCAAGCGGATGAGAACAAGTTGAGACTAGCTCGAGAAACCAAAAAAAGACACTGAACTGCTTTGGAAGAGTAGTCTCTTCTCCCCCGATGGGAGTAAACAGTCTAGGTATGTCTATTCAATCAGACACGGCAAAAAGATGCTTCCAGCGGTAATGCCACTATTCCTCCTTGTGAAGCTGGTCGGTGGTTAGCGAGACGATGTGTAATGATATTCAACGTTATTTAATATTCTTCCCGTGCTATGCGGAGTTAAATGGCTTAAACTCTCCTAGCATTGAATATGTGAATACAATTAAATGATGCTGAAAAGTCTTCACTTCATTTCATAACACTATTGATCGACAATTTTATATCTCATTTTCTTTTTAATGCGGGTGGGTCAAATGGTTGTTGTAGCCTGAGGCCACAATAAAAGACCCTGCACTTCCATCACTCCCCACATCGAACCCTTGTCCAAGAAAATTATTATTCCCCTCCAAGATTTTTTTTGTTTATCTACAACAATTTTTTGATTACTCCGTCTCTACAAAGTCAAGGTCGAAAACAATATTTTCAACCGACTTTAAATCCAGTTTTCTTGTCATTCCTTTACTAATTTTCATTTTCGATATTTGCATGCAATACATGTAAAAGCCTTTTGAAAATGGATCAACAAAAATTCTTAGAGCTCTTGCAGGGCGTCCAAATTCGTAGGTTGCTATCGAGTCGCAATACCCCTCCATTTTTGCTAACCTTCATCTTCTACAGCTGATACCGAACGTGTCAAGGCCGCAACCACAGAACTTAGAAAAAACTATTATCCAAATCCAGAATCACTTCTCTGGCTTATCGAGATCTTCATTTCCCATGGAGATCAAGCGATCAGACAACAAGCCGCTGTCGAGGCCCAACGCTTGGTCAAGAAGCACTGGAAGAACATTTCAGATGCCCAAAAGCAACAAATCAGAGAACAACTTCTACAAAAGACGTTAAATGAAGAGGTTAAATTGGTTAGACACTCTGGCGCTCGTGTCATCGCTGCTATCGCCGGTGAAGACATCGAGAATGGGCAATGGGCCAACCTTCCTGATACCCTCGCACAAGCCGCAGGCTCTCGTCAAGTCTCACATCGTGAGGTCGGAGTCTTCATTCTCTTTACTTTACTGGAGACTGCTTCGCCATACTTTGCTGAGCAAACTGCTGTACTCTTCTCCATCCTCAGCAAGACCATCCACGACCAAGAGAGCACTGATGTCAGGATCAACACTTTGATCTGTCTTGGTGCCGTTGCCACAATGATCGAGCCAGATGAGGATCCAGAGAGTTTGAAGTTATTCCTCGAGATTTTCCCACAAATGGTCAGTGTATTGAAGAATTTCATTGATGCCAAGGAGGAGGACCGCACTGTTCAAGCTTTCGAGGTTTTCCAAACTTTGTTGGGCTGTGAATCAGCCTTGATCGCACCCCACTTCAAAGACCTTTGCAATTTCATGCTTGAGATTGCTGCAGATACCAACAACGAAAACGACGCAAGAACACAAGCTTTGTCCTTCCTTATGCAATGCACCAGATACAGAAAGATGAAGATTCAAGGTACCAAGGATTTGGGTGAGAAGATCACCATGACCAGCATGCAAATCGCGACAGAACTCGAAGATGATGACGACGAAGATGATGAGACCTCACCAGCTCGCTCTGCATTGGGTCTTCTCGGTTTACTCGCAGAAAGCTTGCCACCTCGCCAAGTTATCGTTCCCCTCCTCAACGCCCTTCCACAATTCTCGAGCCATCAAGATCCAAGATACCGCCAAGCCGGTATTCTGGCACTCGGCATGTGTGTCGAAGGTGCACCAGATTTTGTTGGTACTCAAATGGATAGTTTCTTGCCTGTTGTCTTCAAGCTCCTTGAGGACCCAGAAAGTGGTGTTAGACATGCAGCTCTTAACGGTGTTGCAAGATTGGCAGATGATCTTGCCGAAGATCTTCAAAACACTCACGAGCACCTCATTCCCGCTCTTCTCAAGAATCTTGATGCTGCTATGCAATACGCAGCTAGCGGAAACAATGATAAACAAACTCTTGACACCATGAAAGCATCATGCGGTGCTTTGGACTCCTTGACCGAAGGTATGGACCAAGAAATTGTTAAGAACTATCTCCCAACCCTTGTCCCACGCCTCGCTCAATTGTTGGACCACCCCGATGTCGGTGTCAAATCTGCTGCCGCTAGTGCGATTGGTTCTCTCGCAAGTTCCTCCGAAAAGGAGTTCCTTCCGTTCTTCAAGGACACCATCGAGAAGTTGGCACAATTTGTCGAGTTGAAGTCAAGCAATGATGAGCTCGATCTCCGTGCTACTGTCTGTGATTCCATTGGAAGCATGGCAGCAGCTGTGGGCGCTGAGGTCTTCCAACCCTACGTCAAGCCATTGATGCAAGCAAGTGAAGAAGCTTTGCATCTTGACCACCCCCGCTTGAAGGAAACCAGCTACATTCTCTGGAGTACCTTGGCCAAGGTTTATGAGGAGGATTTCACGCCTTTCCTTGAAGGAGTTGTTACCGCTTTGGCTGCCTGTTTAGATCAAGAAGAAGACAACCTCGAAGTTGAGCTCGGTGAGCATGCCCAAGACTTACTTGGCCAAGAAGTCATTGTTGCTGGAAAGAAGGTCAAGGTTGCTGGCGCCACCGATGTCGAGGATGTTGATGATATGGATGATGATGATGACGACGAAGACTGGGATGATCTTACAGCCGTCACTGCTGTTGCCATGGAGAAGGAGGTTGCAGTTGAAGTTATCGGTGATATCTTGACGCACACTCGTCAACACTACATGCCTTACTTCGAGAGAACCATCGAGGCTATCTCTCCATTGGTAGAGCACTCTTACGAAGGTGTAAGAAAGACCGCAATCAGTACAATGTGGAGAGCATACGCTTGCCTTTACAGTATGATGGAGGATAAGACGGGAACAAAGTGGACCCCTGGTCTACCCATGGCAACTCAACCTACTCCTGAGTTGGTCAAGATGGGAGAAATTGTTACAACTGCAACAATGTCTCTCTGGGAGGATGAATATGACCGGTACGTTGATTTCCATTCCTATTTTGCCTGTATTGCCTGAAATGATGAACAACATGACGTTATACCCAGCTCACTCAGATGCACAAGTTGCACATGCTGCGAACGCGTATCTACTCCTGATCATTCTTCTTTTCATTGATCTATTTGAAAGTATTTGGTGGATTTTTCTAATATTGTGAATAGTGGTGTCGTTACCGATATCAACCGCAACGTCGCTTCTACATTGAAACTTTGCGGACCAGCTATTTTGGCCCAGCCAAACTTTGCTGAGGCCATCAAGAACGTCATCTTCGCTGTTATTAACCGTGTCCACCCTTGTCAGCAGGACCTCGGTGATGAGCTTGAATCACCTGATGAGGATGATGCCGAGTCGTCCGAATATGACTGGCTCGTCATTGACACCGCTCTTGACCTCACCTCAAACCTTGCTCTTGCCCTTGGTGCTCAGTTCGCTGAAATCTTCAAGGAGTTTGAGAAGCCTCTGAAGAAGTTCGCCTCCTCCAACACTCCATTTGAGCGATCGACCGCAATCGGTGTCATTGCCGAGCTTACCGGGCACATGGGTTCAGCCGTCACTCCATTCACTGCATCCCTCTTGCCAGTCCTTCTTAAACGCCTTTCTGATACCGACCCTGAAGCCAAGTCCAACGCTGCATATGGTGTAGGTCTCTTGATCTTCCACTCTCAAGACAGCGCTACCTACCTCCCATCATATAACAACATTCTGAGTAAACTTGAGCCACTCCTCCAAACCAACCATGCCCGCTCCATCGACAATGCTTGCGGATGTGTTTCTCGTATGATCATGGCTCACCAGGATGCTGTCCCTCTTGACGATATCCTCCCAGTCATGGCTGGACTGTTACCACTCAAGGAAGACTATGAGGAGAACGAGCCTATCTTTGAAATGATTACTGGACTTTACAGTCAGAGCAATCAAACAATCTTGCAGCTTACTCCAAAATTGATTCCTGTGTTTGCAGCGGTTCTTGGCGAGCCAGTTGATCAATTGGAAGTCGAGACTAGAGAAAAGGTCAAGGGCGTTGTTAAGTTCATTGGCGGAAGCCACCCAGAGTTGCTGAACGGTCACCCATCATTACAAAACTTGTAATCGGCTATTTAGGGAGTTTCTTTAGTAATGGTTTGGGTGGGCTGGATTTCTGGTTGACGGATGCGTTTGTATCGATATGCATCCGATACTATATAGTTGATCCGAATGAATTTCTGGATGGATAGAGCGATGATTGTGAAGAGATATTAAGGGAAGGAGATAAATGGTTTTTATAAGTTATGATATGATGAACATACCCCAAATGCACGAATTGAAGAATGAACGATGGATAGATAGATATATTAGTGTAAACAGAAATGATAATTTTTGTTTTTTTTTTTTCAATTTTTGCGCGAATAGCATTTTTTGTGGGGCCTCATGTTCGCCAACCCCTACTAGGGTTGAAATGATTAAGATGTTCAATTGACAAGATTTTCATTAATATCTACATGTCACGATTCACCATTAGGATTAGTGTCTTGGGATGAAAAGGAATCACGTGATAAGGAGCCCTAGGAGCCCTCAAAGCTCCTGGGGGCTCCCTTTATCGATCATTATATAGTCAGAGTAGTTTCATAGTTTAGGAGCTTTGTGCTCAACTTAGTTATCAATTAGTTTACCTACATACTATTTGATCTAGTAATGAATTCACTTCCAAGTGAATACCAGTGATAAAGCCTTATGTTACGAGGTTTGCCGTCTAGATCACGTGGAAGTGCTCTAGGCTCTCGAGGTAGTTTATAACTAGGCGTCAAGCAGGGACTTAAAGTAATGACAATAATGATATACAACTCGTAACTAATAGTAGAGTATACTAAATGATTGGTCTTGAGCACGAAGCTCTATACAAAGGAAATCCATCTTGATTATATAGACCTTCATGCCTATAGCTAGTCAGGACCGCGCAGCGGTCCATAACGTGACTTAATCACGTTACCTTGGTTTAGTCATGTGACGCGGCGTAGAAGATAGCCGTCGTAACACTATATTGGCCTTTTATATGAATCACCCATTTTCTTAGTTCTACGGAAGTGCGAAGCTCCCCTACAGAGAGCTTCTCAATCTAGTCCTAATAGGACTAGTGACCTGTGCACGTGCTACGCAGGAACCATTCACTTTAACATTTACTTTCGTTTCTAGCTTGTGTTGGAGCCGTCGCAGCCTCCTATAGCAGTGATGCCAGTGTTTCTCAGCGAGATTTTTCTTCCAGGCAAACAACGAGCTTGGGAGCTATTACTGTCCGTTCTGAGGAGCAGAAACGGGGGTTACCTAATTTTAAACCAAATTTTGAATGTTCTCACCACTACGCTGATCGTGAGTTCTATCCTTCCAATCTTGCTTCCTTGTTCAGTCAAAGGGGTTCTCCATTACTTATCGGATTAACGAACGCCAAAGCGATACTTATCACTTTTTTACCATGAAACAAGTTACTAACGAAGCATAGATGATTCCATAATTCGAGGGGCACATTCGACATTTGCAACTACGTCAATGAAATATAGGTTACCTGCAGTTATTTTAGAAGATATTGAGCTCCATGTTAGAAATATCATGTGTTCAGAGTTCACCATTTTCATCGACTTTCCTTCCTCAAATTTATTAACCGAGGCAGAGATGGCATGGAAAGACCTATCACAGTTCTTGGTTATCTCTTCACATGCTGGATGTAACAAAGAGGGTGCTCGAGCTCCATATCTGTAAGGAATCACCATCATGCAGATGCTTTTGCTATTACTAATAAGTGCAACAGAGTTTCGAATGTTGATTATGTTTCCGAGTCCAATTTTGCCGTCTTATCTGTTAAACGCCTTGAATGGAGCGATACATATGATACGATGGAAGTCAGATTCGGCATGGGTCTATATGAAAGTATTTCGCTCCGCGTACACGGTGATTTGCGCAAACTGACAACCACAGCAGTCTCAGTGACATCTTCTGAAACTGTCTCTTTTTCACCAACTTCGTTCGCAACACCAACCGCAAGTACATCAGTCCATGATATTGGCTATTCGGTACCCGCGGACTTTAATCTTGGGAATTTCTCTCTTGCGTATGTACCAACTTCATTTCCAAATGGCAAATCCGCCGTGGCTAATGTCTATCAACAGAACTGCCAGAGCAAATGAAACTTTATCAATCAAATGTGTCAAATGTTCCATCAAAGGCTCGATTGAATTGACGCAAGGCGTTTTCACCATTAATGACTCGTCACTTGAAATTCAGGAAGCAATTAACTTCCTTGAAAATGGTTACTTTGAAACGGTAGTCAATGGGCTAGGCGCTCATATCGAGATCGATGCTGCCATTGCTGGAACTTTTGACGAATCTTTCAGTATGAGTCTTGTTACTTTGACGCTACCTGGCTTTCAGGTATGTAATAAACTTACCTGAAATTTCCTTAATGTGTTTCTTAATGAGAAAAATGCGGAACTAACATTCTGACGTAATCCTAGATTCCTGAAATTGCCGCCATAGGTCCAATGTGGACTCCTACCATCCGCGGCGCCATCAATATCTCCACAAACTTAGACTTCACCTACGGTTTTGAAGTCGCCATCCCAGACAATTCCTCTATACTACTCAACATTGGAAACCTTAGCGAGTCCACCTCCCACGGTTTCCGCAACACAACCGTCACAGCACTCCCCCTAACCGCCACCGATTCCTCCATAGCCCTAACTCTCTCCCTCGCCCTCCACTCCGAAATTTTCCTCGGCGTAGATATCCTATCAGAAAGGGGCAGTCTAGCCGCAGGAGCCTTCCTCGATCTCCCCGCCCTCTCAGTATCCATCACTAAACTCTCATCCGTAGACAAAAACTGCAATCCCGCACAAAGCGCCTCTGTAACCCCATCTCAGAACCCTGAATCCAAAGATATTTTCCCCTCTCTCATAAATATCGTCACCAAAGCCGAAATAGCACTCGGTCTCGAAACCAGGGCTGAAGTAGTAGTCCCCGAAATTAATTTCGTAGAAAATGTAGGAATGACGGCTACGCTTGCTGGAACGGAATGGCTGCTTCCGACTGCGTGTTTGAGTTTTGATAGTAAGATGAAGGCGTTTGTTAGTCCGACAGCTGCTGCTGCGGCTACGGCTACGACTACGACTGGAAGTTCTTCGACTGATTCGAAGCAATCGGCTAGTGCTGGGATGCAACTTTCCGCGCCTTTGGTATTAGCTGGGGATATGGGATCGTTGTATTTGTTACAACGGGCTACACAACTACCAAGACACGTGATCACAAATGATCAATAGTGATCATTAAGGATCACTAAGGATCACGGTATAGGTGATCACTGATGATCATTAACGATCACTAAGGATCACGATATAGATGATCACTAATGATCAGTAGTGATCATTAAGGATCACTAAGGATCACGGTATAGGTGATCACTGGTGATCATTAAGGATCACTAAGGATCACGATATAGATGATCACTAATGATCATGAAGGATCACTAGTAATCATGGAAGCATGAAGGACTATATAATCAAGATGGATTTCCTTTGTATAGAGCTTCGTGCTCAAGATCAATCATTTAGTATACTCTACTATTAGTTACGAGTTGCATTTCATTATTGTCATTACTTAAGTCCCTGCTTGACGCCTAGTTATAAACCACCTCGAGAGCCTAGAGCACTTCCACGTGATCTAGACGGCAAACCTCGTAACAGTATTGGACTTTGGGAATGATGGTGGGTGTGGTTTTTGTGGCGCTTGGTTTGTGATCAATAAAATCGCAAAAAATCTGAAATTTTCAGGATTTATTATTATATAAATAATAAATTTGTAATTAAAATTTCAAAGAATTATATTTATAAATAAAAAAGTTATAAAAGTTAATTTTCGTTATTTTTGGTGAGGAAAAGTGGCCGGAATTAAAAGTGGTTGGAAAGTAGGGTACTAGAATTATACAGTAACTTACCTTATTGAACTTTTAGGTACAAGTCTAGAACCATATTGTCGTAGGAAAAGATGAATTTGCTTTCCTTATGTGGCAGACGGCCGCTTGGGCACCATGATCGAGCATATCTAATTTATCATGCTTTGCTAGCAGAGCGACCTTGGGAACCGCATCTGCCACTATTAGTCCAGGTTCTGGTGACGAAAAGCGAAAATCTCCTAACAACAGTTGGAAGGTGGAGACGGGCGCGCGAGAGTGGTTAAGTGGTTGACTCAGAGACAAAGGTGGTCGTGGAAAAATTAAAGCATATATATGGACTGTCATTAGCCCATTTATCGCTATCAATCAAGTTTTGTTCTGTTATCATATCATAGATTTGCTCATTCAACGCAGCAATGAGGTGGTTAACCCTGACCCTAGTTAATCTAGGGCACCTAGTGGAGTTGAGGTCAATGGAGCTTATGTCATCTTCTACCAGGTCACCATTGGTTCGGATAGACTCACTGCTATTATCCGTGATTCATAATCACAAGGCAGTTATCCTCTTTCCCCGCTAGAATTCCTCCTTATCTTATTACTTAAGAGAACTCAGACTCTCGAAAAACAAACACCAGTTCATCCGCAATAACATCGTAGCATGATAGCATCATCATGACTTCGAATTCCGAAAATCATCCTCATGGAAAGGCAAATTTCGCCGAAAACCCATTCGAACAACTCCCAAGAGATCTTCTGTTGCCTATGGTCAAGCTAACTTCGGACTTGCTACACTTTGGAGTTTGAGCAGAGTTTCGCGTGCTGTCCAACTACTCATCGATGACTGTGGCAAGGAAATTGTCGAGACGGTCTTAAGTGCAAGTGAACCGAAGCACATTCGTGCTCTTATTGGTCCTATCGCGCTTCTGAAATTGGGTATGCACCCATCAACGTCGCTAGATGAATTCAAAAAATGTCATGTTGGACCCTGGTTTCAGGTCGCTCAGCTTTTTGACGACCCTTCGTTAAAACATTTACCCTTGGTTGACTATCAAAGAATTGTTGAAAATCGCTATGGAATGCTTCCTAATGAAATTTCGCCAATGGTGGTACACACAATTTCACGAACAGCTTACAAAATTAATCGGTTGACGCAGTTATGTCATAAACATTTCATTGACAGATGCAAGAGCCTTGTAATCTCCGAGCCCATTCAACTAAAAACCAAAGGCAAAATCTAACTAGAGCATAAGGAATGTCGCAAATACTCTGTTCGTGACGTTGATCCGCCCTCTTGGATAGAGGAGAAAAGAATTACTCGAGCATTTTGGTATATTCAAATGTTTTACGATCTGAAAAATAATGCCGAAAAACTTCAATGGACGAAGTCAGACCTGGATAAACTTCGAAGTATGGATGCAGACGAATTTTATGACAGGCCACCGCGCTGCCCCATAGGAAGTGCGATTTTGACTGTGGCACTTTATTTGAGTGAGGCATCTGAGGGTCTCATAGTCAACACGACTCAGAATACAATTTCTGATATACAATTACCACAGCCAGCAGAGAACGTCTCTGTTATCGTACTTGCCGAGCCAAAATTTGAGGGTTCTAAATCGGACGGATGGGGACAGGGTGCCGACCGTATCGATCATAGCCCTTCATCAATACCAGGAATTTTTGTTCCTCTTTGCTTACTTATGCTTCCAGTATTTACTCGAGTTGAATATTCATCTGCGCGTTTCCGTCGTTTTGGGTTTGCTATTTGGGATCGCAAGAGAATGTTCGCTTTTGGACTAGCAAATGGACCTGGCCCGTCAGAGATTGTCGCCCCCAATAGAAGAGAATTACTTTTCAAATATTTAACTCTATCAGAATAGTAAGTAAGAGAGGTATCTATAGACAAGCTTTCAAAGCGGGGAAAGACTTGTTGACTAAGTACGGCACGAGGTCTTAATTCAGTGGGAGTCCTGTCGATTTCTATTTAGTATTATCAATACATGAGCTTTTCCGATGCCTGACAGAAACATCTTGGTTCTATTAAGGAACCCTGGTCTGTATCCATCTCCAACTGTATCTACCTAGCTATTGTAATCTCAAGGTCCCCTTGGTGTGTCTACAATCTCGAATATCATCGAAGGCACCAAATCCGCCAAATTTTCCTCTGTGAGGGCGCCACTAGTGGACCATTCTTTTTCGGCCCATACTCTAATCGCATTAATAAATTTCAGGCCAAGAGCAGCTCGGTGCGTTGCTAGGAGGTACACTATACCTGCTCCATTCTTTGAGCCAAGCATCGCCATGAAAGGTTCTGCTAATGAACCAGTACTCGGATCGATAAACGTGAAAGGGTTTATCTCGAACCTATGTCCCGGCCAAGTAGGAACCGTCGCTAATCCCGACGCCACGAAAGCCCTCTGAATCTGAGCCTTTGTATCGTCATTTGCCACTCCAGCACGTACCACTCTCTTTAGTCCTTGAATAGCAGCAGCATTTGGGGCATGCGTAATCCATGAAATAAAAACCACATCTGACCATTGTGTTACAGGCGGATATGAGGTTGCATAAGGGTCAGTAAAGAAAGGGCTGATATTGTAGTCCGCGATGATTACACCGTCCACCCAATCGAGCTGATTTTGGAACATGCCTCCTGTAAACTAGAAAACTTAGCATGTACTCAGCTCAAAGCATTCATATTGGGCTTACAGAATGTCTAGATGTACCGAGATACCAATCTTCCGAGTGAATATAACCCCAGAACTCGATATTTCCGGCACTGATTGGGATATCAGCTCCCGCTAAGAACTGGTCCATGTTGGTAAGAGCTTCATATGCAGGCTATGCTGTGATTGCTAATTCTTCATATCCTATACTTAGCAGCTCATCGACCGTGGTCCAGCGACTCTCCGTTGCTGGATTGATGGTTAAGATTTCAAGGAGCACAAAAGAACATGTCCTTTAGTAACCCTGGCATTATAATCGACTATGTCGCCAAGGTCTCTAGAGGTGAGAAGGGATGACTTTGAGCCGTCATATCCGGATCCGTGCAGATGATCAAAAGAATCGATGTTTTGGATACTGTAGTCTGAAAGAATAGACTCGGATTTTGTCGCGGAACTGTTGCTGCTTGTAATGAAGCCACGTTGATAATGAAAAAGGAGTAAAAAGAAGGAAATGACAGTCGTGTAGCGGATCAAAATAATCCTGGATAATAGAAATGGCTTTCTGCCTCGCATAAGTCGCAGGAAAATTTTTAATTAGGATTTAAAAGATCAGTGTGGGATATAGTGCGCGAAATATGATGAGCATATCGGACTCCGTCAAGTAGATGCTATTCCTAATGTTGGATACCAATGATGTCAGGGGGGAGTAGCATCGATGATGCTCCCGCTCTGTCGTATGTGTGTATATAGAGGAGCGTGTATTACTGTGTAACAATATTACTTCTTCATCAAAGAGCTCTTCATTGCATTGCCATTTCCCGATAATTTATTCATTATGGAGCTTTGTCGCATCTTCTTCTTCGCTGTCGTTGTGTCTACATATGGAAAAATGACTCACGCTAGCAGCGGTTTGACATCATCAATATCACATGGCGCATCAGAATCTGGCGTACTCACTCCTACCAGTGTCAACGGAAGCTATCTTTACCGTACAAGTAGAGCAACCAGTCAGAATTTGGCTTCAACGACGTCTTTAGTCTTGAAGAACACCCACTCCACACACAATAGCATTCAATTGTCGTCGAGTCAGATTGTCGCCAGTGTCGGCTCCCATACAGTCAAAGGTTCTTTCTCAAATGGAACGAATACGCGCGTTCCTCATTTGAACTCGACCTACTCATCGACTAATTTCACCCATGTTCAATCGAAACCAGCCTTGACGAATAGCGAGGATGAATCTAACACCAGATCGGTCTTTACACACTTTATGGTAAATTCTGAATGCCGCAACTTTACAAGACTTATGTACTAAACATGACTAGGTCGGCAACGTTCCCTCCTGGGACATCTCGGCTTGGGAAGCTGATATTAAGCTTGCTATGGAAGCTCATATTGATGCATTCGCCTTGAATGTAGCGTTCGGTGATGAAGGGAATCAAAACTCCGTCGCAAATGCATTTTCCGCCGCTGAGTTACAGGGTTTCAAGTGGTTCTTCTCTTTTGACTACGCCGGTGGCATTAGCGCGTGGCCTCTTGGCACTGTTGTTGACTACATAAGACAATATTCCTCTACTAGTGCTTACTTTCAATACCTCGGTAAACCATTTGTCTCGACCTTTGAAGGCCCAGCTTCATCCGAAGATTGGATACTATTAAGGCAGACACAGGTTGCTTTTTTATGCCGGATTGGTCTTCCCTGGGGGCCAAAGCCGCTCTTGAATTGGGTCAGGCTGATGGTTTATTTTCTTGGGCTGCATGGCCATACGGACCATTCGACATGGACGCTGATGTTGATGCATCTTACCTACAATTTCTCAATGAGACTGGTACACCTTTACCATATATGATGCCTGTGTCTCCATGGTCCTTCAAAAATCTACCCGGGTACGACAAGAACTGGATATGGCGTGGTGACGACCTCTGGTTCGATAGATGGGAAGAAGTTTGGTACATTCGACCAGATTTGGTAGAAATTATTACCTGGAATGACTTTGGTGAATCTCATTACATCGGGCCTTTGCATTCAGAGGCGTATGAAGCGTTCGACGCTGATACTGGAAATCCGCCATACAATTATGCAATAGATATGCCTCACGATGGATGGCGATTGTTCCTGCCCAATATTATTGATACGTACAAGTACGGCACCGCTTCTGTGGCTCAGGAGGGCTTGGTAACATGGTACCGTCTCTATCCAGCTAATGCGCCATGTTCTTCAGGGAACACAAGTGCAAATACACACACTCAGTTCTAGTACGAGTTCGAGCCCTCGGAGGTTGCCGAAGACCGTATTTTCTACTCGGCTCTCCTTGCTAGCGACGCTGACGTTATGGTTACGATTGGCTCATCTGTTATTTCTGGGAAATGGAGAAATATTCCCGATAGTGGAATTGGTATATATCATGGAAGCGTGTTAACAAGCGGCCAAACTGGAGCTGTGACTGTAGTAATGTCGAGATCAGGAACCACTCTTGTCACTGTAATTGGTGCCGAAATTACGGATTCCTGTCCCCATGGCATACAAAATTGGAATGTCTGGGTTGGAGCCGACTCTGGCTTAGTTATTCCTGCAGCAACACCAACTTTAACTTTAGATGAACAATTTTGCGTCAATGGAACTGGTTCCAACAACTTTGCCGATCTATGCGAATTTTCTTGCGGCTATGGTTATTGTCCAATTGGCGCATGTACTTGCACTGCCATGGAAAGCAAGTGCCTTTACCCCCTTACGTTGGTGTCAAGGGATATCCGCGGTCTGGAGAGTCTTCTGACTAGTCAAGACTTTGCTCATTTGCTTGCAACCTTGATTATTGCCCTGAAACGGCATGCGGAACTGTTTCGGTTCCTTTGTCTACTCCCACTTTCTCGCCTTTTGATCCTTTCGTGTACACTAGTGGAATTAGAGAGAATAATTTAGGTGTTCTGTGCCACTTTGCATGTAACTTTGGCTACTGCCCACTGCATTCATGTACTTGCGGTAGTACAGGGGAATTGGTAGCGCTTCCAGCATACACCCCGATGGTTGTCAAGCCCACTCCAGGCCTAGACGAATTTCTCTATGGTGATTTGTGTCAATTTTCCTGCGAGTATGGTTACTGTCCACCAGCAGCCTGTAACAATGCTACGGGAGCGCCAGCAACTATTTATGTCGATCAGATCATCTTTGTGGAGCCAAGTCCAGTATTTATCTGTCCTCCACCGTGCATATTTGTTCTGCCATCATCAACCATGGACTCCGAGACGGTAATAACCTCGATCGTTCTTGGAAGTTCTACCATGGTGTCTATCACTCCCGCTCCAAGCAGGTTATATTCGCTCTTCTTCTTTTTCTTCTTCTTTTTTATTTGGAGGATACTGACAACTTCTCTAGTGACGACTTCAGTAGTTAGCTTCTTTGATATGTCGGTTGGAGCCGGCAAGGACTCTTTTACTTTTGCTTTGACTTCTAGCTTTGAGCCTGAGCCCGAGCCTTTGGTAATCACAGTGGGAATTATAACTACCACAGTCTATTTCTTGCCTGTAGCTGGCTCCGCTCTGGGACAAGCCACACCCGATATTTACTATTCATTGGGGACGACAGTTTATATATCTGGAGGTCTGACTCAGACATTTTCGGAGGATCAATTCACCAATCTCAGAACGCTTACTGCACCAACAACAATCACAACATCGATCGTCGAAAAATCCACAGGCTCATCAACTACCTCTTCCACCACCACCGTAATCCCTATATGGGTTCAAGCTGGAGGCTTTTATTGGTCTCCAGTCCCACTACCCACGCCTGGGCCCCTCAAAATCCCATCCCTTCCAGAGTTTCCTCCTATCCCCAACCCACCTTGCTTCAGGTTTCTTGATATCTTCTCAATTGATTGTCCTCCTGATAAGACAAAACCGACTAGTACATTCAAAAGTGGTGATTCCGCGGAGCCTACTTTCACTGCAAGTTGTGGAAGCCCTTGCACCGCAAATTGTGATACAACGGGTACCGCCACCTCCACTGAATGCTCAAAAGCCATAGCAACAAACTATTGGGTCTCTTGTGCCTCCAACAGTTGTGTCACCACGAGCTCTAGTACAGTTACAGGGTGTGCAGTTGAGCCTAGTATCACGACTACCACAGGAACCGATTACCGTCCACTTGCTACGCTGCTAACTGGTGATGATGAAGGTTCTGATAAGGATATTTCAATCACTCCAATTTGGACTGTTGTACAGACTACGATTTCGAAGCGTGTGTACCTGTCCGGCTCCACGTATACTGTTAAGTCAGGATCAATCACTGTAAATGGACTCGGATATAGTGTTCCAGCAGTGTCAGCTTCATCCGTCCTGGTGATTGGAGGATCTACAGCTACTGTCTATCCGCCAGTTGTAGCATCCATTGGCTCTATCACTGCCACTGGCTATGGAACAAATCCATTAACACCTTCGAGCACGACTACTCCTGTGCAAAGTACTACTACTTGCTCTTTACCGATTCCAACGCTTGCTGATCCCAAAAATGGGCAAGTATACTGCTTCAGCGAGCACAATGATGGTACTTACGTGCCATTTAACATCACTGGCGAGCAAGCAGTCCTAAATTCCATTTGTAATGAGGGAAAAACTCTTTAACCTGGTGGTACACCATATACATATGTGCACACAGACTCAACGGGTGTTAATATCATCGCACAATTGAATTGGGCCGCTGATCAAGCCGGATGCAGTACTGAGGGTAGCTGGGCATTGAAATCCAACGATTGTATCGTTCATATCGATTACAATCCGTTTCACTGCGACGGGAACAGCGCCGATGAAAATTACGGCGGTGCTTATATCTGGAATGGGCCATTTGGATGTAATGAATATATGCTTTATGCGGTTGATAGTGGATCAGGAAGCAGTACTTGCAGATGTTCTGAGGATGGATGCACTTCAGATAGTCCGGCATGTTGTGCTGATGGGACTTGTGATAGTACACGGAAGTCTGTCATGAACAGAGTTACTCTCATTCCAGGAAGCTTGGGGCTGGTAGGAGGTCAGAACCATACCGGGACATAGAGACTGTTGAGTTTGTATCAAAAATAGACGAATAATCCAAAGAGCTTACAATTCTAGTGTAGCAGCTTACATTGGGGGGCGGGGGGCTGTGGGAACTTTTTTCCATAGCTTTGAGCGTTAAATATTCGGCGTTCGCCTCTACAATGTAGTTTTGCAATGCCAGCTAGTGCTGAAGCAGGCTTTGCCTAAGCCCCTGCACCATTTATTTGAGCGATATTGGTGGCATGATGATGAATCCAGCTTGTGTATAATAGTTATGTATATTACGAAAAAGAAAAGTCAAAGCTAGACTGGCTATTTCTAATCATGTTTGAGACGAAGTGTACTTGTGCTGCGTTGCAAAATTCTAGGATGAATGTCCGAATATAATTTTTGTAAGCTCGTGAGCAAAATTTGAATGGCGAAATTCAGGGCATCGTCCGCATGATGGTGTGTCGATTGTTAATTAAGAGCATGCAGAGTCATGCTTAAATTATGATGCATCGCGATGGTACGAAAATTTTACAGTCCGAATATACATATATGTTTGAGCCGTTCTAGTGTAGGAAATTGGCAGAGCTCAATCGATGCTACTAGTGGAACTGTGTTTGTCGGCCATGGAATTCTAAAAACTCATGCATTCTTGTCTGGCCTTTGGAGTGTTATTTTGAGTTGGAAATTATGAACATTCCAATGCTAGAATGATCGTGACATGTTGCACAGTGTGTGTCACAGTCTAGTGTGGAAGCACAAGCCGGCACCGATGATGCAGGTTAAGTCTTGTCCTCCTTTAGCGCTCAGAGCATCCAACAAGATATTTGTCCTTTCTTGTCCTCTGTTCAGATCATGCCAGAAGTGGACTGGCGGATGACTCGACAGGAAAATCGTGATCTTCAATTTAAAAGTTCCCACGCGTACAAACTCATCAGTATCCAGAGAGACGCATTTATTTTCTTGTTCGTGTGACAAATCAATTCCGAACGTGAACCAAGATCTCGGAGCTGCTCAGGTATAAGTATGAGTTTCATAGAGTTCGCAAAAAAACATCCACTTTGTATATTTTGACACCTCATAACGGTTCTATCTTGCTCATCTGAAGCAGACACTTTACAAAATGAGATTTTTTCCCTCAACCTTCATTGTCTCATGCATTGCATCGGCCGCAGCTAATCCTCTTGTCTCCATTTCGCCCATGGCGGACAGTCCCATTCCCCTTCCATCTCTTGTAATCCCGAGCTACGCGGTTCTCAACAGTTACTGTGAGGATGCAGGTTCGAATGCTGTAAGTTTGTTGATTGTCCTCTATGTCTAGTTCGCATCTTCCTCCGTACCTTACCAGCAGCTCCTTTGATATCGCTTTTGATAATTCTCTAGATGATGAACTTAAGCTGCATCTACTAATACTGTTTTAGTATGTCGGAGTACAATACGATAATGGTGTGATAACCTCCTACAATTACGGCGAATGTTATCCTTACACCGTGAACGGCAGTGCCGCATTGGCCGCAGTTTTTTGCAAAAGTGTAACTTGCAACAATTGCCTGTATGTCTCTACTGTATCTCCCATGGCTAATATTTTAATATACTGACATGTGGTTAACAGAGGCGATAATTGCACAGATCCAAATCTTACGCTCACGGTCCCAAGAAGTCTAGTTTTGGTCAATCCATGGGGACTCCTGACAACAGTATTAGGAAAAGGGGCAATATGTCAAAAACCGTCGCTATCCTGAACAGTCAGATTCTTTGACGGCCCTAAACTTTCCAAGGGGACGATTGAGGACATATCAAATAGGAAGACTGTTCGACGATGATAGTGGTAGCTGGCATGAAAGACAAATTTTTCCGAGTCAGCAGAGGAAAAACTTACAGATTTTTGGTATCCTTGTTAGTTTAGGAATTTTACATATGCACAAATCATGCACAGTGTATAAATTCTTCAGAGAAAGCAAGTTCCTATGCATCACATGTTCCTGTGCCTGTTTAGTCTAGTTTGACAACAATTTTTGCACAATACTTCTCAATCTATTGATCTTTTGAAACAGGCGAACCAGAATACTGTTCACATGCTATGCTATGGTAATATTCAGTACTTACGGGTTAGAAATCTTGCTGATATCCGAAGGATGTTATAGACTTTTGGTAATCTTCATCCGTCCATCCAAAACTAGAGATGATTCGGGGTGCGTAATAGTTATTCCATGTGCCACTTTTACCCTCGAGCTGGACTCCATGGTGACATTTACCGGCATGGCCGAATTATGACCAAGCCGAACTATTACCAGTTCCCATGTTTATGGCTCAGGAGTCATTGATTAGATCGATCGTCAATTCCGAGATCGAGATCAAGATCTTTTGATAATTCCATCTGTATTTTCTTATCTCAGCCCATCGTTTTTTGGTTTCACTACGTAACACCATATCAAATCGTCATTACCAAATTATGTTTCAAAAGCTGTCATGCACATTGTTGTTACACCATCGCGTGAAATCAAATTCTCCATTTGGTAGTCAATTATAAAATTTCAAGAACGTTTACAGATGTTTTAGGCTTGACTTGCCCGTATTTTTCTACGATCACTTCAACTCCGTCACATATCATCTAGATATATCAACTATCGTTTTGTCGTCAGCTCAACCAATATTTCTGATCTCACATCAAGTACCAAGTATGAAGATATGGCTTAGATCCTTCACAACGATTGTGTAACCTTCATTCCAGGATGGAAAATCTTGCTTTAAGTGAGGATACAAAACTCCAACTTCTGCTCAACGGGATGAGATGAATATGGAGGTATAAATACTTAATATTATCCGCCTTTGAGTAAGCTATCAACCATCTAACTTACAAACAATCTCTCAATACACTTTATTTGTCTTGATTTCTCATCCATCAAACTCTACGCCAAAAAAACAAAAGTACAACGCGAAACATGAAGGTCACCACCATCCACCTTGCCACTCTAGTTTTCGGATTTGCGAATTACACCACGGTTACTGCTCAAACGAAAGCCCAGATTGTTAGCTCATGCCAGTCCCAAAATCCAAATAACGTAAGCGAGCTTTGCCCATTAGCTCTTCTCATCCCACTTCTTTTCCATTTCTCAAAACATGATTTTAATCCATTTTCATCTCTGATCAATCAATCTCTTGTCATATCTATATCCTAACTAAGAAAAACAATTCAAATTATAAAAATCTAATCACCCCAAAGTTCATAGCCGCAACATACGCCAGCGACTTAGCAGCAACCTACTCCTATTCCCTCTGTTTCCCCTTCGAAATCTTCGGAAACAATATCAATTCTGCCCTCTTTTGTCGAGATGCTCATTGCTCTTTCTATAGGTACTCTCTCATCGTCTCATTTCTTGCATCCATCACTGCGCTTCATCCAGGCATATCCAATACTAACTAGACTCCGCTCCAACCAGCGACGACGCATGCACCACGCTTGCGGCTTTCTCAATCATTCCTTTACCTTTTATTCAAGGCCAGTCACTCCCTTCTAAGTTGATATCAGGCTTGGGGTGGAAGAGTGCAAAATGTGGAAGTGCGTTGCTGGGGTTTACTGTGGGTCAGTAAGATAGTTGTTGTTCTTGGAGGTTAGATGAAGTTGTTGGAAGATTCGATCCGAGATTCTGGGGCTTGGGAGAGAGGCGTTTGATTTGCTGCTTGCGACTCGTTACTTTTTATGTTGACTTGAAATATTTGATTCCTGGTTAGTTGGTTAGATTGAGATAGGGGCGAGAGCAAATGCGTTTGCTAAGAGAGGCTTGTTTTGCTGTCTAGACGATAAGTCAATCATCTTTAACTAATGCTGAGCATACTGTGGATGTTTCTTTCCTCTGTGATCATAATCAACCAAATCATCTGCAGCATCTTGTAAGGAGACAGGTCACCGGGAATTTTCCAGTCTGAAGGTGACCATAACACTTCAAATAAGGAGCAGAAAGCTGTTCTGATTAGCATGGGCAATATGTGATAACCTTTGAAATACAAAGGTATAAATCATGTTCGCTCATCAAAACCTCATCCTCTCTTCCCATGGGCGAAACTAAGCGGGATCCTCGAGGTAACCTAGACACCGAAACTTCCCCACAGTCTCAGCACTACATGCAATTTCATCAGGTTCACCCTGACGACAAGACATTTATTTTCGGACCAGCCAATTAGCTCTAACCGTGGAAGCATCTCGGTATGTAACAGGCATAGTCATTTCCTTCCTGCTCTTCTCATCTCGCACTTCCATAGTCTCAAAGTGGCCAAAGACACTCATTGTGTATGCATCGTAATATCTGTAGCGGAGGTCTCACTACTACATGCTAGCTAGACGATGATTCGGTGGTTGAAAGTAACATTCCCCCTTTTCTGATTTTCTTAACTTTTACCGAATATCGTTAACCTTCAGTCCAAAACTTATACTTTTTCGAGTGATTATTTTGTGAATTTCTAGTTTTCATGAGTAGTTTGGTATTGAAATTAACACAGCAAAGAGCATTAAACAGGATTCGATGCACATCTAAAAAATCGTACTCGATAGACAATAGGTTAAACAAGTAATTAGGCTATCTCGCAAAATCATCCAAGAATTCTAAAAGACAGAAGCCAATAGAGTCACCTCAACAGTTCCACCGGAAGATTAACACTCCTCTAATAACCCACAAGCGATTCATGGTATGAGCCTTTCGTACTCTGCGAATATTTGCTTTGTGGGCAACATCTGTCAAATCTGTGATGAAGCTAAATCGATTATCTCAGGTTGATGCTATAGAAAATATTTGTCTTAGAAAAGATGTCACAACCTTTCATACACTATTATAATTAACTACAGCATTTTTTAAGAATGGACAGGAGCAAACCGGAACGGAATAGAGAGTTATGATTCGTAAAGCTGATTTCAAAGGGCTCAAAAGCAGGTCACCTCCATGAATATATGCAGATGGCGTCGTCGAAGCCATGCTCACTGTATAATAGTTCTTTGACTTCCTATTAGAGAATTGAATGAATTTAAATCTTGATTATCCCTGCATGTCACTTTTGAAATGTACACTGGCACGAGTTGGTGTATAGAATTTAATGAAATATCATCTTGCTGTACCTATTTCAAGATACTCCGTGGTATCATAATCTTATCCCTTACTGCCATGCGAAAGCCTTGTAGGTCTTCTAAGATCTATGCCATTAACACTCCACCCCCATTCATCGGAATTAGTACAACGAAAAACACGCCCCAAACTATTATAAAACCACGCGAATAAATGCAACAAAAGACCGCCAAAATTTCCCCAGCCAATGTCCCACCGCAGGAAATGCAAAGAGAAAACACCTTACACTACCCATAATGCCACGCTAAACGAATAATTCAACCTCCCTATGCATGTTTAATACCCTATACTACGCAGAACGTGAAGTTGGTGTGCATGGATACCATATCCATGCTTAATGCCAATGCTTAAACTCAAAACCCATATATATACCAATATTAATCCTCGTCCCATCGCATGACAAATCGCCACCATACCTATATTCATAAATCATAGTTTTCTCTTTGAAATTGTATTCGCCTGAATAGGTCTCATAGCCGGTCCAAAATCTCGTCCCAGTCGGAGACCTCTCCATCCCCATAATCGGTACTGGCAAGACTAGCCCTCCTTACAAATTTTCTCGTCGAATTCGTGACAGCACTTAATCTCGTCGTCTGCTCATCTATGACTCGTGATGGCGTCTGATTTTCTTTCTGCTTGATATCCATCTCCATTCCCCCTTTCTCACCAGTCTTCCTAGGTGTAGGCGTGGGAACAACTGCCTTGTAGACCTCATCCCACTCTTTGCTTTCCGCAAGGGCAGCTATTAGCAGCCCATCTACATCAGGATCGAGATCGTCATCAAAGTTATGTCTGTTGGATGAAGTTGCCTCCTTAATTTCATCCCATGCTTTCTTACTCTCTGCGAGAGCGGCTGCCTCCAAATCCTCGGGTTTCTCGGTAAAGAACCTCTTTTTTGTATGTCTATCCTCCGGTTTTTCTTTGAACCAAGGCGATCTCCTTGGTTTCGGAGTAAGCTCCATCTCAGGGTCGATATTGGGAGTGCTGATACAAGGTGGTTCACCAGGTTGTTCTTGTAGCTTTGGTGTTGAATTTTGATGCTGGTGGAAATTAGATATTTGAGCTTGCGATGGCTGCGAGGTACTAGCTATTGGTGACTTGACTTTCGACAAATACTCCAGCCCAGCGGGTCCTTGGCTCAAAGGCAAGGAATCCTGACTGTAAATCAAATCTTTTGTATCCTCACGTGCTGCTGGTATCTCTTCGCTAGATTCGAACTGGCTCTCCTTTGCCTCTCCTTGCTGGGAAGGTGAACTAGCAACTTCCCAATTCTGCGAAAACATTCTGAGTTCTTGGGTAGACAGCATGCCTCCAAAGTCATCATCAGCGATCTTGGAACCATCATCATGCACATCGTCCTGCTTCTCGCGATGATTTTGATGCCTAAAATCCGTTTTCAAACAGATGGAAGTCAGAGGTACAACGGGTTCTTCACACAGTTCTCTAGCTTCTTGAGTTGGACTGGGGAAGAATTCGTCATAATGGGATTCAAGAAATGCTTGAGTGGAAGATGGAGGAACATCAAAATTGCTGACTGTTCTCATGTTGGTGAGTGGGGCGGCAAGAGTCGTGCCGATTTTGCTTTTTGGGGGAAGAGTCGGGGGCCTCATGTTGGTAGATCTCTCCCAGAGTGCTGAGCGAGTACCAGATACTGACCTGGAGGCTTGGACGGGCATTTTTTTGGTAGGTGTTCGTTCGAAAGAATGAGACTTTGTCATAGGAGGTTGAACAGACTCCTCGCGAAAAGTTTGCTTTCCCAAACCAGTCATTCGAGACGATGCACTAAGACGTAGAGTAGTTTCTTTGTTGGACGTGGCCGGTTCAATGGAAAGTGACTTTTTCGTCCGAGGCAAACTGATATCTAATGCCTTGGAGTTTTGGCGCAAGTCCATGCCTGGTGTTGTGGTTCCATTGAATTTCATCTTAGAAGGTGGGTCAAATTGATTTCTAGTATCTGATGAATTTGAGTTTGAGGATTTCTCTTTAGCATTTGACACTCTAGGTAGAGCTGATGATTTTGTATCGACGAATGGTATTGATGTGCCGTGTCTACCATTAATAGGTGCATGCCACAGAAGCTCTCGCTTCGATGCCAGATCTTCTACTAGGCGGTTGGAAGTGGCAATCATAGATAGTGTATCGTCTCTAATGATCTGCTCTTTTTCAAATGATACTGCTTGTTTACAGTCAGGGCTACAGGCTGCGTCTGCTGCTTCGGAACGGATTTGGCAATCAAGCATGTCTTCTAACTGAAAAGGGTCGCCAGGCGACATTTGCTCCCTTTCAAAATTCTTCATCCTTGGCAGCTCTTGTTCATTATCGAATGATGCGATGAATTTTTGAATCGGAGGTCCTCTCACTCCTGTAGATTTAGGCCTAGGAGTAGAATGCATGGAACTACTGTCCAACAACGAAATATCTCTATCTGACAAGGGGGGAAAGTCTCCAAACTCGTCCTCGGAATCTTCTGGTACAATTACTCTTTTGGAAATAGCCTCTTTATCATCAAGGTCATTCTTCGCAAGTTGTTCCATTTGGCATCCCTTCTCATGCTCGAAGTCGTGAAGAGCATTTGATTTCGAGACAGCTTCCTCCTCGCCCTCGTCCTCGGAGTTGTGATGCGCAGTCCGTTTCGCGGGCGGCTCTTCATCCAATTCGTCGCACATGGTACCTTCAGAGTCTTCTCCCTTATTTTCTGTTGCATGCGATCTCTTGTTTCCCCGCCCAATAAACATAGAAATCCTCGATTGACTTGCTCTGACATGTCTGCTAGGTTCCGGTACCCCCAATCTCTTTCTCTCTTCTTTCTGCTCCAATGCTTTTGCAGCTTTCTTATCCCTAGCCGCTTTGGCTTTTGCAGCTGCTTGTTCTTTTTCATATGCTTTCCTGTGCTTCGCCAATTCCTCGGCATCTCGTCGCTTTTGCTCGGCTTTCGTTATTCGTGGCGTTCTATTTGCTTTTTGATATGCTTTTTTCGCCTGTTTGCTAGTCATTGGCCGGTGGACTTTTGGCACATCCACCAATTCGAAGGTGCGCTGTTTACTCGGCATCGCGATGAATGTAGTTGTGTTACATGTCGTGAGTATTGACGATGGTTATAGTTCAATTCCGAGGTTGGACGTTCAAAGTAAGGTGTTCGATTACACGACGCGTTGACGCGGGGTCAACATACGCGCTGTTGCTGAGGCAAATGTCACCAAATCACGGGACTTTACTTTCAACAATTTTCTCGTATCACGTGCCGCATTCCAACCAAGACCATCGAAAGATGACATTTTCTCCTACCGAGGTTCCAATCTAATGAAACCTCACCTACCTACATATTTCGAAATATGGTAACACTTCCTTCATGACTTGTGTCTTGTACTCTGTACGTACAATCCTTAACGGATTTAACTGTTTTCGCCAGGGGCAGGGAGATGCATACAAATTACGCCATAAAATCTCAATAATGAAACTAACGAGTTCAGGAGACTGTTCCCTCAGCATTTCCATTTACCTTGAAGTTTGAATATGGAAAATACCTATGCACCGCGTTCTCCGCGTGACTGCAAACTTCGGTCCCGAGACGATGCATGATACATGGATACATGGATGCTTGGCTCCTTGTAACTAGAGGTGTGTAGTGCACACCACTGTGTACTAGTGTGTACTCCGCATTTTAATACTTCTAAAGGCAAATTACAGTAGCGGACATGGAGCTCCATGGCTCTGAAATGGTTCTATTGGAACATAAGACCCAGAGGGCCAGAGGCAATTTTTATTCGCACTTTATTAGAACTAGGTTGTTGTGAAGGGGATCGTCACACCCAGCTCGTTTAAGCTTCGAGCTGTCCGTGTCCTAGTGGGGCAACCTTATCATGGGGCGTGTATGCATGCCCCTGATGGCGCTTGCTACCAACCGTTAGCAGCGTCGGAGCTTTTTCAAAACTTGTAGTCGATGCTATTTTCCTATTTATTCGGACAACAGGAGGTAATTGTTAACACAACGACCTGATATATTTTAGAATTACATTATAGCCAGTTAAAAGTCTATTTAGAATCACCACCCAGATTTGTCCCGATAGTTCGGTTCCTATCTAACGCGCCTTTCGCGTTAGTGTACCCACATATTTCTTATCGTTCATGACCAATTAAGATCAGACAAGCGTTCAGGACATGGAGCCATTCGACAATCCATCGCTGTCTTGGAAAGTGTAGCGTACGCTGCATGGTTAAAAGCATCATGGACAATGAGTGTGGGCCAAGTTTCGGCATGCGGAGAATGGTATCACTATAATTGTCCGTTGACATACTCTGTACATGAAGCACATCTTTAGTTATTAGGCAAAGGCCGAATCAAATCCGAGATTCTATGGAGTATCTTAACCTCGACTCTATTATGTTATAACTGCGGGGAATTAAATTTCCACTGAATATGGGTACGGAGTACAGTGTACACAAACTTTAAAATTACCTTAACCTTATACTATCTACGATCTAGTAAAATTTTGTGGTTCTCGAAGACGGAAGTACTCCGTAGAGTACTTTAGATTTGGTATAGCAGGAATCTAGTCCCGATCCAGGTCCTTTCTACCTGCTACCACGTTGACTTCGCTCCCCGCTTCCAATGATTAAGTAATCATTGTTACATTCAAGAGTCCCAAACTTGCCTGCCACTGCCTGATCCTAGTATACCTCTCTCACTGTGGTAATCATTCTGCTCATCAATACTCATGCATAGCCATTAATGTGGTATCGTTCATTGGGGCGTCTCCTTTGAGCGGGCGGTGGTAAATCTTTTTTTCCTTCTTCTAGGTTGTTAAAGCGATATCTTCGGCTGCACTAGATTACGAGCCTCTGATGATTCTGTAAAATGGCCGATAGATGGGTATTATCGCCTTGATGATCGTAATCGTTAGTTCGGTGGATGACCACAATATCAAGCCTATCTTTTCACCTAAGATAGATGTTCGTATTCATAGTATTGAGCGAGAGGGTGAGTAAACACACTCACAAGAATAATCTGATCTTTACGAGAGCCCGTTGAGGTTGACGGTTCTGATGATACTACAGACCATAGCACTGATTGATCTTACAAGATGCCAAAACTCATTTACGTCATGATCAGCATCTTTTCATTCTTCATATTCAAGTTCTAAAGTATGATCCATGGCAGAGTCGCAAGAATAAAGTCTGGGCCAGCGGAGGTAGGTATCTTACCTGTGGAATATCGGCGTATGTTTTCTGGTGGAAGTTAAACCATCATCACTCACCTCTGACAGCGAGTGAAATCGCAGATATCCATAGCTAATCCTTACAGATTACCTATTAAAAACTCCCATCCACTCTACATTTATTGGTGTCTTGAATAATCTGTTTTGGATTATTCACAGATTATCTAAATTATTCGTAACAGTCCACTTCACAGTTTACTTAATTAACCTAATTTTCCAATTATCCGCTCCGCAAACGGATAATTCGCAGATTAGGTTATCTAGAGCCATAATCCGCTCGGCAAACGGATTATTCGCGGATTCTCCATCAGAGCAATAATCCGCCCCGCGGATAACCCCTTGCCCAGCCTACAAGCGGGCACTGCTGTCATACGGTTATGCAGCGGTCACCTCACCTCTTTAATCCCTCAAGTGCAATTAACCTTAATGATGTTGCGTCGCATCATATCCCCGCTGCTACATCCTAGCCTTGCATTTGAGAGACTTACATCTACCGAGAAAGTTGCATCGAGAGATATAAAGCTCTACCCTCCAACTTCTCCAAGTCTTGCTTTTGTGAGAAACTCTTCCTTCTCTTTTCCAACCATAGGAAATTCACCCATTTCACATTTTAAAGTCGTCTTATTACAATATGGCTTTCGCTGTGGATATTTCGCAATTAGTTCTGTCGGCTTCGATAGTTAGTGTATCCTATTTACTCTGGGTCTACTTCAATTCCCCATTGAGAAACGTCCCGGGACCATTTTTGGCGAAATTTACGAATCTCTGGCGCTTTATAGATGTCTATGGTGGCCGAGCAGAACTGACACACCAACTTCTCCACAAGAGATATGGTCAAGCGGTGCGAATCGGGCCCAATACTGTCAGTTTGAGTGATCCAAAGCTCATTCCAACATTATACAATCTCAAAGGAGATTTTCCCAAGGTGGATTGCCGTGATACCCTATTTATTGTCCCCCGCGTAATAACAAATGGAATGTACAGAGCGATTTTTACACCGTCAGCGATACCAAGGTCGGAAAAAATATAATGCAAAATGTCTTCAGCATTAAGAACAACAAAGGTCATGCTCAAATCCTTAGGCCAATCCAAAAGTTCTACAACATGGGTGGTGTTTTGACCCTAGAGGGAAGTGTGAATGACGCCATCACAGCTTTTGTAAAACGGGTAGACGAGCTTTTTGTTGATGGCTCCAACGCTGGAACTGTATGCAAAATGGACGATTGGATGGGTTATTTCGCCTGGGATGTGATCTCTCAGATAACATTCAGTAGGCCGATGGGTTTCATGGAAAAAGCCTCTGATCACTCTGGTTTTATTCGTATTTCCGAGCAAGCTATGGATTACTTTAGCATTATCGGTCAAATCCCCGCCTTGGATCACTGGTTAGGAAAAAATCCAATCAAACCCATCGGACCCCCAACCTTTAAATCAGCAGCATTATGGTGTGTAGAGCAATTAAAGGCACGCCAACAAGGTACAGATGGAAAATCTACCGATTCAAAAGATATGCTAGACAGTTTCCTCGAAGTCAAAAATACTACCCCGGAATTAATGAGCGAATCGGATGTTGTCAGCTGTCTTCTCATCAACATCATCGCTGGTGCCGATACGACCGCAATCGTCCTAAGATCAATCATCTACTATACACTCAAAACCCCGCGAGTATACAAGAAACTTATCCAAGAGCTTGAATCTGCGAATTTATCCACTCCAGTAAGCTACAAAGAAGCCATCAAACTTCCCTATCTCGAAGCCGTCATCAAAGAAGCCAGTCGAGTACATCCGGGAGTAGGTCTCTTACTAGAACGTACCGTTCCGGCGCGCGGTCTCGCTCTCTCCGATGGAACTTTCCTCCCTCACGGAACAATCGTCGGTATAAATCCCTGGGTAGCCAATCACAGTAAAACCGTGTACGGCGAAGATGCCAATTCTTTTGTTCCCGAGCGCTGGCTCCGCTATAACGAATTCGAAACCGAAGAGGAATATCAAACTCGTCTTTCCATGATGAAACAAACGGATCTGACTTTTGGTGCTGGAAATCGTATTTGTCTTGGGAAAAATATCAGTAGTTTGAATATTAATAAACTTGTAGCTACGCTGTTCTCTACATATGATGTAAGTTATCATTTATTCTATTTCTTGAAAATCAAAATCAAAATCAAAATACTTACATATAATAGTTACAACTCGTAGAACCGGAAAAGGAATGGGGGATACAAAATTCGTGGTTTGTGAGACAAACGGGTATTGAAGTGAAGATACAAAAGAGACAATCTACTCCTATTAACAATTAGAGTAGAAAATTGTCAAGTGCAATTGTGGGGTGTCAAGTCTCCTGACTCTCATTGCGCATTTTGACAGTTCTTGGAATGGGTGTGGGTCTTACAAATACTAGTAATTTTAGGTCTTAGAACATACATGCATGTATATTTTTTTTAAAAAAAATTCCTCTTTATGGGATTCTTTTACCCCATACAGATCTGTATGAGTTGTGGAATTAACCAAATGATCATCTGCAAATACATTTTCGATGTATGTCGCTAACGGTCAAACCATATACTGATACCATTCGATGATATTCTATAACTTGAACAAACCCTATAAATCATCAAAAAGAACTCTGATGTGACGGAAATCCCTGCTTTCCTCCCACCCTTATTATATAAGAAACCTCAGGTACATTAACCATGTCCACACATGATACGATTACTCGAGATTAGTATGCAATTTAGGTGACCTGAGGATCAGATCCGGACAAGTACTAGGTATCAATGGTTATCGGTAAAGTAAGATCATTGGAGGAATAAATATGACTTCTTTTTGCCTAGCCATTGCGGCTAGGCCATTCATTTGTGTATATATAGAGTAGCTATCCCCATCTACAGGTGCTCTTCACCTGTAGATTCTAAGTTAAATACAATTGCTGGTCTATAAACACCCTTTTGGTCACAACAATACAGTTGTTTGAGTAAATTTCTATAGTATTTGTTTATTAAACAAGACTTTATGTTCTTTTTTTTTTTTTTGGATATCTCTCTGGAGTATCCTTACATTCTACAACTACTACAAATAAACCACGAAATAAGTTACTAATTATCACTACTATCTTACCAAAAGGGAAATTTTACAGAGAGAGATAAAAAATCATTCATCTACAGAGTACTTACTAACTTACCAACTATTCAAACAATCAAACAAACAATCTACAATCCTCTAACCAACCCCCGCCACCACCCTCAGAATCAATAACCTCACCACCCTCAATCTCCCTCCTCGCCCACTCCATTCTCCCCTTCCACAACCCATCCCTCTCAAATGCATATTTCATGCCCACCCAATCATTTTCCACCGCGCCTTTCATCCACCATAACTTCTTCTCAATATCCGCCCTCTTCATTAACATTAGGAAATATCCCACTATTCCCATCACCCTCATATCTTTTTCCTTTAACAATTCTACAAATCTCAGCGGTACCAATGCCGGGAATTTCAGGATGAATTTTGCGATTTTGCCTCCTGCGATGATATTTAGATAGTTTGTGCAGAGAGCGTAGATTTTGTAGTCTGGAGCATCTAATGGGAGATCATCAAAGAGAAAGTTGAAAGTTGTCGGATGGTCGTTTTCGGAATCAGGAGACGTTTCGTTTTGTAGTAGGAGAACACGAAGAATGGCTTCTTCCCACTGGATTTGTGCTCTCATGCCCTCGTCTTGAACATATGTACCTGCTAGATTCATCATATCTTTGAGACTTTTCATCGGGACAAACCAATGGAGTGGAACTCTGAAATTTTGGGCATCTGTATTGTTGTGGAGTGAGAGTGTCGAAGGATGAGCATAACCTAGAAATTTTTGACTTCCAGCAGCATGATACATGATGAATAGACAAGACCCCAACACTGCATCGCCTGTTCTCTCTGTAACGCCCTCCTCGATAACTAATTTTCGATGCGCAGCAATAGCTCGTCCCATGTAGTGATGACTAGCTCTGATTACGTCTCTCTCAAATTTGCTTTCCGGGATAGTACTGGTAGGAAATGGAGAAGAGGCTGATGAGAATGAACTTCTGAGATGGAATGCAGAAACACCCAATAAAGCATCCATAATTGAACGGTGACGACATGCAAGCTGAATGACCCATAGTGATATTTTGCATACCGAGACGATTTGAGAAACATCGGTGATATTTACAAAGTGCTGGAAAAGGCGGAATTCCAGGAGTTTGTCGGCATCTGATAGAGACGAGTTGACAGAAGTCGGAAAAGAGAAGGAAATGGGGTTGCATGGAACAGGGCGCGAGAAGTGAGCATTTCGTCGCGTGACTGTTGTTGGAGTGGGGATAGGCAACTTCTTCGCCACAGGGCCGGAAAGGCTAGGCTTGCTGAAAGGCAGAAACAAATACTCACATGCAATGTCACTCTTAGTACAATTTGCACATGTGGGTTTCGTTTCATCGCACTGGGAAATTGTCAGAATCAAAGCACTTACCATATGTATGTTCTTACTTAAGAATGGGGTTCCAGACCTTTAATCGTCTCGCCTTGCAGCTTTTACAGCCATATCTAGATTTCTTATGAGGTCGCCTTATTGTCTCTTTGGCAGTCGAAGATGCCATGTTGATACTTGGCTCAAGATACAGACGAAAGAGATCTGACTTGTTGTAAAACGAGGCAGCTAACGAAGGGGAGACGATGGATACGGACACCAGCCACATTGTACCCGAGTACGTGATTTCTGATTGGCGAATAACTTAGGTGGAGATATAGTGCTGTGGGCCCTATCAACAGAAAAATAACAGGGCTATATTGGGCATTCCTCACCTCCTCGTTCTCCGCGACAAGAAAAGCCTTAACAAACTAGCGCAGCAAAGAAAATGCACCATCAAATGCACCCAAGGACCTCCTAGACCTTTCATCCCTTTTCCAAACCCTTCTCCTCCTAAGATTCTCCCCGTGGCTCTTAGAGCAGGAGCGATATGATACAGTGATAATGCACCAGCGACATTGCGACTTGTTCGATCAACAGCTCGCCAGGCAAATATGATTGAGATGAGACATGAGACGAAGAGAAGAATCGCATATTGTTGAATGACGGCGTGGGCTTGCGGAGCTGGGAGAGAAAGTTGAGATGAGGGATTGAAGAAGAAATTTAAGGAGGCGGGGATTTCGATGAGGGAATGGAGGAAGAAGGGTAGATGTTGAATGAGAGACATGGTTGGTTGGTTGGTTGAGGGTGTGAATTGAGGAATGGATGGTGTGAAAAGTAGGTAGATAGAGAGTAATGAATGATACCATATCGATTCGTTAACATTTAAAAGATAAGAATCTTTGATCGGTGCCAAGCAGAGCTCCACTCCAGGCGGGGTTTGAGCCGGGTGAATGCCGAAGGGAGTGAAGCAGGAGGGGTGTCGATCATTTAGAGTGCTATGGAACTACTTCGTGCTCCGTATTCCGTGCTATATGTCGAACTGCAAGATGATGAATAGTAGGTAAATAAACAAATAAATAAATAAATCCATAAATCTAATTGGATCTTTCTTGTAAACAATGCCGCTTTTGACCATCTCTATCTATGACGCTTTTATTTCATTTATCCAGCTAACCATTCATCTATTTTTAACACAATGAATGCTGTGTTGCTAGAAAGCTCCCGCAGAAACTAAAGCGGCCTGTAATTTCTTTTCTTTTGTGAGAAGCTAAACCCTGTCGAAACAGTTTGGGTGACATAGCGCTGCAGTAGACAGTTTTATACGGGTTAGATGATAAGGTTGATTAATTCAGATGAGAATTGTCAAAGTTCCATGGATAATTGAAAAAGCAATTATTCTTATTGGCATGTGAAACATTAACTTTTTCCTTTTATCTTTTTCCTTACTCTAATTTTCACTCTCTGTGCCGGAGCAGCCGATTTCAAAAGTTAAGCTCCCGTCTCAACAATTCCAAGAGCTGTCGTTGAAATTCTAGCTCTTAACCCCCTCCATTCTTTCTTGGTATCAAGGGAGCTAAGCCTAGTCACGACTACTTACCATCCTACCCCGTATAAGGCTGTCTTGCTGTTTTGATACATCTTACACACCAACCTCGGCTTTTACATCATCATTTACCTCATCAATTGAAATTCAAATCCAACCCTGCTTTTACACTTTACACTTTACAACAGTTTTTCATTTCCAGCTCCAAGTCTACTTACTTCACACTCGTTAAATGACTTTTATATCTTGTCTAATATCATTCATCCACTCACTCACTTAATAACAAACACCAATTCCTCATTTTGGTGTACAAATCTACGGTATCATTTCAAACAATTCCACAACAACACCTCGCAGCCATGTCAACATTCACAGAAGCCCAAGATGCCCAGCAATCCGCCAACAAAAACGAATTCGGGCATCTCAACCTTTCAATCGTTGGATTGGGAGTTGAATACCCTCCATTCTTACTAGAACCATCAGCATTGGACATCCTAACCAAACGTCACTATCCTGACTCCCCAGCGCAAGTCTTCCCTATCCTCTTCCCTACATTCCCATGAACCGAATACCGCGTACTAATTCAAAACTGTAGAATGAAGAAAGTATGTACAATCAACAACTTCACCGGCATTGAAACCCGCTCTGCAATCGGTACAGTCGACCATCCCATGGCCAACATGAATCGCGCTCCCACAATTACCGAACTCTGCTCCATATTCCTGAAAGACGGTGTTGCTCTCGCCGTAACCGCATGTCGCAAAGCTCTCCATGAAGCTCATCTCCAAACCTCCGACATTACCCATGTTGTGAGTACAACTTGTACCAATAGTGCCAATCCAGGGTACGACCATTTCGTCTGCAAAGCCTTGGGAATAACTCAACCGGTTGAAAAAGTTCTACTTCATGGAATTGGATGTAGCGGTGGTCTTGCGAGTTTGAGAACTGCGGCGAATTTGGCATTGGGTCATAGTTTTAGAGGGAAGAAAGCAAGGGTTTTAGTTATGGCGTTGGAAATTAGCTCGTTGCTAGTGAGGAGTGAGTTGGATAGTGTGCATGAGTTACAGGAGACGAGGATTGGTGTTACGCTTTTCAGCGATTGTGCGAGTGCGTGTGTACTCAGTAATGGTATTGGTGGAACGGGAGAGGAAGAGAGTGTTTATGATTTGTTGGGTTGGGAACATAAGATGATTCCGGATACGGAACATGATTTGGGATTTGATGTTGATCCACTTGGTACGTTTATTTTCCTTCTTCCTTTCCCAATCTTTGTATCACTCTCTCGAAGAAGAAAGCTAATTCGACTTTTTCTTCGCAAAAGGCTGGAAAGTAATCCTGTCCCCACGCGTTCCCAAACTCGCCGCCGAAGCCGTTTCCCCCATCTACCATTCCCTGATCTCCAATCTCCCGCACCTTCCTGAGTCATACCGTACTCCCGCCGATTTCGACTGGGCGCTTCATCCAGGGGGTGCAACAATCCTAACCGGCGTTGAAAAAGCTATGAATATTTCACCAGAACACATGAGAGCTTCATACGATACATACATGAAACATGGAAACTCCTCCAGCGCGACAATTTTCAGCGTAATGGATAGATTACGATGTAAAGATATGGATGGCATTACACCCGGAGGAAGAGGTCCCAAAGAAATGGTCGTTGGATGTGCTTTTGGACCTGGTATCGCCGTTGAAATGTGTCTCCTGAAGCGGAATTTAAGTCATGTGAAACGGGAGTGGGATAGCGGGGTCCAAAGCATCATCGGTGGGGAAGTTACCCCGCCATTGACAGAAAGTGAAGGGACTAGAAGCGTAAGTGAAGGAGAGATAGAACCGGAAGACTTGGCGAAAGTAAAGGAGTCAGGGGATAAATTGGATGCAAAATTACAGAAAGTGGAACCCGCGGTTCTAGAACAAAATGCGCAGCTGGAGTCGCTGGGTAAGGAAAATACAAGGCCGGATAGTTTGGAGGAGGCTCTTAATGGTGTGCAGCTGGACTAAGTATAATATAAACTATAAAAAGAGGAAAAAGAAAGAAATAGCTAGAGACAAGAGCTAGAAGTTACAATAGCGATGATATGCTTAGAAAAAAAATATATAATTACGACGGTCTGGGAATGAGCGATGATAGAAATAAGAAATAAAAATAAATGGATAATTAATTCTAAGCGGGGGTTTGCAATACGATATGGCAGGTAGGTATCTTGAAAAATGTTTCCTTCACAACACGCGAGGATTAGGTAGTGTTGTAGATGAGATGACTGAAATGAGAGGAGATGAGAAGAAATAATGAATGCATGATGCGCTGGTGTGTGTATTGAAAATAGATCACGTGTATGTATGTAAACTTATCATCATGAAGACTTTTGTGATATTTCCAATACCTAGGTAGGTAGGTAGGTAGGTACTTATATACGGGGTTATATTGAAATTTTGTAATTTCGTAACATTGTCGGCTTATCAATGCAACGCAATGCAATGCACGCACTTCAACACAACGAGAACGAATTACCTACCCTACCGCACCAATTCCCTCCTAATCAAAAACAACCTTCTTCCCACTAAACGTCGCCTTAGCCTTCTCATCCTTCGCCTTCTTCGCCGCCTCCCAACTAGGGTGTAAAACGCCGACATCATCTCTCGTCTTAATCCTCTCTCGGGGTTTCACCTCCAGCATATTAGCATTCGTTTTATCATTTCTAAAATCGCCTTTGCGTCCTTTATTCACATCTCTCAGTTTAACTTTCTTGCCCATCTTCTCGGCTCGTTTCATTTCTCGCTCTTGTTCGATGGATAGGCCGCCGGCGGCGATGTGTTTGGCTCCTTTGCCGAATTTTTTTTCCCAAAGTGCTTGTCGGGCTTTTTGGCCCATGCGGTTTTTGCGGACGGTTGGTTTCATGTCGGTGTCTGAGAGGGAGGAGGCGGAGGATTCGGAGCCGGACCAGTAGCCTCCCATTAGGGTGGGGAGGAAAGTACTGTTTTTTGTTGGGTCGGGCGTGGTGATGGTGGTTGATTTCTTGGGTTTTTTGGCTTTGGATTGGGTTTCTGGTTCGGGTGATAGGGATGGTGAGGGTTTGCGACGGGAAATTGATGATTTGTTGTCTGCCGAGTTGTCGGATAGAGAGATTGAAGGTGCAGGTGAGGGCGATCGGGATGGTGTGGGTGAAAGAGAGAGTGACAATCGTGTATTTGACTTTGACGTCGAGGGATTTTTCTTCAGGTATTCTTCCTCGTCAAATGATTCTTCGTCCGAGGACGCACCTAACAGAGCATCGTATCGTGAAAGAGTTTCTTCATCAAATGAATCATTTCCTTCGTTTTCCTCATCATCCTCGGAATCTTCCTCGTCTTCATCATCGCCTGGTGAATCAAAACCTTCCCATGATTCCTCCTTGTTCTGTTTCTTCGACGGCTTTTGTATCGTATTTTCCATATCAACATCACTGTCATCACCCTCACTCTGGGATTCCATCTTTTTCGAGCTCTTCTTCGCATAATCCCCCTTCGCTTTCTCCTTCACCTTATCCTTCCCTTTCTTTCCCTTCTCCATAACAGGCGCCAGAATACCCATACTCATATAACTTCCCCTAATTACTCCCTCCCAGACACTCTTCACAATCTTAAAATTCCACATCCCACTCACAACATTATTCCACACCTTAATATCCTCTTCTCCCTTCTCTCCTTCCCACCCCTTGACACCCTCTCCACTTTCACCCCATCCTGCAGGGAAAAAACCACTTTCAGCCATAACCTTTATTTTGCCCAATCCCCTCGCCAATCGCTGTTCAACCACTTTATCCAAATCCACCATTTTCAAAGCTTCAATCTCTTTCCGTATCCTCGACATTTGCACCGCATCCGCAGCTTTCGTAGCATTCGTCAATCTCTTTCCCAGCCTTTGCCTCTCAAATCCTTTTGCAGTTTTAAGCGCGCTGCGAAGCTGTTTTCGAGCAGAGATGAGATGGATATTGAAATCATTTTGACGGGAATTGCGCACGCGGTTATGAGAGGATATTGAATCATCTTGATCGTTGGAGGAGCGCTTTCGTTTCGGCATTGTTTCTTATGTATTGTATTATGTCTAGAAGTTTGGGGTTGCGAATATCGAAGAATTGATTTGAGGATAAATTGGACGAAATAAATAAATTCAATCGCAGAAAATAATCCATGAAGCTCAAAATGACAGGGGTTATGTCGATCTCAAAGGCGGTGAGGAAATGTGGCAGAATCTAAATGTGGATAGTGGACAGTGGAGTCGAGTGTCAATCAGTTGAATCGTGTCATTGATCGGGGAATGGAGAATAAATGAAAGGCCGACAGGTTTGTATATACGTTTCTTTTTCATCTGTTCCTCTTTCTTTCTTTCTTTCTTTCTTTCTTTCTTTCTTTCTTTCTTTCTTTCTTTCTTTCTTTCTTTCTTTCTTTCTTTCTTCAACTGATTTCAAATTGCTCATATCACATCATATCACATCAACTAACAACATGGCGACCTCAACGCTCCACGCAGCGAACCTCTTCAATGTTAACGGTCTCGTTGCTGTTATTACCGGTGGCGGAACAGGTAATCCTAATTCCTTCCTCCGTTCTGTACTTTTTTAATGCCTAATCCTAGGTATTGGCTTGATGATGACCCGAGCTCTCGCTCTCAACGGTGCCGCCAAAGTGTACATTATTGGCCGCCGGAAGGAACCTCTTGAAGCTGCTGCCTCTTCCATAGAGACAGGAAATGTCATTCCTATCGTCGGTGATGTGACCGATAAAGAAGTTCTCGCTTCGATCGTCTCGAGGATCGAGTCCGAAGTAGGATACATCAACCTTCTAGTAGCCAATTCTGGCATGGCAGGTCCTCAAGCCACACAAATCCCCACTGCATCTTCCTCCCTCTCTGAGTTCACTGCCGCATATGGAAGTCCTAGTGTGTCGGACGTGGTTAAAACTTTTGAGTTAAATACAGTTGCCGTTTATTTCTCTGTCATGGCTTTCTTGGATTTGTTGGACAAGGGCAATAAGAAAGGGAATGTCTCGCAGACCAGTCAGGTTATTGCCACTAGCTCCATTACTGCGTTTAACAGAAATATACCTGGATCGTTTATCTACGGGCAAACCAAAGCTGCTACGACACATCTAATGAAGCAATTGAGTACACAATTAGTGCCGTATGATATTAGATGCAATACTATCGCGCCTGGTTGTACGTTACCTATCACAGCTTCTAAAATTTGTTCTAAGAGAAATACGCTAACCGAATTTAGTATTCCCCTCTGAGATGGCTGCTGGAATCATCGGTAGTGGGGTTTTCCCCAGAGAGAGGATTCCATTGCAAAGAGTAGGCACGGAAGAAGAAATGGCCGGCTGTATTCTCTTTTTGGCATCGAAGGCAGGGGCTTATTGTACTCACGCTCTTATTGTGGTTGACGGAGGCCGGTTGGCTATCCAGCCTAGTAGCTATTAAGTTCATGAACAAATGAAGTATTTAGGACTTTGTAGAAAGATACAGGAGACAGAGTAGACACATAGATCTTGTTGATTTATAGTTGAAATAATCATGTTCATATTATTGCGTGGGTGACGCCCAACAATATGACCATGAGGTTGGTGGAATTGTATATATGTTGTTACACTTGAGCAATCTAAGAAAAATGGGTACATGCACTAAAATGTCGCTACATGGTTCGACATCAAGATAGCTATAGCTTACCGACAACCTATTCCCAACCATTTCAACAATCGACGTCGGGAAAGTAATCCTCAATGCCACGAGGACTAACAAGAATAAGAATCGCACCCTGAGGTGAGGCACATTCCAAGTCGAGAGTTATAGCTAACCATGGAGGTTGAAATACTATACACCAACCCACTCATGCCTCTACTGCTTGGCTTGTCTAGGAATCCAATTCTCGAGCCGCATAAGGTGCACCACATGAATCGGATCAAAGTGTGTTTCCTTTCCCCTCTCCAGCTAAGCTTTGAGCCTTATTTTAGCATCAATTGTTTTGGAGCAAAACTCTGCATTGTCTGCTCATTTCATCAAATGAGACCCGGCTGGACAGAGAATTTGGAAGAGAACTTTTTCCCAGACCTGGCAGATGTGCAAAACAAGGTAGGCTAGTTGATTGTGTCGAGATATTGTCGAAATTTGTAGATGTGCGATAAAACAAGAGTAAATCGAGTGGTTTCTTGAGAATATTATCAGCGATTGTAAATATGCAACCAAAAGTAAGAAAAACGCCCTTCGGATGGTTGGCTGAGGATATGGGTATGGAAGAAATGAATAGCTTAGCTATGATTGTGGTGCAGAGTGTTGTCAATAGAAAAACGCTGGAATGATGGAAAAGAGTAACTAATGGTAATTGCGATCTACAACCAAACATTCGATAACAAGAAGGATTGGTGGCATAATGGCTTTTCTGGCATTATAAGCACCGAGAATCAAAATTATGATTGAAAGATGGTAAGTATACCAGGCAGAATGGCAAGGAGTTAGACTTTCAGCAAAGTTGCTTTGCCACTGAGTGGTACAGGACTTTCCGTTCGGCGTGCGCATGGGTAAGATATATGCCTTCGCGACGATCAATACATTTATGATTACATCAATGTCTTTGGATAGGTAGGTAGCTTTCTCTCCTGCTGCAAGAGATATTATGAGGTTTCTTCTGATAACATCGTCAGACGCTAAAAATTAGTTTATTCCAACCAAAAAATCGCTCACCAAGCAGATAGAGATATTGGTAAGAAAGTCATGAGATACAATCTGAGCAGTGAGCACTGAGAACAAAGAAGGACGAGGTAGACGGCGAAGAGAATGAGGGAAAGGGGTGGCAAAAGAAGACGAAGGATACCAAATATCGAATCTGCTCAAGGAAACGCAAAGGAAGATCGCGGACCTCAACAATATCCGGCCGAGGCAAAGCACAGCGCCAACAAAGAATAATCCCAGATCCTCGACTCGTGCCTGACATGATATTCACATGTGGCTCGATATTAGACACTTAGCATTGTGGGATCACTGGTGGATCTGCGGGTTTAACCCACCGGCTCAACGTATCGGCTGCTGCTGCCGGGGGGCATGTTATACCCCAAAGGATTACCACTATATTAAAATCCCTAGCTTAAATTTGTATGATCCAGTCTTGGCGCTTATAAAAGATAATTTCGCAGGAGTGAGTGGTGACCCTTCATCATTATAGGAAAGCGGGTATGCCGAGCCGAGCCGAGCCAGGTAGGTCACTGGCAAGAAATTCTCAGGCTATGAATAGCAAAAGCAAAGATAAAAGTGGCAGGGTCTGTTTTCTTATGGCTCACTCGGAGACGGAAGATGAGAAATTCCCGGAATTTTAATATTGTATAGTGGTCGAAAGTGTATCGTCTTGGCATGCACCCCTCTATTCCTGCCAGGGCCCAGATGAGAAGTAGACTTGTATTTTGTTGGCAAGTTATAACGCCCATGTGCTGAAGATATTTCGCTCGTCACGAGAGCAGCAAGGACCCGACAACTAACTCTGTACAAGATCCTTCCGCATTCTTGCCTCGGCTAATATATCTGCACTGTGGGTTAGATCTGGGGTATGATAGGTAACGAGGTTTTACCAGTATTTAACGGGGTGTAATGTGGATACTCGCTTCGATTTCTTTTTACCTATGAAACACATTCATCGGAAAAACTAACAACCATCCACTTTTCAATATACCTTTGCAGTAGATTAACGGAATAAATGAGCTGTAATTTACCGCCAAGGATTTCGCCTCCAAACTTTGGTAAATTGATGTTATGCCCAGGTGTATTGCGGTACTTCCGAAGCGGCTCGCCGGTCCGTTGCTAGGTTGCCAGGCGCTTACATGAAGAAACTAAATGAATCTTCTCAATTAGCCTCCTGAGTAGCACTTAACTCGAGGCAGTGCAGAAATTATCATGAAAATATTGCCTCCCACCACATGGGTCGACATTGATAGACATACCATCCACGAATAAGAGCATGTTGAGCTTCAGATAACATTAGAAGGATTAAGGACAATCGTCAATTCGATGATCCTTGAAACTGCAAATCTTCCATCTGGTAAGAAAATGTAAGCTGTAAGCCGTACGTATCGGACAGATGGCGGTGCACAGTTGTGGTGTGGCACTTCGGATGTTCTGTTTTTCCTATTTAGCCTGTTTGGTGATTTCCAAGATCCGCATCTCACTTTTGAAAACATAAGCGGTGCTGGTCTACTCGTTACTCGAATACGGTAGATGTAATTAGGGTTCGTCCCCGCATTTCTTGGTTCGACGCCCAATAATTGGCAGATTATCCATCGTACGGGGACCCCACAATATGCAATGCTAAAGAAAATGTGGAGAGGGCTCCATGCAGAATTTGAGGTGTCACTCACTTTGAGCGGTTGTAAGCTTGGCGTCTTGCATATTCATCCCAGATATTTGATTAAGCTTATTGGAGACCCCGGATTATCTTGATCATATGCGATGAATTTTCAACAATTATCCATAAAATCCGATCCATACTATGCACAAAAGTCTACTATATTGTAGAATCCCTGTTCATCACCCGACGATGTTTGTGATAAGAGTATCGGACGGATAATCTCAAATAATCCTAGTGTTGTCGCTGTGATAACACGAAGGTGGAGCCAAGGATGATATTTTAATACTGTAGAACGTATCATACTGCTGATGCCGACCTGAATCAATTGTGAAAGCGGCAACAGTGAAATGTTAGTCAAATCACATCCCATGGATCCTCGCTCCGTATTGAGCAACTTCGCCATTACTTTATTCCATGCGGCTTCTTTGCCTCCGCTCCGAATGTGATTTCTGCTCCTGCATCAAAGCTCGCTCTCAATATAGGGGCCTACCATATTTGGCTGCCATTGATCCACCGGATGGCTGCCCGCATTTCCATATTTATCAATCCCCTTGAAATTGCATTCAGCGTTAGGCGATATTGAAGTTGCAGCGAGGTACGTGCGACATGATAATGGGGATAGCTTGGCGTGAATGAAGACTATATAATGTGTTTGATCTCGCTGTCAAGGAATCTCCATCCTCCAACACAATCATCCCCATCCTTTCAAAATGATCTCAAGAGTACTTGCCATTTCTTCTCTTCTGGCTGCGGCCCGCGCCCAGCAGATAGGTACAAACACCGCAGAGGTGCATCCTGCCCTCACTGTCAGTCAATGTACTGCCAGTGGCTGTACTACTTCCAGTCAGTCTATTGTCATCGACGCCAACTGGAGATGGCTCCACACGACCAGTGGTTACACCAACTGCTACACAGGCAACTCTTGGGACGCCACTCTCTGCCCTGATGCAGTAACATGCGCTGCAAACTGTGCTTTGGATGGTGCCGATTACTCTGGAACTTATGGAATTACCACAAGTGGCAATTCGCTTAAGCTTAACTTCGTCACCAAGGGTGCAAACACCAACGTCGGCTCCCGTACCTACTTGATGGCCGCTGGATCGAAGACACAATACCAATTGCTTAAGCTTTTGGGACAAGAGTTCACATTTGATGTGGACGTATCGAACCTCCCATGTGGTCTTAACGGCGCCTTGTACTTTGCTGAGATGGATGCTGATGGAGGAGTGTCTCGCTTCCCAACCAACAAGGTAACCAATAATTCCAAGTCTGCGTGCGGAACGGATGCTGATTGTTTCTTTTAGGCTGGTGCCCAATATGGTACAGGTTATTGTGATGCCCAATGTCCACAAGACATCAAGTTCATCAACGGTCAAGTAAGTAGCCAGTGATATCTTTCAAATTTTTCATCATGTCCTGACTATACCACAGGCAAACTCCGTCGGCTGGACTCCTTCCAGCAATGATGTGAACACCGGAACTGGACAATATGGTTCATGCTGTTCAGAAATGGATATTTGGGAGGCGAACAAGATTTCTGCCGCTTACACTCCTCATCCATGCTCCGTCGACGGACAAACTCGTTGCACCGGAACAGATTGCGGCATTGGAGCAAGATACTCCTCCCTATGTGATGCTGACGGATGTGACTTCAACTCCTACCGTATGGGCGACACCGGCTTCTATGGTGCAGGTCTTACTGTAGACACCAGCAAAGTCTTCACCGTTGTCACTCAATTTATCACCAACGATGGAACAACATCTGGCACTTTGAGCGAAATCCGCCGATTCTACGTTCAGAACGGCAAAGTTATCCCCAACTCCCAATCTAAGGTTACCGGCGTTTCCGGAAACTCCATTACCGACTCTTTCTGTGCCGCACAAAAGACTGCTTTCGGCGACACCAACGAGTTCGCTACAAAGGGAGGTCTTGCTACCATGAGCAAAGCCTTGGCCAAGGGAATGGTACTTGTTATGTCCATCTGGGACGACCACTCGGCCAACATGTTGTGGCTCGATGCCCCATACCCAGCAAGCAAATCTCCAAGCGCCGCCGGTGTCAGCCGTGGATCTTGCAGCGCCAGTTCAGGTGTTCCCGCCGATGTCGAAGCAAACTCCCCAGGCGCCTCTGTCACCTACTCCAACATCAAATGGGGCCCCATCAACTCCACCTACTCCGCTGGCACTGGCTCCAACACTGGCTCCGGCTCTGGCTCTACCACCACATTGGTTAGCTCCGTACCAAGCTCCACCCCAACTTCTACCACTGGTGTTCCCAAATACGGCCAATGTGGAGGTAGCGGATACACCGGACCTACCAACTGCATCGGAAGCACCTGTGTTTCCATGGGTCAATACTACTCCCAATGCCAGTAGATTCTCTCCTTTTTGGAAACGCTTTGGATTTCGATTCAGAGCAGAGATCTCAATGAGTCTGTACATAGGGTCGGCTAGATGTTGATCACATTCTTTCATGTATTTAGTTGTTAAACAATTTGAAATCGCAATTCCAAGATGGGAAAAGAGAAGCAGGAAACATAAGGGCACATAATGAAGTCAATCGTTTATAAAAGCTCCTTGCAATTATCGTAATATTCCGAGTTGATATGTGACTTCTTGTGATATTATAAAGTTGATGAGTGACTCCTCATGAAATAAAAAATTAATTGAAGGATGTGATCTACAATTGCTTGGAAATTCCGAAGGTGATGTCTACCTTGTAATCCCTGCTTAGCTAATTCAAAGTGACGGTGGATCATTGGCCAATTCACAAATCATAACCTTTACCTTCAAAAATTATCCTTCCAGCAATTGATCCAACATTCGATGAATTGACAAATGTCTCTCTCCGAGTGAAGGAAAATGTCTTAAAGTACCTTTTAGGAAATTGGGGGTATAAATATTGGTTATCTTTCCGTTCTGGTTTTCGAACTAGTTTTACAACGGATGCAATTATTAGAGTGGTTGTGCAATGAACATAAAGCGAATCTATCTAAATAGTTTTAACCGAATCAAATAATGCTGGATTAGGTATAGGAGTAGTGAATTAGTTATTTACTGATTGAATGACCTGTACTAGGGGATTTTAAATCTTGTTATATAATGACAATATCTTAATCCATATGTTACGCCGGGTAACAAGAAGACGCTCACGTGTTACCAATATCATGTGACTGACTCAGTGAGGATCAGCAAGCTCAGTACTGAGCCATACTGATCCTACTGATCAGCTAGAACACGAAGGTCTATATAATCAAGATGGATTTCCTTTGTATAGAGCTTCGTGCTCAAGATCAATCATTTAGTATACTCTACTATTAGTTACGAATTGCATATCATTATTGTCATTACTTTAAGTCCCTGCTTGACGCCTAGTCATAAACCACCTCGAGAGCCTAGAGCACTTCCACGTGATCTAGACGGCAAACCTCGTAACATATTCTTTCTAATATATAAAAATAACTGAAATATATCTTTATAAATTGATAATAATAAGACTTTTATAAAGGAAGAAAAGAGAGAGAGGAGAAGGGGAAAAAGAAAGAGGAGAAGGGGAAAAAGAAAAAGGAGGGAGGGGAACCATAGGGTAGGAATATCGATGAAATAGAAAGTGGTTGAAGAAATGAAGCCGATAGCAGGGATTTTCATATGTGTCTCAAATTTAAGGCCACATCTGGTCACATCCAATGAAGTACGGGGCCTTGAACCATTCCTCCTCCTATCTAATTGCTGTGCAAAAAATATATAAAAGCTATACTACACTAGTAGCGCTTACTCGATATCATCGTAGAGCTTCAAAATTACCACATTTCAATATTTTAAATATTGAAACCCTCCAAAATATCGAAATTTGAAAAGCTTCAATTTCAAGTATTAGTCATCATTTAGTGTACATCCGTTCTACAACCGTGGAATTCCATCAATATCTACAACCATGAAAACCCCTATATCCGTACATCCTTTGAAAACCTATATCCCCAAATTACAGTTATGGGACTGACGCACGACCGACATATATGGACCCCAATTCCCCCTAGGTAAGTAGAAAGAACAATTCTGATGCTCATATCATATAGCAATGCTCTGCTCTCAATACTTCACCACAACTGAAATTCGATATCCGCAAACTCCCAGAATATATCGCGATACGCACGACGATGAATGCAATTGTCTGCACGAATGGCACAATTCAGACGATCAACTTCTTCACGGCCAACGAAATTTAATTATAGATCCCCAGGACTACGTCTACAATAAGGATCTACAGTATGGAAAGGCAAACTCGAGAATCGTGTGGTGGAGTCTGACAACGAAAATTGTACCAATCTCGCGGGATCTACAATGCTCCCTCCAAAGGCCAATTCTAAATGAATAGTTCATGATACGACCTCGAAAGGCTGAGCGATTCCAGCTCAAGGAAGAGACTGGAAATACTTTGTGCGACTCGAGCGAATATTGAGCTCTCCGTTGGTGTGATTGGAACGCAGTTTAGGAGTGTGCTGATGGTGGAAGCTGTCGCAAGAATGCCATCACTCCCAATGAGCAAGCATTCGTCGAAACATGAACAAAACGATTGACACAAAGTTAGATGGTACGATAGGCTTGTGAAATCAGTGAAGACTATTACAAAAACGATATAATTCAGCAGTATCTCTCGATATATTCATAAGTGACGACAAGTACAAATGCATTTCCATCGCGGTTTCAGAGCTATAAGCACACCTTTCCGTACTACCAGATTGGTGCAAGCTTTTTATTGCATATGAATTTTGATAAAACATCTTCACTATGCACCTCGATGTTATTTTTTTGGTGCTTCCACCACCAGGCCATGAAAAAGCTACTGGGATATACCGCCACCAACATTCGACACTTAAATTCGACTTCAATGCCTCTCAAAAGAACATCCACACGACTCAATTTCACCGGTCATTTGAGTGTTCACTGCTCAATTTTAGCCTAGACTAATATCCACAGGATTCGTTGTTCAAACTACACTTGGACGACCCCTTATTTTCGACCAACGGATCGTCTGAGCCCCGCCTGTCTTCACCGTTTAGCTTGCATCGAAAGAATGAAGATGTTCTCGAAATTGCTTCCAATGCGTCCCTAGTACCCTGCTACTGTTAACCTCTCATATTAACGGTATTCGATGACCACAAGAATGAATTTGCGATACAACTTCGTAAAGCGTATTGCGTATTTACGTTCTCATCAAAATCTCTGTCTGATCTAGACCCCCTTATCCTGGATTCAGGGTCCAAATTAATATAGTGAGCAACGCTGCTACCCTATAAAGGTACTGTTTATCCCAGTACCTCGGCTTCGTTTCAGGGCCTTCTAGCCCACACCGTCGTCAGGCCCACTGTTAACTGTTTCATCCCCATTCGGATCCATAAATAGCCTAGTCTAGCCTAGACACAGCCTGCTGATCCAATATCACCAATCGATATCCAGCGTAGGTTGAATCGAAATCTGGCTTGGACCTCCATTCTCGAATTTAGCATGAATTTGAAGAACCCCCAAGAATGTTTATTTTCACCAAGAATCCACATCTCAAGCTTTCCCCGTCCGTGTCTCCATATACTCGAGATGCTCAGACAGTAGCTTACCATATTCACGAATCACAACTTCTCGAAATCACATAAAATGATGATCTCTTCATCAAACCGCCTCGTAACGACAATAATGCAGAAATAATTCAACAACAGAGGATTAATATCCTCGACACTGAGACGTTGCGTAAACATGGTAATTAAAGCACCAACTTCCGATATCACTCCGCTGTGCATGGTTCACTTGACGGACACAATTTTAGCTGGATCAGGGGTAATGAGATTCTCTCCTTTCCTTGGATAATGCTAATAGAACGACCTCCTTACACGGTAGATTTGGTGCAAATGGATCTTTGAGCATTTTAGTGTATGCCATTGTTCTTTTAAATAGTTTTAAGGTTCTGCCTTACTTCATCTTTTAATCCATTCTCCTTGATTGATACTCGTATTGATATCCGTTCAGATATTTGGAGGCCTCGTATCCGTGAAAATCCCAATTCGAAAGCATACATCATAGCAACATTCCAATTCCACTCTCAAGATATCATTCTTAAACACTTGAGTTAAGACAGTTTCTTTTCGATCATACTTGGACCCGAATCAAAAAGCCAAAATGTTCTTCTCACCCTTCATCACTGGTCTCCTCCCAATCTTAGCAGCAACTTCCACACAAATCGAAACGCCTCAACATCCCAGCATATTCATCCTCAGCGACCATGCATCCAGTACCTCAGCACTAGGAAACGCCCTACAAACTTTAGGCTACACACACATCTCATCAGAAACGTTGAATAGTTCGTCACCACAACTCAGCACCCATACATTCACCGAACTTTCCACAAATGCTGCGTCAAATGAACTTTTACTTCAATACCCGAATACCAAATTCATCGTTCCCATTTCATCAGCGTCGAAAGAAAATCGTGAAACTGGTGTGGAAAGAAGACCATGCGCCAACAGCTGGCTAACTCATTTGGCTGCTTGGAGTAAACTACTAGCCGAACCCGCCTCAGAAATCAACGCAAAGGAAGAAATCGAAATTGCTCAGCACGAGAAATTAGATTCCATCCGAAGCTCATTAGAAAGCGAAGGAAGACTATTAGAAATTATTCTAGATGAGCGAGAGAAACACAGAGGCGAGAAGTGGTTGAGGTTATGCAAGTTTTTGAATTTGGGATATAGTGTTGTGGAACGATTGAATTTGAAGGAATTCCCTTCTTCGATGGGACAAGAGAGGAAGGGTTCCGGGATGTGGGGATTGGTCGTGCAGAAAAGTGGTGTTTGAAGAGATCTATAAGTTCTAGGATGATTTCTAGAGATTCGTGAGAGGGATGTGGTGGCTTTCATAGGAAGATCATGAAATGCTCGGCTGGGCTGTATATGCTCTCGGTGGATCTTATTTCTTAGCGCGGTGTGCGTTAAGGGGGGTATGAATACCATGTGGTGTCTTGCTATGGGTGGATGCACGAGAGAGTACTTACTCTTCACGACTTCCGCGGCTGCTGGTCTAGTGAGCATCTCTTTCCAATGGCACAAAATGCTCGAGAAAGTGGCTCTACGCGATAGATCTTGGTATAGGAGGGATAGAAGCAGAGGTCTGCAGTTACTTAGAATGGGTACTGTCTGAAACCTGGCACAGGGTAAATAGATAGGAAGATAGATAGGAAGATATCACCATCTTCCCAAAAAATTATTACAAAATAGATAATATAAGAATAAATCAAGTACATCAAAATCAATTCTCTTAAAATCGATCATTCCAAGCAGTAATTAAATATAAATTATTATAATAAAAAATCATCTAATTATGAAAGAAAGATAAGATCTTACATAATTAATAATCTCACTTAGAAGTTAAAGCTCTGATTGTCTAATCATTCAAGATAATAATATAATATATAAAAATACTATTTCGTGATACCTCCGAATTGCAAGACTATCGATTTCTAATAGAGTGAAAACCTTTCCTTCTGACATACGCGAGTAGGTACCTAATTAATAGATAATATCTCGTATATATAATTTATACGAAACTTATCTGTAAGATTTATCTACATAAATAAATTCACGAATCGCGACAGCTGTAATGATAACATGATGAGGGGTTAGTATGCTATTTCTAGATTGCAATATTACCGATATATTGGTGATAGCTAGAATGCACAAAATCCGGGTTGGAGTTTTGAGATTTCACAGAGCCAGCCTTATTATGTTGAAGTTAGTGAGGATACTATACTATTGATCATTATTGGGATTATAATAAGTAATTAGAGAAAAGTGCTGATTTTATAACCACGGCCTGGAGATCAAATATAGAGATTGTATATGATAATTATACTCATACTCAAACTCATACTCATACTATCCACATTCAGAAATGAATTCCGCCAGGTTAAGCACACCCCAAAAAAAATTTGAGCTCCACGACCTTCCTACCACAGAAAGTAAACAAACTCCAACAAACAACATCACCCAAATTCCCAAATTAACATCTCGTCGCGACGAAAACCGCAGTTTCCAATTGATGAATATACTGCTGCACACTAACATTTTCCGGGGATTCGCTCAGATACGAGTTCTGAATATAATTGCTCGCTATACATCCATCACATCACATCAATTATCAAATCATCCTAACAAAATCTCAAGCGCGAAAAAAAATAAATAACGAAAGAGATCAAACATACCGAATTCCCTCAACTCATTCCATTCATTAACAATTTTCTGCAACTGTGGTTTTGCAAGGATCATGGGAGGAATACTGTCAGTATCATTATTGATCAATTGTTTGATGGTTTCGAGATCCGTCACCATGGATTTCCAGGCGCCTTGGAGTAATTCCAATGTGCGCATTGCGGGTCTGATTTCTTGCGTGAGATTGTTGACTTGGCCCTGGGAATAACTTTATTAGTATCTAGATATTATGAATATGTTAGGCTCGTTGGGATTTAATCACTTACATTAACAAACCTAATGTTAAGCTGTAAGCGCGAAGCAGTTTTCTGCTTAGCTTCATACTCGTCCATCACATCTTGAATCTTTTCCATGGCCTCCCTCATACCCTTGATTTCGTTTTTTGCTCTTTGAACGAGTCCTACTCCGATGAAAGTTCCCACTGGCCAACTAATGAGGGTTAGCTGAGGTGAAAAGAAATGATTGTCCTTAGGTAACTTACACCCACATATATTTGGGAGCGTCAGTCAGCACCTTATTCTCTTCAATCCATCGAGATAATGTCAGCAAGTGCCTTTCAATCAAATATGAACAAGAAAGTTTTCATACTGTCATCAATCCTTGCCTGGTATTCATCCAATTCTGCCCGAGCGGCATCAATCTTCTTCTGCATATTTTCGATATCGTTACCCTCCCTAATCAATTGAGCCTCAAGTGAAGTCGCATTAACTTTAAGGCCAGATTCGTGTTGCTCGCATTGGCCATGAAAGTTTTCAAGCCCGGCCAATGCTTGTTGTGCGCCAGCCTGTAGTTGTTTGATTATCCTGAGTTCCTCGTCGACCACGAATTGAATGCCTTCTTTTAATTCCTTCAACTTTGCTTGGTCTGGGTTAGGTTTGTTGTTTTCGTCGTGAAAATCACCGATCCATTTTAGCATGAGAACTGTGTATGACGTCTCCTCGGTTCCACCTGCCATGGTGGCATAGATCCTGATCTGCGCTGCCATGTCGACGATGTTACGCCATGTGTGATCTCTGAAGTATACACAGTCTGTTTTGATCTAATAGATGAATTAGTATCCTCATCAACCAGCTTTCTCATGCAATGTTACTTCTCATCATGCGGATCATTGGATCAGTGTGTCTTGAAAGACTGTGATTGGAAACCCACCTTTGTATAGGTCTTCACAAGAATATCTACTTCTTTACCGAGGTCCGTACTCAATGGATCAGTAGTCAAGATGCCCAATGATCGTAGATAATCATTGCGCGTAGTTGGGAGCAACCTGCCTGTCCCGAGAAACCGATTCAGAGCCTTCATATCAGAAGAGTTGAATATGAAAGCTCTATCATCGTCTTCCGGGTCAGCAGCAAACCTGGAATTGGTGCGGTTATCAACAAACATTCCCTTTGGGAACCAAACCTTCTCGTCGTCAATCGGTCTCGAGGGGTCGAACGACATAATTAATGATGTAATGTAAGAAAGGTTGGAAAAAGTTGAAGTTTTCGGTTGGGTGATGAGAATGGAGATATGAGTGATGGGGGTGAATGGATTCAGAAAAGACAACAAGATCTTTTCCTTTTTAAAATGCTTTATTTCAGGAAGACTGTCCGATGTATCCTTGTTACACGAAATGTGACCGGCTATCATATTCCGTGGCCTTAAATATCCCCACGTTATGAAGAAATGCTTACGCCCACTAACATACGGAAGTAGTAAAACCACGGCCTGGTCTTGTTTAATGGTAATGAGGTGACTCTTGCAGCAAAAATTTCTAGAGTAACCAAGAGGTTGAAATATTGCATAAAAACATATGATGTGGATTCAGCCATTGACATCTCAAGGAAGCTGTTTGATTGATTCATTATGCAGCAAACACTTGTCCATCTACATGGCTTGCGTAGAATTGAGGGATAGCATAGCATTTTGTGAAACAATAAGGTACGGCTCACACACAAAAAATGGTGGGAGAGAGCCTAATTACTCTTACGATATGCGATTGGATTATGTCATATTGAGGTGCAGCAGCCGTTGCAATAAGGTGGCTGGAAATTTTTAATCATCAATGCGCAAGAACGGCATATGCACGTACGAATATATGAGTGACAGCATGAAGTATAAGTTGCGGGGTAATTTCGAGAGCGAATAAGCGTGATTGAGATGCAATACAACTGATGTGACGACTATAAGGGCTGTAAGGCATTACCACACTCCCCATGCACCTCAGAGGGGATTTGGTAAAGGGCGGACGCATCCTGATTACTTACATTGTTGAAAATCCAATTGTGCTTTCACGGCACTTATTCTTGCATTATGAGGCTATCAAAGTCAGCCCACAATCAAACCTGCATGATTGCAGAAGGTACATCTCCTAATAAAACACACACGGGGAATGCCGAAAATCGTAATGAAGAGAGCTCGAGGTGGATGTTGCAAAATCAATTCCCCGTATTTCTGCAACCACAAGCAGCTCGTCAAATAGACGCGGTAGGCGCTATAGCTTTTAATTGGCTCCTGCATGTGGGGAAACCATTTTCTGCTTGTGCCCAATCGAACCTCGAGCATGGCGTCTAGAAATTTGAGCCAATTAATACAGGAGGGGCAAGAATTTTGTAACGCTCTTCGAGTAACTTAGTGGAACTTGATAGACTCTCAATTCATCCAAGCGCATGCAAGTGATATGCAGGATATAGGCCGAAGGGACAACCCCTCATTTTAGATTACTGACGTTGTCATATCATAAGAAGAGGCGGCTAGGTTTGCGGTGCCCCCACGTCGATGTTCTCACCTCTAAATAATTGGATGAGAATGTTTTTCAATTAGCCATAAGGCGGCAGACACTTGAGACTAGCCAGTCTTCTTGAACTCAGGGAGGGGGAAATCAACCCTTTATCGTAAGTTTGTTGGTCATAAAAACTAAGTGAGTGATTAGCTGAACGTTGTATTGGCGCATCAAATTCCAAATCTAGATTAAAAGAATCCTCAGGTAACCACCAAATAGTGATCCGTGACCTTTTCTAGATTACTTCACAATCGATTGTAGTTTATGGTAGGCAGGGCTACTTGTAAACCCGCTAGTCTGGTCAGTTTCGTTACGTTTGAACTTTTCACCTTGGCTCCTAATTTCCGCTCAGTTGTCTCGACTTTTTGCACATGACGCGACATTGAGGCGCGCTGTCCAGGCTATTCTCCTCTCAACTCTTTTGCCCTATACAATAAAGAAGAGCTCTCCCATATCTCCTACGAAAATTTAGTCAAGGAGGATAGTATAACTGAAAGAGAAACTACTAATGTTTGGCTTTTGAGCTTTCAAACGAGACATCATGAGAAACATCATCATTCCACAACCGAACACCCCAGCTGGGTGGCAGGCTTATGCGAACTCGGAGGCCGTAGCCAGTATCCCTCTACAGGCAGCCCAAGATGTAAACCAGACTTCGGTGAGTAAATTTGCGTGTTGCCCTGTTGTGCAAAGTTGATCTAATTCCCCCTTCTCAGAAAATTGCGACTTTCCGCGGAGTTTTCCTCAATGCAACCACGGTTCTCCCACACTCCATGAGCAGGATAAATGTCTATGCCGACGTCCTTGCATTCACGAATCAGACCACCATTGTTGCGCCTAACGATAATGGAACAATCCTCATTGTATCCAGAGTTCTTACAGCGACTGGACCAGTCACCCTCACAGTTCCAAGGGGTCTGGCAACAACATGTGTCGTCTCAATCTATGCATCTGTCCTCAACCAACCAATTACGGTAGCCACTGGCGATGGTTCCAAGCGAGTTAACCTTGACCAAATAGGAACTGGAAAAGTCAACTCCGGGGTAATTATAGTCTTTAGCCCAAGTGGCTTGCAGGTTGAGTATCAGAGATATTACCCTTCTACCACCAGTAAGGATCTTCAGGCGAGCTTGAATACGCAGCTACGCATTGCTCTTGTCCAATTCTGGCGTAATAGTTCCATTGCGATCTCACTATGCTCTCATGTTGCACAAATTACCACGAGGCAACAAGCCTATGCCCTTCTAAATACACAGGCAAGAGCTCTTGGGCAGCAACTCGCTGGCCAAGCCATGGCTGGACAAAATATGAGTTATGCACCGGTGTTAGTCCTCAGTCGATATAAAGAGACAACGCAAAGCGCGTTAAATGCTGCCTTTGCATTCGAACACCAATTTGAACGTTTCCAAGACAAAGCAGAGTCCTTGGATATTCAAATTCAAGCATGGAATGCCATGTTGTCGCAAGCCATCAATGAGTATAACATGAGGATCAATATACGCAACTTAGCGTTCGAGAAGTACGATTATTCAGTGAAAACAGCTACTGGCTGTCACCAGCAATTTGAGAATGACGTGTTTGCCTTGGAGCTTTTGCGGATTGCATTTCAAGCGGGATTAAATAAATGGGTTTTCGAGCAAAAGTTGAAAGCGGTGTTTGAGATTCTTCAAGCAACGATCAGTAAGTCACTCTACACCAAGTTAAAAGTGTTTTTGGGATCATACTGAATCATCCCCTAGCTTTTGCGGTCGCGGTGGGTCAGCTGTGTCTCGGCAGCCCTGGTGGAATTGGACAAGGTGCTGCAGCTGGAAGACAGGCAATCGGGGCTGTTATAGCAGCAGAAAAACTCGTTGGCCAGGTGAACAAAGTGTTGTCCTCTGGTACATTACAGACGCTTCTAGACTGCATTGAGGCCCTTGGCACTCTATATCCGTCAGTGGACACAATAGTCCGGACAATAATGCAATTTGAAAACAATCCAAATATTAACATCCCTTCCACTGGGGATATCTCAGGTACGAGTCGAGGGGACGCTGACGCTGCAGCAATTGTAACCATGGCTGCATGGGACAAATGGCTTCTAGAAGCTGACGATCAGATGGCATTTGCGGTTGGGCAGGGGATTGATGGTGCCAGTGCCTATCAGCTGGGCCTACGGAAGCATGCTATCAATGGCAAGCAACTAGCGCAGGCACAAGCAGAAGCAGTCAAGTCTGGGTATGAGTATGTTCAGGCCCAAATGGAAGTAATTCGGAGTTCGCAGAACATTTCAGATCTTCAAGCACTAAAGGCTGGCTTTCACGGTCAAGAGGCTGTTTATCTTGAAGCAAAATCAATGTTCTATGATCGGGCCATGGCCTTGCGAACCAATGTCGTCCTCTCACTCCGAAATATGGCTTGGGCATATCGCTACTGGGCACTCGCCGATAGTTCGATCAATCTCGACGCTCAAAAATCTTTAGTCGAGTACCAGCAGGATCTTTCCATCGTCATCATGGAGTTGGAACGTGCCGACTCAAGATGGGCCAGTGATCATCAACGTGAGTCCATGAATTCCGTAAATTCTTTCATGGCGGTACTTAACAGTATTGTTAGCTTTTAATTACGATATTGCATCAAACACGGTGAGATTGCTCCTTGGCCACTCTGCTTACCATGTATAAACACAAATTGACATGAGCCTGTAGCTTCCCTCCAACCAAGGCCAATCCATGATTAATGGTATCAAAAGCGATAACCACACTGCCAGCTTTACTCTCCTCACCGACAAGCGTTTTGCAAGTCAATTTGTTGAAGGGTCTCATTATCGACTGAATGGTATGGATCCCACGCTTAATGGAATTCTCCCCAGGCCCGAAGCAATGCAAGGGGGTGTAGTTGTAGTGAAGCTGCAGATCACTACCTCAGGGATCTATTCGGATATTTACAAAAATCAAGTATTTCATTTTGCCAGCCTTCCTCAAGTAAGACGATGTTCATATGATCTTTATTCGAACGGAGGGAGAGGAGCGACGCGTGATGAGCCTATCTTCGAAACTGTAGATCATGCGGAGCCCACGCCCTTTACTCAATGGAAGATAAAACTGCTGAATCCTGAGCAGGTTATTTTGAATGGATTGACAGGAATCAATTTGAAATGGAAGGGGCGTGTTCGGTTTGATGAGAGACATCGTTTGATGCATGGCATTGAGGAATTGTAGGAAGAACTGATGAACGATAGTATTTTAGGTCCACGGGATAATCATCAGACTGGTTTATCTTTCAAGCGCTCTGCATGAGAATTAGCAAATCTGCATCTTGATTAGCACAACAACCAATTTGAGAAATCGCACGACTGTCGTAGTTAATTGCGGTGAAGACGTCGTGTATGTGAGGTTTTTAAGACATTCCATCAACCTGCTGCATGTTTCAGTTGTGCTTATTGTTAGTCAAATATTAGTCATCTAGATTAAGGTGGTCTCCAATTACTTCATCAAAATTATCATTGGAGCTTTCCGCAGGGTTTCAGCGCCTTTCTTCGGTTTTCCTTAGGGCCATATGCTCCGAATTTTTAAAGTTCAGTGACTAAAGTGGCGTCTGTTACAGGGGTTTCAGGTTAGTCCACATATCATCTCGAGTATTTTCCGGGGAGTGGTGGCTGTGGATGTCAGGATAAGAGAATACTTCGAGAGATTCCATTCACACTTATTATTTTGCCATTTTAACGATTCTGATCATGCCATTTCTATTTCAATTTCTATGAACATGAACATATACTCCATCTCATTGAGTGAATTATAAAGCATTTAAATTCTCCATAAGAAATATTCTGTATTAACTTTACTGCCGTTTTGCTCCAATCAGAACCACATTGACGTCAGTTCGATACTACACAGTTATCTCTGAATCACCACATCAACACCCACCGCTCCTTCTCAATTTCCATCTTTGCGTTGAACGTCAGCAAGGTTGCCACTGCTCAAAATGGCAGACCATGCATTCGCACTCAGGAGGGAGTATATTAAAGGACTTCCCAAGATCTCTTCGTCTTCATCCATCGCAGATATGAGAATCACCGAATCTCAAAAGTTAAAAGTCCTCGTGGCCGCAAATGGAAGTAAAGATGTTGCACAAGCTCTTGCACTCGTAGTGAGGCTATCCAAGAATCCAAAAATCGAAACACGAGCGATAATTGACGAAGAAATATGGCCATCATATCGATTATCTCAGGAGACGCTGGCGTACCAAAATAAAAGGTTCTTGACCAGGGAGACAGATGAGGCAAGGAAAGGTATAGAACGAGATCAAATCGAATATTTCCGACAAGAAGCCTTCGAATTGTGTGACTGGGCAGATATACTTGTACTAGCACCTATTGATGCCGACACGTTTGCGAAAATGTTGCACGGCATTACCGACTGTCTGTTGCTTGAAATTCTCCGCGGGTGGGACGTTTCCAAGAAGATATTACTCGTTCCGGGAATGACGACATCAATGTGGGAGAATCCTATCACGAAGAAACAATTGAACAAAGTGCGGAGAAAGTGGCAATGGGTTCGAGTTATGCAACCGATACTGTGGCATTATGATGCGAAGGGTCCAGAGAAATGTTTCGTGGGATGGGATGGATTCAACGAACTTGTCGATGTCATCAAGAATCAAGCGGAACTTTTGACTATTGGCCATGATGTGGATATTGCTGCTTCCGGCGCGGCCAGTCTCGCAAGATACAATATGAAGACAGATGCGCTCCTTCCACCTGAGATATGGTCCCTCATTTTCGAATACGTGGGGGATTGGGAGGTGTCGAGAGCGCTTAACGTGTATGCCAAAATTCCAAGACCAATTGAATGGCAGCCAAAGCCTGATGATGCGAATGACGAATTACAAACTTATATGCGGTCACTCGAACGGATTATTCTTACATCTCCCGTCTACAAGATCATAGATAAACTAAATGCGGCGCCCGAAAACATGCGAGAGCTCTCCCCATTATGTGTTAAGCTCATAATTAAGTTCTGTCTTACAGAAGTTCTCTCATATTTGGAAGCGAAATTGAAGGATGTATTCTGGGCTACGTTTGGACAAAAACTCTTACCCACCAAGGCGTCTGCGGTTTATGGACGCACCGAGATTCTAGAATGGTGGCGCACATCTCCTTCTTTCCTCTCTAAGGACTATACCGCAGAAGCAATCGATGGAGCTTCCAAATCTGGATACGTACATGTTCTTGATTGGTGGAGAAAGTCGGGACTTCCATTAAAATACACAGAACTGGCGCTTGAGCAAGCATCCTCCAAAGGACATATGCTAGTTCTCGAGTGGTGGAAACAAGCAAGCCTTCCCCACAACGAAGTCGAAAGACGAACTCGGCATGCAGAAGCTACATCGAGCAACTCTGATGTCTTCCCAGCTCTACAACTCAAGCCTGGTAAAGCACTACTGGCCGCTGCGCAAAACAATAAACCTCTCGTCCTTCGCTGGTGGGACAATTCCGGTATTCCCATCGCCCATTCTGAGTCCGTAGCTAAAGTCGCGTCGGCCCATGGGCATGTTGCATGTTTAGATACATGGCGCGAACTGAAGGGCGAAAAACTCACATTTGACAGCCAGGTGTTGGTAGGTCCTACTAAAAATGGACATGTAGAGGTATTGGAATGGTGGGCAAATTTCAGTCATGGATCTAATGGAAGACCTGGTGGAAGAGTCGAATATAAGACCTGTGATATTGAAGAGGCACTTGAAGATAGCGTGAGTAAAGAGGGCGAGGAATTGGAGGTTAGAAGATGGTGGGCGAAGATGGGATTGAATTTGGGCGGCTCGGTTAGCGAGTGGACGAGAGTTAAGGTCTTATAGATGGATTTCATATGGAGGGACGTAGTATTATGTTAGCAATGCACGGTAAGTGGAGTTGGGTGGATGGGCTGGCTGGCTGGCTGGCTGAAATGAACAAGGGTGTATGAAAGCATGGATGGATAACAGGAACATAAGCATTTACGAGGAGTTACATAACGAGTTTGATATTTGAAACATTTTTATTTCACTGCAGTCGGTACCCCAGATTGTCTGATATGATTTTTGCACATTATTATATCTAATTGCAGGTCCAGATACTATACTCAGTAAAGCGGATAATATAATACAATATAATACCAAAAAATACAAATATCTACCCGAAGCGGGAGATAAATCGCCGTTGTAAGTACTGCGGTGAGCGGAGACTGGGGTAGTTCCTTTAACCTATATATATATATATATATATATATCTTTGATCAAGAGCGAAGAGCGAAGAGCGAACATGGAGGAAATAGTATAAAATCTTACGAAAAAACTTTTCCTTGATCTAGGACCTGGAGGCTGGCTGGCTGTTGTATTTGAGGGAGTGAAGATTGGATATTTGAGAGGGAGGGGGAGCGGGATGAAGGTTTGAATGACGTCTTGGGAGTTTGTTGTGTACTGGCTGGCTAGTTGCTTGGAGGTTGGAGATTGGGTTGTGTTGATTCGTATTAGCGTTTGATTTTGTGAGTTATTATCCTCGTTCAGATTGGGTTTGTGGATTTGTAATGTTGTTTGCTTTCTTTCTTTTTGGTTTTCAGGGAAGAAAGGTCCGGTCTGAATATTCTCACCACTGGGTAGGAGGTCACAGGAGCTTTCGATACCATGGTTTGAATATATTGAATAACGTTTGTGGCAAGGGGCGCAATATCGTCTGTTAGCGCGTTTCAAATTCGACACTGAGTGATGGGATGGAGACTTCATCCTGGTTTGGCTTTTGACTTTGGGCCTTGTGTGGAGACTTACCGTTAGAAATATGGTGGAGAGTGATAATGATGGTCATACAGCTCAACTGATTATACTTCACTCCACTATGTGTACCTGTGGAGTAGACGATTTCCTCCCAACTGACGTGACAGGAGCTCATCCAGGACGCCCTGTAAGTGAGCTACTCAGCTTTAGGTAACATGGAGCGAGGTATCCGTTTATTAGAACTTACGCTTTCTTTGCCTCGCGTTCTGCAGATACCAGTTAGTTAGTTTCATCCATCATCCCCCAAAAAAAGAAATCTCACCATCCACACTCCCTCGCCTTCACCTCCACTGCCATCAAGGCCGCTCTCAAAAACGGCATATCCCGAGGTTTCTCGAATCAATTCCCGACACCAACCTCGGATCCTCCCGCGGTGATGCTCCCAATCCCCCATCCTCGGTATCCGTGGATCAGTACCATAATTCAACAACTCCACAGTAAGAAGATTCTCATGTCGACGCATGAAATAGAAGTGCGTCGTATAGGTAGCATAATGGAGAGGTCGCCCCATACTCTATTCCGCACGTGGTGCGTGATGTACTTCGTTGGGGTCCAAATGAAAATTTAGGGCGAGAAGGAAGTTATGGGGTTCTTCGGTCATGGAGTGATCGGAAACTATCTCCCAAAGGAGGGAAAGATTTTCAATGTATATGAAGGGCTTTGTGAGACCATCTAGTTAGTCATTCTGACGTCTTTTTGGGAGTTTGCGGAGTTTATTTGCGCTTGTTTTGATTGGGTGTTATTCGAGCGAAAAGCGATCGGAGTGAAGCGACTGCACGATTTGTGGTTTCAGAATAATTAAAGTAGGTAGTAGATACTCTTAGCGTCAGTTCCACCCTGCTCACCGAGTTTTATCTACTCCGTAAATTGCACTGCACTGCTGCGCTGCACTGCACTAATGTATTGATTTGGTAAATTTCGACCAAACTAGGCAGGGATGCTTATTTTAGCGTCAATTGGATTGAGGCTCTTCGGAATTTTTTACCTCAAAACCAAATTTTCATTGAGCTGAGACAACAAATTCCACTTATTATGCCCACTCTTGGGTCAAGCGACACTTCGACAAGCTTCGGTAGACCAACGGTTGGACTAGCGTTCCTTCCTCTTTGGGATGTCGAAGAGTGTGGGGTCGGGACTGATATGGCTTGATGCATGAGTGGGGGGAGAGGGAGGGGTTGAATGTAAAGGTAAATGTAAAGGTAAATGTAAAGGTAAATGTAAAGGTAAATGTAAGCATGCATGTACGGAGTAACTATGTACCTACTGCGTACTAGTACGTCCTACTAGGTACTTTTCATTCAATTCGCTTCTATCATTGTCACTCTAGATCACCTTATCACCATTGGATTGTCTCATCATCTAATCTTTCTATTCCATTTATAGATAGATAAGACCATAAATTGATATTCAGCCAAAATGCATCAATCCAGATTCCAACTCAGACCTTGGGAGGAGTAAAAAGAAGCTCACTAGGATCCTTCAGGCTTCAAAGAATCTGAGAATCAGAAACATATGTTGAGGGGTCAATTGTTGTCAATTGTTCATTGTTCTCATGACACCCGAGCAAGCAGTAACATTCAACGGTCCCGGCGAATAGTAAAAAGTTTTGCTATTCGGACACGGCACCGTCGGGATATGAGGCTCTGAGGGTCTGAATTACAGCGAAATTCATCCCACTCTTTTGCATTCAATTAATCTATCCAAGTCTCCTCCGTACACGTATGCGTTTTTGGGCGCGGAAAAATGCACTTTTCTACATTGCATTCTCTCCATTTCGTTCGCATGTTTAGCCTTACTACATCATAACATCAGCTGGAAAAAAAATTGGGAGTTTTTTATCTGCATATTTCAAGGACCTTAATGTAGTGCAACATTAAGTCCCCTGTCTTACTGGTCCGCTGTGGCTCCAAAGATTGCATTCTTACGGGATGTCCGTAGGTGTTGTACTTCAATGTAACCTCGCACGTGGCACCGCACAAATCTATTGGTCGTCAATGCATCAATGTAGTGTTACCTGAGCTGCCTTATTACATCACGGGGAGGCTCAAAATTATTATAGAAGTAGAGGTTCTTTTAAACGTGAGAATTACCCTCTGTCTTTATTGTTTCGTGTATTAAATTATTTTCCCATTGTGTTTGTTGATATAAAATGGCTTCCATCGGAGACCAATCGGAGTCGAGTGCTTATCAAAAGCAAGGCAAAGTACAGAATAAAAAGGCGCCTAAACGGGAACCTGTGTCGATTGCTGAACTCTGCGTCGGATGCATCGTATGGATGCCAGAACAAGAGGGTGCCGAAAGTGCCAGGTGCATTATGCCTCATTGTCCCTGCAACCGTTCGGAATTGGATGAGAATGGATCTGAACATCATCTTGTGGTTTTGGATGTCTTTAAAACGAACAATGGAGATGTCAGATGTCATGTCGGAAAGGTTAAATTCCCCTAAAAACACAACAAGCCCTTCCTTCAGCTAACAATTACCTCTAGGTAACTTCAAAAGTAAGCAAAGCGAAAAACTTTACCGCCCGTATCAAAATCCATCAAGGGCCTGCAGCTTCATCAACAGAACAACGTGACTTGGACGATGGATTATATCTCGAAACAGGAGAACTGCGCAAACAATCTCACGTCTCTTTGGGGCACGTTTATGAGGTCTCACCCTCACTATTTAGCACAAAGAAAGGTGTACCTGCGTACGATAGGAGGCTTTCGGAACAGAGCTATTACCATTTGATGAAAGCTATGGGGATACCAGCAGCTAAATATGAGCGTACAAGAGACGTGGTGCAAAACGGAGCAACGACGCGCACTTGGATCGCCGGAACTCAAGCAAATTTCTACCACGAGACCCTGGAAGCACGAGTTGTTGATTTACCTAATGGTGCATCATCCATCGGAACCGCCCAGCGCATGGCAGCCTTTCAGAATCATATCAGACCTGCTCCCCTCAATTCCCAACGTCGTCCAACTTCTCCACCTGAGGATTCACCAACTAGTCAATCAGGCGTCTCTACAGCATCAGGACAGAGTCTTGATGAGAATCCAATCTATGGGAGTCCAAACTATGGCAGTCCAAACTATGAGCAGCACAGCCCGCATGGTAGACCAATACCGTCTCGTCAAGGATCAATACACTCACTGATGACACACTCGTCCCATGCCGCATCAACCACAACGATGCATTCCTCACTTATATCACCAGGCCATGACACGAGATTCACAAAATTTGACGCTGATGCCGCTGCCGCTGCCCGCCAGCAGGACGCTTCGATTCAAAGAGCTAGGGACGAAGCAGATGCCGCCGCCGAAAGAGAACAGGAAAATAAAAGAAAAGAGTATGAACGCCGACAGCGGGAACTTGCAGAAATAGAATATCAACATCAACAGCAGGAATTGGCAGACAGAATTCAAGAGGAAAAGGCAAAAATAGAACAGATACGTCTACAGGAAAAAGCACGAAGAGAACAGATACGTCTACAGGAAGAAGCGCAAAGAGAACGGATACATCGAAACTTGAAAGCTCTAGATGAAGAAGAAAAGCGTCGAAAGGACGAAGCTCTACGAAAACAACAACTGCGTTTACGCGCGGAAATTGCAGATACAGAACGTCAACGTCAAAGCATAGCTTCTCTGGAAGAAGAACATCGAATTCGAAGAGAACAACGACGTCGAAGCAGAGAATCTGTGTCCACTGTGTCCACTGCGTCTACAGAACGTGTACTTCGAACGGAAGCTGCTCGGGCAACGCAGCATTATCTTGGAAAGATAGCTGTTATGGAACAAGAACACCCACCTCAAAAGGAATACCTACCACAAATGGAACCCGCTCCTCTAGGAAGAGAATATCTACGACGAGGCGCAGCTCCCTCGGAAAGAGAACAAGCACGTCGACCCGAATCTACGCGACAAAGCGATATCGGAAACGGTAGCACTGCCACTTCTGGCACTTATTCCTCCAGTTATTCTAAGTATACTAAGTATACCCAAATAAGTGAGTACACCAGTACTCGCATCACAAAGTACACTCGATATACTACCGAGGTGGTTATGCACGGTGTTGAGAATGCTCCTTGGAGAGCTATGTCTGTGGGCTCGGTGGTCGTGGTAGGTTGCTATACTTATTATTCGGGTAGCTATGAGACTGGGTTTGAGGCTGCCAAGGGTTTGGCGGGCGGTTTGAGAGCCGTGGCTGGAATGGCTGGTCGTGTGTTGAAATCTCTGACGAGATTGAGGCGATGATTGTTTTCTTTTTCTTCTTTTTTAATTGGGTTGGTTGTTGGGATGTAGGAGTAGGGTAGGATTGGTGTTTTCATTTCCAGTTAACGGTATAAGTTTCATGCTTGTCCTGATGAATCTTTTTTTTGTTTGGCGAATCGGGATCAATATACGTCTTGGTTTGGTTTGGAGTTTAAACCTCACGGCGCGATATTGCTTGGTTCTGGTCTTATCTAATTTCTTATAATATCACATTTATGTTTATTGGAGTTATAATTATTTATCTGATTCTATTGAATTCTTATTCTTTCGGCCAAACTATAATAATACATATACATCGTGAATTTGGCTTGACTATACACTTTGTAATTCAAATGTATTATATGAACGAAGAAACAATCAAAAAGAAAGAGTATACAAGTCTTAGTAATAAAAATTGATCAATTGACTAATAATTAATCAAATACCGGAACTACTTTGTAAACCAAACTAAACCAGTCCCGTCCCGCATCGCATCGCATCTTCACTAAAATCTGTCTGTCTCACTCTCACTACACTAGCTACACCACACTAGTACGTACTAGATAGTAGATACCCAGTCAGTCAGGTGACGTAGGTAAATAAATCCCTGGCATTTTAATAATACTGGGGCTAGTACTTCGTATGTACTTCGTACTCTATCCGTACAGCGGGTGTCGTATGATTCTCCACTCTCCTAGATAGGTATTTATCGACAATGCAATCAATTTATCGGCTGCAACTACAGCTGCAACTATAGCTGCATCTAAAGAATTCTAGAATCTAGGTACTCACCGTATATCTGTTGGAATCGTGATAGAATGGAATTCTTGTAAAAAAAAGATTATAATTAATCTTTTATGTGAAGTTAATTATGGAATCAATTTTTTTGGATATTGGATTAAATTACGATTACCTCGATAAAAATATAAAAATTCAATAATGAATTATTTTATTACTTGACATAATATAATATAATATAATATAATATAATATAATATAATATAATATAATATAATATAATATAATATAATATAATATAATATAATATAATATAATATAATATAATATAATATAATATAATATAATATAATATAATATAATATAATATAATATAATATAATATAATATAATATAATATAATATAATATAATATAATATAACGTAACTTATGGTGAACCGGGTCATATGGGGAACCGGGTCACATTTAGCCCATCACTGACTTCAAACCCCAACAAATTTTGCTATGCATACCGAATCACCTCTTACGCCTTCTCAAATTGAAGAGAAGATACAGAATGCTATTATTGCACTTCAATTGAAGGACTTTAAATCAATTAGAAAGGCTGTAGAGTATTTTGAAGTTCCTAAGTCAACTCTCATAGCTAGAGTCGCTGGAAGGAAATCATGTACTCAATCCTACGAAATGGCTCAAATTCTTTCAAACGCAGAAGAAAATACTCTTGTACGATGGATTTCACGACTTACTATCACTGGATTCCCTGCTACACCTATGTTGGTGAAGGAAATGGCCGACGAAATTCGTCTTCGACATGTTCAGGTCGCGTCATCTCGAATTCCTACCTCGACAGAAATTCCACCTATAGGCCACGAATGGATCTATAGATTCCAAAAACGATATCCAGAACTTAAAACATACTATTCACATCAATTAAAGTCTAATCGGATTAAAGAGGCAACTCCAGAGAATATTCAGGCTTGATTTGATACATTTCGTATATATCTCATTAAACGAAAGTATGAATTAGATGATATGTATAATATAGACGAAACCGGATTTGGAATTGGAAATACTCAAAGTATGTGTATTATAATCGATTCTACTCAGAAATCGAATTGGAAAGTTACAGCTGGCAAGCAAGAATGGATAATTGTATTTGAATATGTCAATACAATTGGAAAGGCTCTATCATCTATAATCATTTTCAAGGCTCAGAATACGAATTCTACATGGATTCCAAAGGACATGTCTCAAAGCTGGCAGTTTTCTACGAGTACGAATGGATAGACCTCAAATAGTCATGGATTAGAATGGCTAAAAAGGGTTTTCGAACCAGAATCCAAGAAAGTATCAGGTGACCGACCTCGATTTTTGATCATGGATGGTTATTCAAATCATATTACAGGTAGCTTTATTGTTTTCTGTATAAAGAAGGAAATCGATTTATTTATATTACCTTCTCATTGCTCTCATTTGCTTCAATCATTTGATATTGCGATATATGGGCCAATGAAACGATATTATGCTTTAGAGGTTGATCGATATTCTCGAGCTAGTGTAAAGCGAATTCAAAGAGCTGAATGGGTAGAACTCTTTCAAAATATTAGAAAAAAAGCACTGAATTCTTCTAATATTAAAGCTAATTGAAGAGGAGTTGATTTAGTACCTTTTGCCCTACAAAAAATACTCGATTCATTACCATTTAACTCCTCCCAGCAACCTTCTACTCTACAAATGAGAATGTCCAATCAAGATCTAGACTTATCTATACTCAGGAGCTTTCCTCTAGATGGGACAAAGCTAAGGCAAGCAAATCAAATCTTTAATAAAGCTTTAGCAGATAATGATTCTCTTGTATTACCAATTTGTCGATATACCAAGAGAATGACTAGGCTTGTAGAATCTCAAAATGCTGAGATAGCCCTACTTCGGAAACAGTTCGCTGATGCTCAGGAAGTAATTGAGACTCGAAAGAAGAGAACTAAAGGCAAAAGAGTCAAATTACAAGGTCAATTTGTCTTTAGTAGTGAGGAAGTACTGAAAATGGTACGTGAGGCGGAGGAAAAACCGAAGGAGAAAAAGCTACGAGGGCGACCACGTAAACGTCCAATTGAAGAATTAGAAGAGGAGACTGAAGAAGAAGAGCCAGAGAGTAGTTCAAGTGATTTAGAGTTGGAATTGGATGAATGTGTAGCTCGTAGAACAAGATCACATAGAGAGAATTGAATTTTGTGACCCGGTTCCCCATATGACCCGGTTCACCATAAGTTACGTTAATATAATATAATATAATATAATATAATATAATATAATATAATATAATATAATATAATATAATATAATATAATATAATATAATATAATATAATATAATATAATATAATATAATATAATATAATATAATATAATATAATATAATATAATATAATATAATATAATATAATATAATATAATATAATATAATATAATATAATATAATATAATATAATATAATATAATATAATATAATATAATATGTTAAAAGGAATGACCTCACACAGGGAATAGTGGGAAGCTGATAGGGCAGAACTGAGGTAATATTAGTCTAGTAGGTTAATCTCTCTTCTAAGTTCTACGGAAGTGCGAAGCTCTCTGTAAGAGAGCTTCTCAATCTAGTCCTAACAGGACTAGTGCCCTGTGCACGTGCTACGCAGGAACCATTCACTTTAACACTCCCCCATGGGTCCTGCAGTTGCACGTGGCCCTTACAACTGTAGATCAGTGATCCCCCATCCCTAGCATTTCAACAAACTTCCTGAATGCATCCTTTCCCAATGGCTTCGTCAAACCGTCCGCCACCATTTTGTCAGTGGGAATATAGCTAACCTCGAGCATTCCCTTTTCAGCTAAGTCCCGTACATGATGGTAAGCAACATCGATATGCTTAGATCGATCTGTTAATTGTGCATTCTTGACTAGAGCAATAGCCCCTTGGTTATCACCCTTCATATCGACTTTAGTCCCGTTTTCTGAAATGTAATGCCTATATCCCATATCACGAAGTACTTGTGCTAACCATTGGCCTTGTTTCGCAGCGATGGATTGTGCAACGTATTCTGATTCGGTCGTAGATGTTGAAACTGCCTTTTGTTTTCGACTCATCCAGAATACTGGCCCTCCTCCCAAAAGCGCTACTACTCCAGAGGTGCTTTTCCTATCCACAATACTACTTGCGTAATCCGCGTCTGAATACACCACAAGGTTTCGCACTCCCCCTGGTCCGAAACGTAATCTATAATTGATTGTAGTTCTCAGATATCGCATGACTCTACGAAGTTGATTCATATAGAATTCCGCTGGATCCTTCATATACTGATTGAGTTTTCCCAAACTGAATGCAATATCGGGTCTTGAATACACCATAGTGTACATTAACTCTCCAATCATACAGCAGTATTGGGCTGGGTCGGCTCGTCTGTCACCTTCCTTGGCTGGTCTCAATGCTTCATATCCTTCGATTGGTGTACTGATTAATCTGGATGATTCTTTCTTAAATCCATATTTGTTTAAGACCTTGTCAATGTATTGTGATTGGTCGATATACAGAGTGCGATTCTTTCTGTCCCGAACGATCCTCATACCTAGAAGCTTAGAATTCTCTATCTCCCCCAGGTTCTTGGCTTTGAAGTCGCTCTTAATCTGAGTATCAAACCAAAGAATATCCTCTGTATTTCGCGCTGCAACAGGTAAATCATCCACATAAAGTAATACTATCATACCTTTGCCGGGGTGTGTGAATAAACATGGATCGGCAAGGCTTTGTACAAATCCCCATACGAGGAGCCGAGACTTGATAAGATCATTCCAATCTCGGGCCGCTTGTTTCAATCCATATAGGCTCCGCAACACTTCCAGGATATGTTGTGGTTTCATATGAACCCCCTTTGGCGGGGCTAAGAATATCTTTTCCCTTAGCTTAGATTCGGTGAATGCATTCTTTATATCAAAATAGTAGGCTTCGAGGTCCTGAGAAGCTACTAATGATAGGAATGAGCGAACGGTTGCTGATTGTATAGTGGGGGCGAAAGTATCGAAATAGTCGATTCCGAATTTCTGAGTGAATCCCCGTGCAACCAATCGTGCCTTAAAGCGTTCCAAAGTACCATCAAGTTTGATCTTAGTTGTAAATACCCACTTCGTTGTGACTAAGTTATTTGTGCCATCATTGAAAACTTGACGCCAAGTTTGATTCTTTTCAAGTTCCCGGATCTCTGCATCAATGGCCTCTTTCCATTCGTCCCCATATATCGGATCGTTGATTGCCTCCTCGTAGGTCCGAGGAATGGGAATATCCTTTGCCATTGTATGTGAGATGATTGTACTTGATACAAAAGCATAATCGTTAGCTTGCTCCTTGGTGAAAAATTCCTCGCCAGGTTCCAACTCGCTGATCATAGCTAGAAAAGCCCGAAGTCTCTTTGCTTCAGAGAAATCTGCTTCATTATCTTGTTCTCTAGTTCTTTTCCTTGTCATTGGTGCAACATATGTATCCATTGCTATAGTATCGTCCTCAGGTTCCGGAGGTATCGAGGTAACATTCGATGGGATTTCCATCTGAGGAATGATCACTTGTGGTATAGTTGCAGAGCATGGGTTTTCTGATTTGGTATACCCTTTGGGTCCTGGGTTGCTACTGCCCGTTGCTATATTCAATGGTGTAGGCCATAAGTTTGATCCCTTTGGCCTTCCAACTGGGCGTCTGTCTGGTAGCTCATTCGATGTTCCCTGCCCTTCAATAAAATCTCCCCCTGAAACACGAGTTCGTAGTTTCAAATCGATCTTTCCTCCTGGTGATCCCTCGAAGAAAGTACAATTACTTGTCTTGATTACTGCATGCATATCAGGTGCATACACATACAATTGCTTCGTTGTATACTCATCATATCCCACGAATACGGCAATCCTTGCTCTATCAACTAGTTTATCGCGTCGTTCACCATTTGGGTGCGACTTTGGATCGATATGTGAGTAACACTTTGATCCCCACATCTTAAGGTGGTCTATCGATGGAATAGTTCCAGTCCATGCTTCATATGGAGAAATCTGTTTCTTGATCGCCTTGTTACTGATAATGCGTTGCTCATCCAATGGAAACTCTCCTCGCCCTTGTCGTACCTCGAATTCGTCAATCCACGGACCAATACATGTTCTGTTCCTCATATACACATCAGCCTGAGCCGTATAACTCCAGAATTCCATCGGTATAGCTGAGTCCTTCAGCATAGCGCGAACATTCATTTGGGTGGTAAGAATTGCTCGTTCCGCAGTTCCATTCTGATTCGAGGAGTATGTACATGTCGATTGACGCTGGGTGCCGATGGTATCTTGCCACTGCTGTAGTATCTTTTCAATTTCAGGGGCATTATCAGTACGAGTAGCCAATATATTGTAACCAGATTCTTTTTCCACACGAAGTCTCCATTTCTCCAATTCATCGATAATATCGTTCTTTCTCTCTAAGGGTATTACCCATACCTTCCTAGTCCAGCTGTCGATGATTTCCGCAAGGTATCGCTTTCTCTTGAATGATGCTGGAAAGGGACCTGTAATATCAAGTGAGATTAAGGCTAATGGCTGTTTCTTATGCTCCCCCAGAACACTACTATAGTGCTTCTTCATCTTCGTTACTGCACATACTTCACAAGGTTCTAGTTCTGTAGGCAATCGAATTTCTTTCTCAAGGGTAGTCACCAAATGTAACTTGCCTAGCACGCCACTGCCCATATGATCGAAGCGTCGATGCCAAAGCCAGTATCGGTTTGCTCTGTTCTTTCGTTGAACTTCCACTTGATCAGGTTTCACTTCATTATACACAATATCATTGACGTCAGCTGGAAGCTCCTCTTCAGTTGCCGGGAATGCTGTATCCGGTATATCCTCATTTGTATCGGATATCATATATATGCCATGGTAGTTGTCTGCAGAAAGTATAACCTTCTTGTCTTTATGGAAATACATCCTCCCATCATCGAATGCTCCAACCGCACTGTGGTCCTTGCAAAATTTCCTTGCCGATAACAGACTAACGCCTAACTTCGGAACATATAGAACGTTTAGTTTGTATATCTTGTTCTTCCATTTGATCTCTGCCACACCATATTCCTTCGCAACCAATCTACCTCCCCCAACTTTGATCGAACGGGGCTCTCGAAGAGGTTTTAGGCTAGAGAGAAGTTGTAATTGGTCAGTCATGTGTGCGGATGCTCCAGTATCGGCAAGCCATGTGCTAGCGGTGCCATGGAATGAAATATGCGCGAACTCACTTGTGAGATCTCCGATACTTTCCTCAGGTGATTCAGTGCCAGCAACATAAGCACGATCGCGTCCTGGGCGAAATGATGATTTTGGTGGAGCGGTCTCGCGTGAAGGGCTTGGAGAATCACTGCTTCTCCAATTTGGTGATTTCCGACCGGATGTTGGTGGGGGTAATCCTTTCTTCTTGGCCAGAAGCTTTGCGATCTCTCCACGAAGTGGGCAGTCTCTCGCAATGTGGCCATTTGTATCACATGTGTAGCATTTAAGGCTTCTGTTAGAGCTAGTACTGCGAGGTCTCTGTTTATCGTTGCTATAGCGACGGTTGCGTCCACGATCTCTTCCTTGATATGCAACCATAGCCATAGTGGTATCGCCATCCTGATCTACTTCACGTGTTTTGGAAGCCTTGCGTAACGTCGCATTTTCATCCACAGCTCGTAATCTATCGAATTTCTGCTCGAAGGTGAGGACCTGCGCATCAATAGCTTCAATAGTGACATCAAATCGATCGGGCAATCCTGCAATAAAGTATTCTAACACCACATCCTTTGTAAGAAGATCCTTTTGTTTTTCATCGCCCTCAACAACTTGCTTTCTGAGTGTATAAATCTCAATCCATCCATCCTCGATTGATGTACCTGGTTGCAATTTAAATGTAGTAAGTCGACCCATTTTGTTCCTAATGTCTTGAGGTGTGATACGTGTATACTTATTCTTGAGTTTCTTCCACTTGTCGCTGAACTCCGGGATTTCTTCGATTAAGTCGTTATCCATATCACCAATGTTTTGTATTACAAAGCGCTCAGCTCCTGATTGAGCCTTCACCATCTTGAATTCCGCATCGTCTTGAATACTTGTATCCAAACCTTGAACCGTTGCCTTAGCCTCCGCCATAGTATGATCTAACGCATATCCCCAACCTTTTTCCTTGATGTAAAGCTCGGATACTTTGAACCACTTTCGCCAGTTCTCACGGTTAAGCTGTGCGATCGCTGGTTTCTTGATCTTTTCGTGGTCTTCCATGTTGATTGTTGTATTGAAAAGATTTTGCGTGCTCAGAAATTTCTCCAGAGTTTTCTTCAGTGCAGAAGATATTTATTTCGAGAGGTGGTGATAGGTTGTATTGTTTTATTGTTGTGTGAATTGGTCGAATATTCGAAATTGACCAAATTGACCAAATTGACTAAATTGACCAAATTGACCAAATTGACCAAATTGACTAAATTGACCAAATTGACCAAATTGACCAAATTGACCAAATTAGTACTATAATGCGAATTGGTCGAACGTATCGTATTCGCAGTTTGATTGTTTTGTAATGTGTAGTATAGTGCCCGCGCACTCTTCAACTTCGCAAGTTGGTATTCCGTATATAGCACTACGTGCTCTTCAGCTTCCTAAGCCGGTATCGTATGGTTTTCTTTCGCAGTCGGAGACCTTCTCCTGGGGGCGGGGAGCACCTTGCTACAACCCTCTTTCATTGGTTTTCTTTCGCAGTCGGAGACCTTCTCCTGGGGCGGGTGAGCACCTTGCTACAAACCCTCTTTCGCAGTCGCCTCAAACCTCAGTCTTTTCTATCGTGCGAACCCGGGCTCATAACCTGTTAAAAGGAATGACCTCACACAGGGAATAGTGGGAAGCTGATAGGGCAGAACTGAGGTAATATTAGTCTAGTAGGTTAATCTCTCTTCTAAGTTCTACGGAAGTGCGAAGCTCTCTGTAAGAGAGCTTCTCAATCTAGTCCTAACAGGACTAGTGCCCTGTGCACGTGCTACGCAGGAACCATTCACTTTAACATAATATAATATAATATAATATAATATAATATAATATAATATAATATAATATAATATAATATAATATAATATAATATAATATAATATAATATAATATAATATAATATAATATAATATAATATAATATAATATAATATAATATAATATAATATAATATAATATAATATAATATAATATAATATAATATAATATAATATAATATAATATAATATAATATAATATAATATAATATAATAAAAATCAAAAAGAGATAAGGATTTATTAATTTTGATATATGTTAAAAGGAATGACCTCACACAGGGAATAGTGGGAAGCTGATAGGGCAGAACTGAGGTAATATTGGTCTTGTAGGTTAATCTCTCTTCTAAGTTCTACGGAAGTGCGAAGCTCTCTGTAAGAGAGCTTCTCAATCTAGTCCTAACAGGACTAGTGCCCTGTGCACGTGCTACGCAGGAACCATTCACTTTAACAATATAGCTTATTTAATAATTATATAATGAGTAGTTTTGAAGTGTTTTTGTCTTCTTATTTAAGATTTTGAGATTGAGAAAGAACTTTTAAATGTTTAAGATTATATACTTGGGGAGTTGAATTTTATCATAACAATAGAACAGATAGAATTGAATATTAGACATGGTATGGTAATAGTAGAAATGAGATGATAGATCTATTTGTTCTCCGTGTAACGGAGATTATGCCATCATCATCGACTGACTTAGTGGCAAGAGACATATGCGATCACGCCATCTATGATTGTGTAGAAGGGGAAACGACGCGGAGTAGTATTTTATTTCACATTTGTATCGCTTGTTCACTCATAGCACTATTATTGTAGATATAAGTCCAGTGTCCAACAATCCACACATCTCCAAACCACCTGTATCATCACAAACCGAAACCGAAACATATTCTATTTATAAATTGTCCAGACTGCCACGTTCGATATTGAAAGAGTGATGGAGATTCTCCTCATAATACAAGCCGGAGGGCCAAGTCTCGAATGCTGTCTGAGTAGATATTTAATATCAGGTGTGATTAAAGTAACATATGTCGCGTTAATGCATATTGTACAACAGACAGAGCCTTGTTTGCATTTCCGATGAAAGACGGCTGTCAAAGCTTGAATACCTTCCAATTGCCAACACCCATACGACCAAGGATACCTCCAAGTTCTCCTTGTTCTTGTCTCCCACTCCACCACTTCTTTGGTCCAGCGAAATGGTTTATGAAACCTTCAGGTCCCGATACGAAAAGTAACTTTGAGTTACTTTCAGCTGTGATTGATCCATACATTTTGGCAGAACTGGGATTTATGGCTTGTGATATCATCTTCTGATCAATGAATGTTCCCTCGTCATCCACGACATAATTCACTTGAAGGTTTTCTGGATATTTTTGCTGGATCTTTTGCAATTGCTGCACAATCAGACCAGTACCGTCAAATGTGAGTGCATCCGATCTCGAAACCGGTTTATACATCTTTCCCCCAACGCATTCTTCCCTTCTCCTATTTGCCCATATTATACGAACCCGTGGTCGTTTGTCATCCGATTTCCGCGCTTCCAGTAAGGTATGAACAACCTGCATAGCAGGAGCAATTCCTGTTCCACCCGCCAAAAAGACAACCTCTTCCACATCCTGTGGCAATTCAAATTCAACATGAGGACCTCGAAGCTCAACCTCGGAATTAGCCTGCAATCCAAACAGATAATTCGACATTTCACCATTTGGCTCTTTTCGAATCAAGAAACGAAGATCTCCCGTCGTGGTGTTTTCATTGGGTGGCAACGGTGTATATGATCGTGCAATTTGCAACAATGGTTGCTTGAACTCCACTGACCAGAGACCATTTTCCCAATATCCCGCATAAGGATCCGACTGGACAGTTATCTTGGGTCTGATCGTCAAAAGCTTACTTGTCGATGAGACATTTTCCTCGGAAATTATAGTAAACTTTGTGAACCGAGGAGAGTCAAATGGACTCGAAGAAATCTTCTGACTTGATTCTGTCTCCAAATTATACAAAATGGTTCCTATGGTTCCTAAGAAAACAAATTCAGATATTAATATTTTCGCTCTAGACGACCTTTGTTTTTCTGCATTATCTAGCCATAAGAGTATTTCTGTCCTTGGAATTGGAAAAGCAAAGAGATAATATGCGGCGAAATATTGAGGCTTCCCAGGTGGCGGTGCTTTTCCGATCGTCCTCAATGAATTTTTTGGAGGGGTTGAACCAAAGTACATAAAATGACGTCGAAATACGTGTGCGGGAAGACATTTCGCGATGTGTGATGGAGTCCTATAACCAGACCAATGCTTTGGCGAAAGTCGTGCCGCAACAGGAAAGAGATTTTGCCCTCGCATCGGGAGAAGTTAAGGATGTCAAAAGAAGATGTTTATCATTGAAGTAAGTTGTCGATGGCTCCGAGCCTAAGCCTAGTTGGGCGATATTGAGTCCAGAGCTTCCTAAGGCGGTGACCTAATTTGGTTAGATCACTCAGCTGACCAATGATATCTTAAGGCCGAAAGCGGCGAAGAAAAAATTGGAAGCTTTATGAGTTAAAAATTATTGCTCGACTGCCTCCCATCCCCCATCCCCTATATCAATTCTGCCGGGGGTCCATTCATTCCATTAGCAGGGCTCTAGCTACTAACTATATTTCAAACCATTTCAAATGATTCTCATCATCTTAGAATATCGTACGGTCATTATTTGATCGCGGTCCAGCCCATTTGCGAAGCAACTACCATCAATTTACCTATCATTAAGATCAAATCCCGTGGTAATATATATACATGAAATAACTGAACATCCTCTAACCGATCCGGGATATTAACCGCCGAGATTCTAACCAACTGGGTATCTATCTCTCTGTCCCGGGGAAATCTCAGGTACAAGGCGTTTCTGGCTTCTGACTGTTCAAAGGCACATCAAATCATACAATTCATATTATCAATCAGCCTGAATTCTCCTATTTCCGCTTTCCTATCTATTTCACGGGCGTCGAACTCCCCAACAACTCATAGGATATATCGTTTCCATGCAATTCGCCTCTCTGCTGATTCACCGTTGTAGAGGGAGCTTCTGAAATATACGAAGGGTCGTTGTATCGTCGGCCATCATTAAACTTCTCAAAATATTCCGTCGGTGCTTCATTCCCCACAATAGAAAGAGGTTGTGATATTTGAGAGCGTTTTCGTAGCCGTCTAAAGAAAAGAAAAGCGATCGCACCTATGAGGAGGACACCAAGGGCAACTCCTATTCCTATCCCAGCCTTAGCGCCCGTGCTTAAACCAGTGCTCGATGATGTTGATGAGGTTGATGTTGATTGTGGCGCTGATGATGTGCTTGAAGATGACGTTGCGGAGACGAGAGTTTTAGATACACTTGCAATTGGTGATGCAGTTGAAGAGGATGTAGAAGATGAAGTTGTACTTGATTCCCATGTAGGATCGTCCGAAGCTCTTTCTATGATTATACCATACGCCGCCACGTTGTTAACTCCGGATGTGACAGCTATTCTCGTGCTGGCGTATATCACTGGATAAGATGTAGTGCTCGCCGCAGTGACAGTATCGAATAGGACGCTATTGATGGATAATGTTGCATCTTCCGTAAAATAGGATGTACAACCATAAATTTGATCTGAAGGTCTATCCGCAAAACATGTATAACCTCTGTCAATTTTTGTCAGCCTCCAATGATCGATTGCGTTTTGAAGCCCACTACATACGTAGGACAACAGGTCGCTACAGTTTTGGTAGCACTCAAACCTGTGGAGAATGACGAGCACGCGGCGCTGTATCCAGTAGGGCAAATCCCTGGGGAATAATAATCTAATATATGTGTTAGCGTGCTTAATTCATCAATACAAAGTCATAGTATTTTCCTCATGAGGATATCCATAAAATGTCCAAATAAGCCTAAAACCCTGAGCAGTAGACTTCAAGCAATATGGTCGTTTTTGCGATTGACAATCAAAGAAAGGAAGAACAAGATTCAAAATAAGCTCATGTCCTTACATGCTGTTTCACGGTTGAACCCGCTCGGCATACAAGTCGTGCTCCCAGTACCAATACCACCAAATGCCAGCCAGTGATTGAGTCGATTTTGGGCCCAGAAAATCTGACTACAATCTGAGCCCAAAGGTGTATATGTCGTAGTCAATGGGCCCACCAAATGGCTCGGAGCTGAAGTTATAGATGTAGTCAAGGCACCTGTAGTTGTCGACATCTTGCTCAGAACTGTGACCGCCACGTAGTTAAATTCACAAGGTTCAAATCTTCAAAAGTAATTGTTGGAAAACCATCTTGAAAACCACGGCGGCAGTGCCGTTCGTTTTGTTGTACAATTAATATACCATAAATTATTAGCTCTCACCCCTCCACTCTTGATTCTGTCAGCAACGGCTGTCACAGATCCACCGCCTCCACTTTACTAGGCTCAGAGCAAGCGCGTCAACAGGGGATAGCGATTGTATTGGCGCTCTGGCACATGGAAGACCAGGGTCGCTATCACACCTTGCCATAATTTGCGCATTGGAGAGAATAGCGAAAGCAAATGGGTGTGCGGCTCTTATGTGGTTAATCTCACTGTAAATGTGTGTAAAAATCCACGATCGAGCTGATCATCGTTCAAGAGATGCCGTAAGCAACAACTTAATTCAGCCCATGAATCCTGAGGCCCATGTGAAGACCCATGCAGACGCATGTCAGCACTAGCTGACCAGGTCGATTTTTTACTCCGTAGATTTGCAGGCATCGGGTATAGAATAAGGTACATCGTGATGAAGAGCTACAACCAATAATTTAATGTGTATACGATTTCGATAAATAGAATCATTACGCGTTTCCTAGACCTCTCACTTTGACATAATTGCCTCAAAGGCACTGCCTGATTGTACTCAAGCTTATGAGTCGGGGTTGCTAAGTGATCGGTGTTTTGGCAAGGAGAATCGGACACGCCACCAGTATATAAGGCATTCAGCTTGAGGCAGCAAAGCAATGTCCATCTTTCCATTTATCGACTTTGTTTTATCGGAGAAGTTTGAAAGCAAGTGTGAAGGCGACGAAGAATGAATGAGTTCATGGACGGGGATTTCACTTGGTTGTGGTAATTATATACTCGGGTCGGGTAGTCTTTGGAGAGGACCGGGCCCAAGCTTTTATAATTCCTATCAACAAAAATCAACCTTTTGGAAAATATATATTAATTTAATTTTTCAATGTTTTAATTTAAACTTTGATACAGATATAGATATAGATATTAATACTTATTTAGTTAATAATTATATATTAATTGAAAATTATAAAATTAAAATTATATTATCTCAGTACGCCGGTCTGCCCCCCCGAGTTTAGCGGCCACCGCATCAGGCAAGGTGCGTGCACGGGCCGGCCGCCGCTTTCAACAGCTATAAAAGTTCGCGCTCCCCTCTCCTCAACCATCTTCTTCTCCAACCCTCTCCTAACACCCCTCTCTCGGCCGCGTCATACGCCATCGATTCCTCTACTGAGGTCCACTCAGTATGCCTCATCATAGCTGAAGAGCCTTGATAGTACAGCCGGTTTCACGCCAAACCCCTCGATCTTCCTCGATCTGCTACTCTGGAATCGATGCTTGTGACTATTGCGATGGCGATCATTGCTCTAGATGCCATCGCATTGCCCGAGATACGAGCGTGAGCCCAACTCGCTGCCCTCGCCTCCTTCGTTTTATTGCTACATTATCCCAATCCTTACAGCAATACCTGCTCGATGACCGCGACAGGGGAGACTTGCCCTTAGCATCATCTCTATACGACATGACCTGGCCAATGGAAGAAATGCCTCACGACGACGTGGTCAGCTTCCGTCTGATTGCGCTGTTATATTGTACGCTGGGGTAGGGATTTCGATGAGCCCCTGAGGTCGGTATACGCTGTATACTTGCATTTAGGCTGATCTGTAACGAGAAGGACCGATTTCTGCCAGATATGGCTATGGCAGATAACGATCTATATGAAAATGGCAATATCGCAGGCTCTTCTGGGCATCCTACAGACCGGATACGAAACGCCGGCGTTGACAGAATCGATCATAAGCCGGCAGGTTAATATGGAAGATAGATCATATGATCTCGCAAGGAGCCCTATCCGCAGTCCTTGTATATTGGAAGGATGGATCTTGTGATTGAGGTTGTACCGAGGACCAATTGGCTCAGGGTGCTGCTCACAGCAGGACTTCCGCGGTGCTAGAATAGGCGCAGCATGATCTACGCTACGGGGTCTCATTCTGCAAAGGGAAGATCGTTCGGGCTCAGCTATACGGGAGATGTCCGTAAGCTGAGGTGTCTTCCTACACCGACCACCTCCAATCTCCCCTTACATCGGTCTCGTCGCAGCTGAAACTTTCGACAGCATTGCCTCTCTCAAATCACAAATCTCGATTTCGATTTGTAGCTAATTGCAAAAATGCCTCGCTGTGATATGGGGTACTCCTGCTGGGTCATTACACTAGGGATAGCTTACGTGCTGAGGGAAGGATCGTAGTAAGTTTCTGCATGGCGAAATGATGATGTATGTAGTCTGTCTTTGACTGGGGCTGATTTGTGATGAGAGCAGCCTACATTTACTATACACTGCAATCTCCTGAGTATCGACGACGAAACGCTGGCGGTTCGAGGCCTGGGTCGCTTCATGGGTATCTACAAGGGACAGATCGTATGACCTCGGAACAAGCTCTATTCGGGGCTGTGGTCATATCAGAAGGATAGACCTCATATTGAGCTAGAAAGGATCATCAGCTCAATATCCTACTATTGATAGGATATTGTATTGGCATCAGAATGGATATATGATTATCTGAAGCTGTATAGTCTTGTTTCTATAAAGAGAAGGTTCTATTTATATACTGAACAGATTAGAAGAGGATATTGGAAATATATACTCTGTTATCGATGATCGCGAAATAACACCGAGATTGGTCAATTGTGAATATATGGAGTGGGAATCTACAAGATAAGCGTATTCTATATTGAGAATATAAGGTTAATGATATTAGTTTGGTGACGTTAAGGATACGTCTTGTGCGAGGGGGTCTGTGTCGGGACCGAGGTGTTTGTATATTGAGAGTGCGCGAAAGCTTGTAGAGAGCAGCTCTCCCAGCTATCAGAATCAAGCTACGATTACGAATTCGACAAATATTGATTTCTCGGAATGGCAATCAACCAAACAATTTTAATAGCACGAGCCAAAGTACACGCCGAGGCCCACGACAAAGTCCAATTTACCTTCTTACCCATTGCATCCCCCTCGACTATACTCTTGATAGCACTAGTGACAAGTGGGCTTGTCTCGGTCTTTCCTGGCCCCTCACCATGCATTGCCCAATCGCAAAAATGCCCCACAATAATGATGTACCTGCTTGGTTGCTCAGCTGTGTTGCGAATCGCTTCAGCGTAAAGCAAAAGAATTCGGGCAAGCTTTCCGTATTACAAGACGAGTGATATGCGGTATATGCTTTGACTTGGGCTGATTTATGATGAGATAGACTGATCGTTATCATAGACCCTGCAGTCTATTGTGGACTTCAAACAGACGGCCAGACGCTGCAAGCATTTAAACTGTATATTGGTGATTACAAGAGGCGTGGTAGGAAATAGAAGTAGATTATGGACACGATATACTTGATCCTTCTGCCGGAATGTGGTTCGCTTAGAGCTATAGTCATTTTTGCAATGGGGCTATCTGCCGGTTATGACTCGCACGCTGGAGAGCTAAGAGTCGCTAGCTAGGATGAGCGAGTGTATGAGATAAGGAGCGCTCGCGGAAAATTGTAGAGAGTACATTCTAGTGGGTATTCTGTTTGTAGGAGAAATATATTTGAATTCTTTGTTTCCCTTTATTCCTGCTTCCTTTTTCTTTATTCCTCATCAGAGCACTCATCAAAGCAGTTCGATTTACTTGTATTATTTAGAGAGAGCAGAGAGCTTCCAAAATACTATCAATCGCTTTTATACTCTCAAAATGACTTCTTTTGAACCCATTTATTATACCTATATGCCCACTGCTCCGTGTTCCAGGAGGGCAACCACCCAGAAGCATAGCTTTCCCGTCGAGGAGCAGCATACTGTACCAGATCGAAGATTATTTGATGATACTCAGAGATCAAATGATGATAATGTTTCAGGCTCAGAACTTCAAGGTATGTATGCCCAAAATAAGATCCTAAGATATTCTTTTTCCTTGTTAATAATGGTTAACGTTTTTTTATACAAAGAATAATAATATAGAAAACATTGTCGATAATGACTACAATATCGATCTCCCTACATCATATAGCATATCACAAATGAATACAGGAGAGGATTCAAGCTTGGAAAACAAAATTTGGGAGGATAAGATAGCTTCGCCAAGAATATATGATGACGATTCTTCATCAATTGGAACAGTCCTTGATCCTTATTTGTATCAAAAAACCTTGATAAAAGGATTACAAAAGGATTATGATATTCAAAGTATAGATATTCTTGATTATGATAATAAAGCAATCTTCTGACTATATATAAATACTCTAATATTGGAAGATAACAAATCAAATTCAGATAAACAAGAGAATCTCTCAATAGATGGCTCTTATTCTCCTTCTATGGACTATTCAATCGAGTCATCGCATCCTTTGATTATTCGCGATCCAGACCAAAGCGGTTCTAGCTACAGTGACCCTGAGGAGCTTGAGCATGAATCTTCACTATACTTCCTTCAGCAACACAGGGATATAGTTATAGGATCGATAAAGGAGGGGAAAATTAATAAACAATAGGGATGCAGAAAGCAGCGATATCTATCCGAAACTGAGATTAACAGAGATAATGAGAGTGACGATAATACACAATCTGCAAAACAGCGAAGAACTCGATCACTTCCTATCGACAACGAGCAAACCTCATCCCGAAATAATGATACAGAAGGTCATCTCTAGCCACTTCTTATCATCGGTCCATCCTTCACTACTTCATTTACCATGATCGACTCCTCCATATCGAACTTTGGTGGGCATTCACCAGCAACCAACGATGGCAATCACTACTATTCACCATCATCTACATAAAGTCCCTCTCTTGCAAAGCTAGCATCAACTATCGAATATCAAGAATGGCCCTTTCAAGGATTTCTTAAGTGTACTAAGATCAGAAATGATACAATCTACAAGCTCGAGTTTCGATTACAAGATGTTCCAGAGCATCTTCATCTCCCTATTCTTTCCGAAGCATTTGACATTGTCGAAGTTGCGCAGACCCCGCCCCCTCATAGCATTCTACATTCCAGAGTACAACCAGCAAGATTGCGGGCTAAGGGGAAGCGCGTTCGTTGGGAACCAAAAGAACACGAGACGATACTCAGAATGAAGGAGAGCGGATGCTCCTGGGAGGAGATCCATTATGCCCTTCTGCATAGAACTCTAGCCGCAATACAGGTGCAGTATTCTACGAAACTCAAAAAGTGATATATCTAAAGTTACGTTTTTCGGAGTATAAACGCATTTTTTGTCATATCCAAGTATCTCCAAAGTTGTCCAAAGAAACAATATCTCACTTTTCATTCTAAGAAAGATTTTATTACCTCTCTTCCTAATTACATGAACTAATCTGCACAAATCTCCACATATAAATCATCTTGGCTTTTGCATTTAGCCTGTTCAATTGATTCCTTCATTACACACTCGCATTCTGCCAAAATGAACTCGGTTCCTCCACGAGCTCGCTGGAATTCTCGCATAAGATATCCTACATTACCTTTATTAGTACTCCCTTCCCATATCTTGCTTCCCAATTCAGCCTGTTCAAAATCAATGATCATTACTCGATCTTCAACTTCGAAGATATTATGCAGTTCAGAGTCTCCGTGAATTACTCCATACTCGGTTAATGCCTTGAAAGCTTCTTCTACTTTCGCCTCGAAAATAGGATCGTCAGCTTCCGGTCGTGTATCAAAATCGATATCGTGAAGTCTTTGCCCACAGATCTTTGAGAGAACCAAAGCAGGAGATCCGTCATAGATTGCCTCTCCATAGAACTTCGGGATAAAGGTTCCTTGAAGAGGCTTCAAATGGTGATATATACGCTTTTCTGTTTCGAACTCATCATCCCAATCAAGCTTTCGCTTTTTCAAGATAACAGTTGAAGGTAGAAACCATTCAGGGTAGATAGCTTTGACTGATGGGAAAAACCCGACGAGATATTGAATTATTGTAACGAATAGTCGGATTTGAAATATAGTCGAAGATAGATGGTTTATGGATTTTTAGTCGATAAACTGTTCGATTTGGATCGATTCGATCGGAACTAGTTGCAGTGATATGCCTACGACCCATATAGAATTTCTTTTTAAATTAGTTCATAATTTGTTAAAATTTGATATTTAGTATCTTACCAAAGGGCCACTGATCTCATGGGGCTCAAAATTAAGAGTTGAATTATAGGGTGGATTAGAGGGTGCACGTGAAGATAGAGGCGACAGAGATAAAGGTGGATAACCTCCAGGTGGGGGTGGAGGCGGAGGACCTCCAAGTGCAGATGGGGGTTGAGGCGGCAGTGGACGTAGGGGTGGATAACCTCCAGGCGGGGGTGGAGGAGGACCGGGGATGATATTGTTCATTGTAGAGACTGGATAATTTTTGATTGAGTGTGAAAGATGTAAGAGAGAAAAAAGTATGATTTTTGAAAGAGCAGAACTTATAATACTTAAACATCCTCCACTACTACACAAATATGCAACTTCCCGGCAGTGACCAAGCATCGTGTAACAATCAAATCGATAATGGAACAGTATCCAAAGCCATGAAGTTTCCATTCCCATCATTCCAGTACCATTGATTACTCGCAATATCAAACATCTGATAATATCCACCTGGATGATTGAGTTCTTTATGACGGTCTACTTCATCTCTCCAGAATGGCCGCCCCGACCAATACTCGAACTCCCGAGTGAAACCACCAAGCGAGACTGCAGGGTTCTCTGCTTTGGTGGCTATTAATCGCATCCAACCCCGCCACACAAGCCGATACAGTCCGTACCTTGCTGTACACATATTTGGATCCGCTGATGATCGCGGTACACAACAAACGTCGATCGTACAATTAACTGATCTAATGCCCTCTTTATTTTTCGCATGGAATTGAACTATTAGAAGGTGAACACTATCATAGACAAACACTTGCGGGCAATCATAGAGATAAGCGTAACTTTTGATATTAGTTATCTTCTTCTTTGTAGAACTTGGAACTTACCCTCTGATCTCCTTTCCAAGTCGTTGAGTCATATTGCTTTTCTCTTTCCCCCCATTCTATTCATCAGGCTTAATTACATTATGTTGTTTCAACTCTCCTATCACTTCGTATCTTTCACTCTTTATCGATCCAGCTACCGTCTATGAATATAATTGGTCCACGGTTTTTTTGTGATGTGTTGGACCTGGAGTACCTGACTCTGATCTTTCCTGGAAAAATGCTCCGCCCCAAGCAAGGGAAACGGGAAAAGCGATATTTTGGAAAAAATCTCGAACTGTATCGCCTTCTTGCTGGATATAGACCTTACTGAGACTATTTAATGGATGGATATGTCGTTCAAGACGACCGGATTCGCTGGCATCCGTAGTATATAGTGCTGAAATAGCTGGGTTTGGAAGTAGATACTGCTCCAGACCAAGGAATTGATTAACCGAATCATAAGTAGATGCTCGAACTGTCGGATTCAGGATTGGAGGATAAGTGTTGACCTCCTGGGATCTTGGTAGCATATGCATATATATTGCATGATACATATAAGGAGCAAACAAAACTCAACTTTTAATTCATTCTTTCCTTTTTGGTATACTGTTTGTTTGCTTTCAATATTTTGATTTCAAAGCACTTTAATTCCGAAGGCTGAATACCCAACCTGATTCCTTCATTTTTTGAATATATACTCGCAGCTTAACTGCTTAGCTAGAGAATCAATCAATTCAATCTGATGCTCTTTCTAGTCTCAATAAACCCAATAATATATCTGGCCTTGATCAGTATTGTTGTTTATTCTTGGGCAAAAGAAGTGAAGAAAGATTATTAATTTGAAAGATTCCAACAATCAAACAGATTTATAAGAGGTGTATACTTTTCTCATCTCATAATACTATAATTTTATCTGTCTCACTTTATCCTTCATTGTATTCTCTCTTTTTTCTTGTTATCATTTTCCAATATTAGATTGTTTGCACCCTGAGCTATTTTTGTTTTCAACTGCTTCCCTGCTATCCCGATATACGCAGAATGTATCATTCTACCTCCACCCTAGTATTATCTGGGGCCTCATATCTACCCACCTCATATCTACCCACCTCATATAAACTCCCTATCTTCGCAATCCCAATGCCTCTTGCACTATTTGTAGGAAAGGATAGCTACACATATTCCAATATTAGTAGAAGCTATAATAGTACTATTATAATTAGTAATATCAATAAGAAAATAATTATATATAATTGAAAATCCTTTTTATCTATACAAAAATAACTGATTCAATCCTTAATATAGGTTTGGTATTCTATTGGAAACATTACCTAATTACTTCAGAATATCAGGGGATTGTCAAGTTACTGTGGTTGCTTTGGAAAGCCTGGAAACTACTTTAGTTGGAACTATACTTCTTATCGAATACGATAGTCACTATCGAAGAATATTTACTTGATTATGGCATTATTGGTTGTGCAAGTCTATGTCTAGCATATTTCAAATCGAGGACGAAGCCCCAGATCTATTTCAGTTTCGATCGGGAAAAGTATTTTTGATGAGTGGAGGTTCTCCTGCAATGTGAATTCATAAGTCTGTTTTGGAAAGGAAATGATCAGGAAGGTTGTATATTATAAGGTGGAGACAATATCGCTGGGTATTAATCAAGTATCTCTGGAAGGATATTCGAAAGGGATTTGATAGTTTAATTAATTGCTGGACAAGGCATTAATACCAAAAATACGTTTTTGGTGATAGAAGCTTGAGAATGTATAGTATAGGTTTATTAACTTCAATTGATTGGATGGGTGAAATCTTTTAGAAAATGTAAATTCAAAATAGTAATCGATAATTTCCATAAAATAAATATTCCTGCATAGCATTACGGATTTATATTCTAAAATATAAAGGGAGCTGAACAGCGTATGCCCAGAGTTGCTCTAAGATGTGATTCGATATATTCAATTTCGATATATACATCAAATAGCATCTCCCTTTTAATATCTATTTAATTCTTCGATACACTATCAATTTCATACATCAATATTTTAAAATGATTATTAACTCTGGTATACATCGCTCAAAACAAACTAAAGGCCCAGTAAAGTATATCTATATCGATTTAGGCACTGGAAGTCTTCGCATGGCCTATAGTATCGAAGGCGGCGAAGATTGCAGAGAAATCGGAAACTATCCTGGAGCGCAAGCAGGTACCCTATCTCTTGTTTCTCAAGCGCCAACAAACATTATATACGAACCTGTTGGGTTTCTTGAGACTAGAAAGAGCATCAGATTGAATTGATTGATTCTCTAGCTAAGCAGTTAAGCTGCGAGCATATATTCAAAAAATGAAGGAATAGGTTGGGTATCCGGCCTTCGGAATTAAAGTGCTTTGAAATCAAAATATTGAAAGCAAACAAACAGTATACCAAAAAGGAAAGAATGAATTAAAAGTTGAGTTTTGTTTGCTCCTTATATGTATCATGCAATATATATGCATATGCTGCCAAGATCCCAGGAGGTCAACAGAACCCAATAATAGTGAACCAGCCAAACCCGTAGCATTTGGTTATGTTAAACCAAACCGTCGTCAAAAACCTGTATTTGGAGTGAAGATTGTTCTTCTACCAGATCCCGAAAGCTATGGTTATGCTTATGCTGCTCTAGTTGAAGCAGCGAATGACCTCAACCTGAGATCTGTAGAACAGATCCCAGAAGACTTCTTGAAGTTCGCCATCGAGCATGCGATCAAGGAATGCGGTGGACAGCAGCCTACAAAAGGTTGGGTATTTTCAGTGCCTCAATATTACAAGATTGAGGAAATGCAGAACTTTCGAGTATTGATTAAAAGAGCAGGTTGTCTTGACAATATATATATCCATAATGAAAGCAATTGGGATGCGATGATTCAACACCTGTACGTGGTGCATCCTACGAACCTGTAATTTTTCTTACAGAGCCAAGATTGAATCAGGCTGAAGCTGGGCAAAGGTCGTGCTTTAAAAAGGAGCGGTACTGGGAGTGAAGGTATCGTGAATTTGGCCCGGAACAGAGGACTATCAGTCGAACGGAGATGAAAACTACCCGACAATCAACGAAACAACGATGGATTTCGAAGCGGAACCATCTTTATGAATCTGTAGTAGGATGTAGAGCCTGAGAATTGCATTAAGGAGCATTTCAAAGCAGACTATCTTTACGAATCTATATGGGAGCAGAGCCTGAGAAGGAAAGCGTTGTGCTGGTGATTGATAGGGCACCTCTGGGGCGTTAGCATATAGAATTTTCACAATCCAACAATGCGTACAATCTGTGGGTATACCGGATTGGAAGTTTATAGATGGTTAAGGGGAGTAATCGAGAATGTATAAAGGTTGTGGTAAAGTCTTATTGAGGCCAACGGAAGTATAGGTGAATTAGGGATGAAGGGATGCTTTTGGCATTTTGCTTTACGAATGTACAAGAGCGATATCATAGCGACAAAGGAACTCTCGAACGAGGGAGATGCTTTTAGCAAGATTCATTCTTCTGCGAAGCATTCGGCAGACATCATAGCAATAGATGAGCTTTGGCAAAAACTATTTTATAAAATATATATCTAATATATTCTCAACCCTTTGTATTATCGATTACAAATTATATATTAGAGAAATAGATTTTGTAGATTATGCTTTGATTAGTGAGTTGGAAACATTATATTTTTAATTGCTTGGCTAGGGATTAAGATACAGCAAAGCTTGCAAGATACGGTCGGCCTTATTGTGTAGGAGAGATCCGGCAAGGTAATGCGAAACGGTGCACAAGTCGCGAGGTGTAGCATATAATGGCAGCGACAATGACACTGTCTATACAGCTCGAGAGGATGGATGTGTATATCGGTCTACAATAGGGTACAAGGCAATTAGCAATGGAGATACCGGGTAGGCTTAGGGAGCAAATAGGATAATAGGTGTAGAAAGGTTGTTTTTGCCTGGGGGCAACCTTCTTAAAGGATATTGAGACTGACATCTTGTATCTGGGAAAGCATGGTAAGAATTGGTTACTCTTACTTATATTTGTAGTCTCACTGGATATATTATAAAAGACTCATAGATTTGCAAATATAATATTATCACTGCTTACTCATCACACCATCCTCGTAGGAGATTTCAACTCCCATCACCCTTGGTGGGACCCCTTCTCTAACAAAAGCTCAAATGCCGACCTACTCACCGAATGGTTTGAGGATCACAATCTCATTCTATTTAACGAACCAGGCACGAGCACCTTTTATCGAACAAATATGACAAATCCAAGTGTCTTAGACCTTACTTTAGCCACAGATTCAGTATCTCCCTATATCACTGATTGGCAAGTCCTCCCGGATCTTGGATCAGATCACTTAAGCATTCTCTTTGAAGTAAAGGGCACTTTATCCCGTACAACGAATATAGCTCAGCCAGCAAGATTCAATACAAAACTTGCGGATTGGGAAAAATTCGCGAATACCCTCAAATCGAAAATATCGACATCAACCACCTTAAATTCGAGTGAATACCTTAACATCGCTACCTCAGAGTCCAACTCTCTTGATTCCCTTCTCGACAAGAGCCAATACATACAAGTATTGGATGAAGCTGCAAAAGAATTCACCCGAATAATCACTTATTCGGCTGAAACCAGTATACCGAGAATCAAGTCCACAAAAAGAGCTAAACCCTGGTGGTCCCCAGAGCTGAAAGCCCTTCGAAAACGACTCTCTAATGCATTTGAGAACGCCAAGATTTACCCGGAAGACGATATGTTCAAGAAAATCTACCAGTCAGCCAGGAATCATTACTTCCAAGCTATTAAAACAGCAAAGAAAAACCATTGGAATGAGTTCCTTGAAAAAGAGGATACCCAATCCATATTCAAGGCAATGTCATACACAAAAGATATACAAACCGAACGAATCCCGAATATTCGATCCAATCCCTCTAAACTAGAAAATTCTTTCGAGGGAAAATGCTCTGCATTTAGATCGACCCTATTTCCTCCTCCTTCATTCACCCCACCGCCCAATTGGGAAAGCTATAAACAATCTAAGAAATGGGAATAGCCTGATCTCACAGAGAGCGAACTCCTAAACGCGTGCTCTGCAAAAATCAAAGGAAAGACCCCTGGCCCCGATGGGATCACTCAAGATATCATTATTCAAGCGTACAAAGCAATACCAAAAGCATTCTTCACCCTCTTCAGTCATCTTATCAACCTTGGTTACCATCCTTCTTGCTGGAAACAAGCCACTGGAGCGATACTCAAGAAACCTTCAAAACCAGACTACTCGGCCCCAAAAGCTTATAGAGTTATCGCCCTACTAAATTGCCTTGGCAAAATAAGTGAAAGAATTCTGGCTCAAAGGCTTAGCTACTTAGCGGAGACTACGCAATTACTTCATTACTCTCAAATGGGTGGAAGACAAAAGAAATCAGCCATCGATACAGCAATCTTACTCACTACCGAAATCGAAAGAAATTCAAGATCCAAGAAGAAAACCTCAACTCTCTTCCTGGATGTTAAAGGCGCCTTTGATCATGTATCTATGAACAAATTATTAGATATCTGCAAGAACCTAAACCTCCCAACCAGCCTAATCGCCTGGATCTCATCTTTTTTGAAGGAAAGGCTACTCAAGCTCTCATTCGATGGCCAAATTGAAACCTTCAAACCGATCAATACCGGGATCCCCCAAGGCAGCCCTATTTCGCCAATCCTCTTCTTAATTTATATTCGAGATCTATTCCCAGCAAATTCAATCAAATATCTCTCATATATAGATGATATAGCTTTAACAACATTTTCAATATCCTGGAAAAAGAACATCATCTCCCTCGAAAGAGCAACTAAACAGATATATGCTCTGGGCAAAGAAAATGCTATTCAATTTGATCTAGCGAAGACGGAACTAATACATTTCTCTACATCCAAAGATACGAAGATAGCCTCAATCAAGTTTCCAAACGAGAAGATAATTCAACCCTCAACATTAGTCAGATGGCTAGATATATGGTTCGACCCTAGCCTCAGTTTCAAACAATATATCACAATCCGAGCTACTCAGGCTAAAACCTCATTCTACCGAATAATTAAACTTACTAGTTCTGAAAAAGGCCATAGTCCCAAGGCAATGAAACAACTCTATATAATATACATCACCAATATAACTGATTACAGTTCAATTTTATGATGGAAAGGGCAAAACCAATTCAAGAAAATCCTTCAATCCTTGCAAAACCTCGCTCTTCGAAAAATCCTAGAAGTATTCAAACCCTCACCAATAAAACCAATGAAAATAGAAGCCACATTGTGCTCTTCAGAAGTACAACTAAATACTGGAATCAAACAATACACATTTAGATTATTGAAAATCTCGCTTTCTCATCCTATCAATTTAGTAGCTACAAAGCTGGCTACAGAAAAGGAGAATCAAAATGTAGTTGCAATCCCTCAAAGAAAGCAATTAAAACTTACTCAACTCGAAAAGATCAAAAATTCAATTCAGAAAGACTTCGATCCTCTTACTTTAGAAGGAATCCATCATTTCTACTTTCCTTCTTGAAAGAAAGAAGTTCTATATAAAGTCAATATCAGCAAATTAGGAAAAGAAGAAACTGTAATGATCTACAATCTAGCTTTCAAATATAGATGCAAAAATATTATTACAATATACACCGATATCTTATCCACTTTAAAAAAAATAAGGATTGAAATCGGGATAGTGGTTATTTTATTAAATAACCGAATTTTATATCAAAAGATTATCAATATAAATATAAATCAATTTGTCTATAATAGAGAACTCTTAAAAATTGCTAAAGCAATCGAATATACAAATTCAATAGCCCAATCAGGAAACAAGTTCAAGATATACTCAGATAATCAAGCAGGATTATTCCGATTGAAAACCCTCTCCGATTTACCTGATCAATTATGCTAAATCAAAGCTATAAAAGCTGCAGAAGTTATTCAAAATAAAGGAGCTGAAATCTCTCTCAATTGGGTCCCTGGATATACATCTATACAAGGAAATGAACTAGCTGATTCTCTTACAAAAGAGGCGATCAAAATACCATCCTCATCTTACGAAACCAATTATGCCTTCATTGGAATGGATATAAAAAGAATGAAATCAGAGAACTGGATAGCTATCCTTAACACTAACAATTTTCATCAATCATCGTCAACATATTCAAGAAACTACCCTTGGAAGATCAGCTCAAAAATCAGAATTCCAGGAAACATCAAAAGAAGCACAATCTGTGCTCTGTTCCAACTCAAAATTGGACACAGATACTTGAAATCTTATTTGAAACGATTCGGAATCTCCTCTAATGACAATTATAAATGTAAAAGAAAGGAATCTTCTGATTATCTTCTACTCAATTATCCTTTATATAAAATAACAAAGAAAACCCTCAATAAGGATAATTTTACAATCCGATCTATTATGAAATATCTGCTTTACACTAAAGCAGGAATCATCAAGACCCTCGAATTTATCGAGACGACGAGAATAGCCACCAGATCATGGCACCTCAATAGAATGCATGAAGAAGAAGAGGAAGAAGGCGGAGAAGAAGAGGATGGACCGGAAGATTGTGATTGACTTGATCAATTCTAGTCAATTTGGTCAAGTTGGTCAATTTGGTCAATTTGGTCAATTTGGTCAATTTGGGCAATCACTCCAACGTCAAATTTCATTACATTTCATTTGTTATTCCTCTTATTTGAATACGAGAGTATCTGTAAGGCGGGCTTGGTTCCCTAGTATTAGTTTTCACTTTCCCCATTCAAACATTAGAAGATTGAGGCTTTCAATCTCCCCAACCTGTATTAGCTACGGTCGAATAAGGCCAGCTACCCCCTATGTAGTATTGTTAGAAGCCTACAAAGCTCCTAGCCGTCTTAGATAGTCATAGACTCAGTGTAGACGTTAATTTAATCAATCAATCAATCAATCAAGAGGTTGACAAGCATTTCCCTCACTTGACGGTTGGAGAAACTTTAGAATTCGCTGCAAGTGTACGAACACCTCAACAAAGACTTGTTGATGGAACAACTCGTAAATCTTGGGCAAAACATATGACTAAAGTAGTTATGGCCGTCTTTGGATTATCTCATACGTACAACACAAAAGTCGGTAACGATTTCGTACGAGCTGTATCTGGAGGTGAGAGAAAACGTGTTAGCATTGCTGAGATGGCATTAGCTGGATCTTCCAATTGCTGCATGGGATAATTCTACTCGTGGTTTGGATGCAGCAACTGCTTTGGAGGTAAGTCAAATCGTGCTGCAATGAATTCTGGTTCATCATTGACCTAAAAATTAGTTTACCAAGTCCTTAAGGATGACTGCAAATCTTTGTGGTTCAGCTCATTGGGTTGTAATTTATCAAGCTAGTCAACAGATTTATGATGAGTTTGATAAAGCTGTTGTACTTTATGAAGGTCGTCAGGTTTATTTCGGACCTTGCGACCAAGCCAGACAATATTTTGTGGATATGGGTTTGGAATGTCCAAAGTAAGTACACATGAATGCATGAATCTGCTGGAATCTTACTGACTGAATATAGTCGCCAAACTACAGGTGACTTTTTAACTTCAATCACTAATCCTTCAGAAAGAAAATTTCGATTTCGTAGAAGATGTTATCAAGATGTTGAATATGGAAGATTTCTCGGAAGCTGTTGTTGGTGTTTTAGGAGAAGGATTGAATGTGGAGCAACGAAAATTATTGACTATCGGTGTCGAACTAGCTGCTAAACCTGCACTGTTACTCTTTCTGGACGAACCTACTTCTGGTCGGCAAATGAATTGGAGAACAAGTAATGAATTAAGTAGGTGAATATGAAATGACGAGCTAGGGTTTTTTGCCACTTCGAAGAAATGAAATGCGATTCGGTACCAAGCTGTCGGTACTGTGCCGCAAAGAACTGAGACCTTTGCCTGGCCCCTGTGTGGATCTATTATTACGTGGCGCCTTTATGCAAATTATCCGTTGTAGAATGCTGGTGTATGAAGAGGGCACGAAGGCTGGGCGCTATGTAAGATTGTGGAAACCCCAAAACCCCCACGCTATTACTAAATGACTCGGCACGGCACAATCCCCAACATTTGGTAGATTTCGACTGAAATGCGCCACCGGCCACCCTATCAACCGAAGCGGCTGGTATTAGGCTAAATATAATAAGGATTCAGAGACCCCCGGTAATTCGCAAGGGTGGCCCTGACCATTTCAGCTTCGATAGGCGGAAATAAGAGGATTAAGTCGGCGTGATAAGCCTTCTTATAAACATACTAATCGGATCATGGCAGTGGGGCTGGTGCTAGGTAAGAACTTCTGGTCTTTGCGCACGCAGACCTCCTCGCTTAATCTCTCTAGTTTCGCGTCTAATTAATCATATTTCCGAAAGCACCACCAGCAGCACAAGGCCGTTGCAGCCATAACAGTAGCGAGCGCTGTATACAGCCAAATCAATTGGGGATTTACGGCAGCGGGCGTTAACGCAATACCAAGCGCAGCACCCAACCCAGACATCAATTGCGTGAAGGCCTGTACGATCGCTTTCATCTCCTTCGGGGCTTTCGAATACGAGTACTCAAGCGCCGAGACAAAGCCGAGAATTTCGGCGACGGCGAGAATAAAATAGAGAGGTATCTGAATCAATACGTTGACCCTGTTGTGAATAGTGCCGTTGTTTGACGCGTCGCATTCCAGAGGGTACTCATAGCATGGTCCGCTTGAGTATATGAGTTTCTGAATAACGGCTGCGTAAGCCATTGCAATGCTCATTACTAAGAAGGCCGCTGTAATGCGCGCGACGGGTTTGAAGGGTATATGGTATTTTTCCAACAGAGGATACAGCCCCTTTTGTATGATGGGTCCGCATATTACACAAGCAATGCCGTTGAAGGTCCTAATAAGATCATTTGGAATTCCATGAAGTTCCATCTGTCCCGCCTGCGATATCAAGTTGTTACTGAGCTGATTGAAGCATAGGTAGAAAACTCCAAAAACGGTTCTGCAAGGGAATTGTTAACGAATTCCTCATATAGAATATAGAGTAAGCAAAACACTCACAAGACTTGACAGGCCATAATCCCACTACGTAGTTCCTCGATAAAATTTGAACTCCAGCTGACGTGCCGGTTGAAATGCTCAAGTTGGTAGACGGGGTCCGCAGCTTCAAGATTAAACTTATTCTTGACTGCGTATGTCAACGCCTTAGCCGCTTCTGGTAAAACATTTCCTGCTGCTGGAGCTTTTACTGAGATCACTGTCAGCTCAAGTATACTCGGGTAGAGTGGGCATCGCATACCAAAAGAATTGTGATAGAAGAATAGGAACCCAACAGCGATACACAACGCTATGGGACCCATAGTGTAAGCTGCCCAGAAGCCGACATATCGTTCAAGAAACGTAGTTGGAATAACGGATAGCGCGGCGATATTGGTCGTCCTATATTGGTCAGCTCCAAATTTTAAAGTAACTGGGTAGTGGTGTGAACCAGTAAAAAATGTTATAGATATATTGCATGGTCAAGGCTGGGTCAACCACAACAGTTTCCCCTTTAGCGGTCATGATGACTTGAAGATTGGTATTGTCGTACTGATCACCTAGTGCGAATGAGAATGAGAGCAAGCTCAACTTGACCCTACTACAACGAACCTATAAAGGCATTTACGGTTGCCTTGATTCCTGCAACACCAATACCGATAAGGACCATGGAGATTGCGATACCCGGGAGGCCAGCATCATGGTCGAGCGCAGGAGGGAGCGAGGTAAAAAGCATAACAAAGCTCCCAAATATGTAGATCCTATCAAGTAAGTTGCTTGTACGTGAAATCATCTCGGGCTAAACTAACACAAGAGAGATAATCAAGGTCCTGAAGCGTCCCAGCTTGGCATCAGAAAGAATCCCAATCGGAGTAGAAGCCACTGCCGCCCACAGATAATAACCATTGTAGATATTAGTTGCAGTGGCCTGGCCAAGCCCAAGAACACCTGGGTTTGCATGATCCTCGCGCTGATTCTGAAGATAATTTTCTGTAGAGGATGGAGTTAGTCCAGAACTTCTTTCCTTCAATCTGCTCATCTACTCACGCCAAGGTGCAGTAATGCAAAAAAAAGCGAAGCGTTCGAGCGCACCGACCAAGACGGCTATCCATACTGCAGTATGCACTTGGTCGGGGATGTGGCGATAACTTAGAATCTCCCCTTCGGTGGCATTGCGTCTTTCGAATGATCCTGATGCAGTTTCTGCCGGTCTCCTCAACGTTAGATGCACGAATGGTGAGATGGATAGTTTGGTACATACTGGTAGACAGGTCCACTCATAGCTTGCTTCTCATCATCATTTTGTTGCATCTTTCCTTGGATACAACGATTTTGGACGGATTGCTGTCGTTTAGAACTCATATACTTCCAAGTATATACTTTAGGGTATAGATGAGTAAGTAAACATGCTCTGGAAGCGACAAGATATCGATCCGAAGACGGAGGGGAAGGTAAAGTAAGGAGTTTGTGGTTGAAGCACCATTTAGCCGGCACTAGCCACGGTCAAACCTTATACATACAGAGGCTATAAGAAGAAGGTAGTGTAAAAGATATGATGTAAACCGGGATATGATCAAACAACTCTCGGTGAGCTTCATTCGGTATAGGACTGTTGCCTATAAAGGCAGCTTATGCACTGATTATGCAGGACGGACAAACTAGAGGTAGATACCAACAAGAACCCTTGTATATATAGATGGTTAGAGCCCAATAATTGGTTGTGATCATTCCAGGCTCGCTCACCATCGATAGTGGCGATTGATCCTAGTAACACAGGGAATATTTCTGACACCAACTCGCCTGACCCATGCATATCGTTCGGCGAGCCTGATTCATGATTTATTTTGCAGTGTTGTCGACTGAACGTTCCATACCATTATCGTATATGTTATCAGCAAATATTGTACGCTTGTATATTCAAGGGCTGTCTGAAAAATTGATCAGGGCAATCTGTTCTAGGTTCATTTGATCAATTCCACTTTTTCCAAATTCGTAACTGTTGGAACTCATTTATAGACTATAGTGGATAATGGGTATACTTTGGCTTAAATATATGTTGTTTGGCGAAGCACAATTGTTGGTACAATTCGGCGACAATATTAAACGCGAAGCGTAGTATTGAGGGAATGTGCACTTCAAGCACAGATGTGAATCCTAGATAGATAGGCAATGTGTGCCGCTAAATGGCAGAATTTGCCTTACTCAAACACTATATACATAGTTAGACCTTGTATACAGATATCAATCAATCAATCAATCAGTGAATCGAGGATCAATCATTTAACTGCTTTCTGTCTTTCCTTTGTATACAAATCTATTTGAGTAGTACCCCTGGTGATCCCAGCAATATCAGAACCTAATTTGCATTTGCAATTGCAAGCTGCGTGCAGTTCAAAGTCCTGCGGTGCCCTCTGGGAGTGAGTGAACATGTGAATCTCACCCCCACCAAACCTCTCCACCCCACCCTACCCCTGTCGTCTCTCCCCGATTCAAAAAAGGAGGGTGAGATCCCGGTATAATATTCCGAATATCCGAGAGTCGTACATAGATCTGCATCCAATCGCTCTCTGATAGTAAATATAGCTGCAGATTCAAGGTAAGGATCGCCGCTTGTATATCTAGGGAGAGGCACATGAGGCAAGCACCATGCAGAAGAAATATATACACCTGAAATCCATCCATGTTACTGTTAAAGCAACCTTACGATAAGCTTCCAATTCTCTTACCACACCGCGCATTTTAACATGAGCGATATGACTAAAATTCATGGTCTCATCGTGGACCGAGGCGGCCAAACAGGTACAAACCCAAAGAATAATCTGTAGCGATACTTCCCAAGCTGACAATTTGTAGCGAACTTTCACTGTACTTGGTCGGTGAGTCCTCAGTTGCTGTTCAATGGGAGCGCAATAAACCTGCTGTTCCAGCGAGTGTCTACTTTGTCGGCTCACAAGCTTCCTTCCCCAACTCAAGAGATTATTCGCCTATTCAAATATCATCCTGATCAAGACGGGGGCGAAATTCATCGAGTGGATATCGAAAGGGCTCCGGAGGTCTTCGCGTTCTTTACGGATGCTCTGCTTTCTTTGGTGGGAGGAGACACTGATACTTGTTTGGCATTCAAACTTTTGGCTCCAGCAGTAGACGGGTACATCAGCCGCAGTGATGCACTCGTCATGCGCATGAAAGGATGTATATTAGTTGACTCAGCTCGGAGCTTTTCTTCGCCACTCCAGTATGTGCAGTCTATCTCCTCCAGTTTGGAATCGGTGGATATTTTCACCCTGTGCTACAGCGCTGTTGGAGGGGTTTGTGTTCGAGCTCGCAAAACCAAGGACGCCCAAATACAGCTGCAAGAACTAGAAGCCGAGTTTGTCAACCGTCTCTCGTTTGACTGGGTCTCGCCTGCACCACTATCAGTCAAGCGTCTAGCGTTTGTGCAAGGCAGGCCAGATGCTGAAAGTAGCATTGAGATGTGGCAGGCAGCGCGGGCTCTCGGTATCGCACTGGTAATCTTCGATAGCGAGTGTCACTGGTTGCAGGACTCCCAATGGTCCGAATATCGTGAGGCATTCGTACCTGTCGACATTACTCCCGATGAAACACTTCCAGAACGATTAATCCGCAGTATTCGCAGCTATGGAAAATCTTTTCACGGTATCTCGACCGTGAGCGACGCTCACCTTGCGGCTGTGGCCAGAGCAGCCGGGGAGCTGGGCCTTGCCACAAATCCAGCAGATGCCTACGATATTGCCGGTGACAAGTTCCTTACCCGCAAACTCGAGCCTAGTATTTCCGAGAGCTTCGAGTGTGCGACCGTTGAGCAAGTTCGCAGTCGTATTGCAGATGTCACACTTCAGCCGCTGAGATTTCCTCTCATTGTGAAGCCATGCACAGGTTGGGGCAGCGAGTGCGTAAGCCGCGTTGATAACGAGGCCATGCTCATAAATGCGGTTGCGAAAGCATGCAGTCGTCATGTGGGTACTGCAGTTAATACCAGCTGTGTCGTCGAGCCGTATATCTCGGGGCCGGAGTTTGATGCTAACTTTGTGCTCTTGGATGGCCAAATTGTGTTCTCGGAGATTGGAGATGACTACCCCAGCCCTGGCGACATGGGGTCGGTGGAGTCCGCCTCTGACTTTCTCGAGACCCAGGTTGTTGTTGGTACGAGAAGGATACGGAAGACGTAGCACCCACGGATTACGTAGGTCCTGTATGTCTAATTGTATTCTGTCTAAAGAGCTAGCTACATATTGAAAGTAGTAAGTCTTATATAGACTTACTAAAAGAGCTAGTCTCTTTCGCGTTCGCTTAGTTCTTTATTACAGTAGTAATTGAATTGAAGTCATTCACTTCGTTCACACAGTTGTAAGCACGACCCGTTTGCCGGCTGAGGAGCAATCGATAATACGAGAGCAGATCCACGCCAGTATCGTCAGGCAAGGCTTCAAATCGGGCGTCTTTCACTGCGAGGGCCGCGTACGTGACTCGACAGTAGAGTTCCGCCGCAGCTCATCGACGGGAATTATGCAACTTGTTCCAATAGGCACAAGAAGAATCCACAAGCCATCGGCATACCTAATTGAGAACAATGCCCGACCTCCAGGTTACATGGTCTCCAGCTTAGCTCGTTTGACGTACGGTATCGACTATTTCGCACTACAGATGCTTTTTGCCCTTGGCCCAAATGAGGCTGATAGGTTCAGGGCTATGGCTACACCTTTCCAAAACGGTGCTCAATATTACAGCATGGTCCAATACGTGTCACCAGATCGTAGTGGGGTATTGCTCACGGAGGACCCGGGGAAGGAGATGTTAGAGCGATGTCCCGAATTGATGAATAGAGATAATGTTGCGGTTTCCTGGTCTCCCAGGCGTAGAGGAGATAAGATCTTTGGACCAGAGACAATGAAAGTGGCATGGCTGAGTCGCTATATCGTGACGAGTCGGCATTCCTTGAATCACCTGCTCGAACTTGGAGCTGAGATTGTAAAAGAGTTCAAATACGAGCTTGCTTAATTTTTTCACCAATTAAATCAAATAACAATACTTTTACAATAACTCGAACAAGGTTACAATGGCGATGTTATAGAAAGAGGGTCTTTTACCTGGACAAAAATGTATGATAATACTACCCGATGTGAATCTTAGCAAACTCTTGGTATAAAACTTGAATAGCTGAAAGGGCAGATGGACAAATTCGAAATTTTCTTTGGCTATCTTCTTACTATGGATCATATAGTACATCTGCTTCTGAAGAGGTATAGCTCGCATATTTCCTAGTCCTGTAGAATATTGCACCTGGATCGACCCTAACATCCCATGGGAGAGTGTTTTTGGGGAGCTAGTTTGCCTTTGTACCTTGGGAAAACTCTCTTCCTAAACTTTTCATTTATCAGACCTAAAGCTTTATAAGACATGGGAAGGCCACGGTTTAGATAACATCAATACAGCCACTTTTGGCTCCCTCTTAATTACTTAGTGGAATGTTGATGTTGAGAATGGGAAACGGAAAATAGTGATGGATGAGTACCATGATTTTGGTGGGGTGGAGGTTCGCGTTGATGCACGCGAACGATGTCATTAGCGTGTGCCTGAAGCTGCGAGGCTACGAGGCTGCGTAAAACAGCGACGCAGCCTGGCAGCCCACTGAATGCAGCGGTCGAAACAGCCTGAACTATATTGTAATTATATAGTTAGTTATCTACTTATTCTCCCTTATCGCCTTTAGCCCTCTAGATCTACAAATTCCCTTTGGAGTTTTGTTGTTTGTTTTTGGATTGTAGAAGGCCAATCCTAAGTTTCTCACCCAATCTTCACTCTCTTACAATAATGAGCAAAGGCCTCAAGAATAACGCAACGGGAATTGTTTGTATACTTCATAAATTGAAGAAATTTCGTCAGCAAATAGTTCTCCCGGAGGTGTGTACCATATACGGACACCAGCTGATCCATGGATGCGACTTGAATCACGTGTGGATCAATGCAGCCAGCCACCTTGGTCAAGACGGAGATAGATGAGATGCAATTCCTACTCGCTGAAATGCAAATGAAAGTATCTGAACCCCTAGTAGATATCAGCGCCAGGCGCACACCGGACAAATCGGATAATATACACCCAACTTGACAGAAAATTACCCCTGCTCTAAAGGATCAATACCATGCCCCACCAATCAATACGCACGCATATAATAGTGTGATCGTATCTACCAAACTGTCGGGACCAATTCTTTAATAACAAAAGACGTTCAATCAATTGCTATCAGTCGCCACCAACAACTACCAATAATCCCTTAATGAAGGTCTAATAATAATCCCCATCAATTCCCTTCATGCTTCCCTATTTCGGTTACACCGAACAATCTATTACAACTCTATCCTGTCCAATGATGGATTTGAGCCTGACATCTATATATTTCTCGTCTCTGAACGAATCAGGTATGTTTGGACGAGATGATGAATGGAAAATAGAGGTGAAGGTAGTGGGGATTAAGGGGGATAAGAGATTTGATCCTAGAGCCCCCCTACTGTTTAGCTTTGTTTCTGTGATGATGTTTAATCCCTGACTACCAATAATATACTAATGATGTAGAAACATAGGCCCTAGTCCGGTATCCCTTCCACAATCAGAAGGTATGTTGTTTTTTGGAGACTTAAGATTGGATGTCATCATTTTGCTTCCCCTCACCACTAACTTGCTAGGACATTAATCTAAGTATAAGTATCTCCATTGCCACATTATTCAATGAAAATTTTCTATTCAACCTCAAAAACTTCCAAATTGACCTACTGTTGTATCAAAATTGTTTCTCGCTAGTCATCAAGATAAATACTATCACCGGAACTAAAATGAACGGATCGAGATCCCGACAAGTTTCCGTGCTCCCAATGACCGAGTTCTCGGCCATGGGCGCTGCCTGGATGTCACCAGGCCCAGCCGGCTTTGATTTTCGGAGTAAGTATAACTTTCTCTTGTGGAGTTTCATAAGCACCATTACTAACTGGAGACTCTTGAAAGGTGATATCTGTACGGGATCACATCCTGTGATGCTTCAGGCGATCTTCCAAGCAGGAGAGAACGATGGCTGGACTGCCAGCGGGGCATCTGAGTTTGAGGCAGACATGGCTAAGCTGACTGGCAGGGAGGCCACTATGTTCATGGTTTCTAGCACCATGGCAAACCAGGTAGCCCTGAGAAGTCATCTTGGAACTCCCCCATATTCTGTTTTATGTGATGTGCGCAGCCATCTTGTGCATATGGAAGCTGGTGGTGCTGGCAGTTGGGCAGGGGCACTGGTGGTGACGGTAGTACCGTCTAATGGTCTCTGGTTGACTTTAGACGACATTCAGCGCTATGCTGTTATTTCAGATGGATCCGACGCGTGCACTTGTCCGACAAAACTCATTCATCTGGAAGTTCCACTAGGTGGCATTGTAATGCCACTTCGTGAGCTTAAACGCATTTCCCATTGGGCTAAAGCCAAAAATATCGCAGTTCATTTAGATGGTGCCAGACTTTGGGAAGCCGTCTCTTTTGGCGCCGGTACTCTTCATCAGTACTGTGCACTCCCAGACACGATCAACCTTTGCTTGACGAAAGGGCTTGGAGGAGCAGTGGGCAGTCTTCTCGTCGGAAATAAAGCACATTTGAAGCGTGCTAAATGGATCAGGAAGACAGTAGGAGGATCTAGTAAGTACTTTGCAGCGTGATCTTGCTCATCTTGTGGTCTGAGAATTGGCTGACCAGAGTCATAGTGCGACAACCAGGTTTTTTAGCCGCGGCTGCAGCAGCCTCTGTCAAGCACGTCTGGGGAAATAAAATTGATGGGTCCAACAGCTTGTTGAAACCATGCCACGAAAAAGCTGCGCGCCTTGCCAGCACCTGGACAAGTCTCGGTGGCAGACTTCTGTGCCCACAGCAGACCAACATGATTTGGCTAGATCTTGACCACGCTGGCATTGCGGAAGAAGAGTGGGAATCTGAGGGGCTGAAGCGCGGGATCAAGCTGCACAGCTGTAGGATAATTGTTCATTTTCGTAAGTGCATGCCCACTCAGGTCCAACGGAAAGATACTGACTTTCATCTTCCCCGATTTAGAAATAACCGACGGAGCAATGGATAGTCTACAAGGCTTCATGACTGACATGCTAACACAAATCGGCAAAGGTCCCAGCCCGCTCAATCGCCGTATTCCACGGAATGAAGCGGTTTCGCGGGTTGCGAGAGCGATGCAGGAGGCTTGGTCTCTTATATCTGCTGAGGCGTGGTTCCATTCCAAATAATAGGTGATTATGCGGTTAACAGTTGGATCTCCGATAAGGGCCAAGAAAGAAGAGAGGGAAGAGGGAAGGAACATGGAAATTTGTTTATGAGCTATAGATACGCGTTTATGTTTCTGTTATTATTTATTTTATGCTGCTGAATCACATTCTTTTTTTTGTTCCTGTTGAGCGTCCAAACCTGGCACTTTTCCCAGACTTCCAAGGAAAGGGTTAAGGTCACCCTGTATCGTAAAACCTGGGAGAATAGAGATATTTTCCCCAGGAAATTACCTAGGAGAGAATACTAGATTACCTAGGAAAGTATAATACAGAAATGGATTACTTTTATACATAGTTTGCCCTATGAAATTTTTGACTCTTGTATTATTTGATAGGTAGATTTAAAGAAAGAACAGAGCAAGTCAACATTTGAACGAGTTTATATGTACAATAATGAGGGCATTCGTATAGACGGCCAATTAGCTAGATCACATCGAATTCCCCAAAAAATACTACTACTACATATCCATTCATTCTTCTATTTCTATACATCCTGAGAAAGAGTCACTGCAATGTCATAATTTCAGTGGTGTTTCCGAGATACCGATGTGTCGTATCCCAACAAGATTTTATTCCTATCCCCCATCACCCTTACTCCCACTCTCCCACCGCTTCACCTCTCTACTGCCCATCCTCACCCGACCCATCCACCACCATCGACGTCCTTATCCCTACCAACCTTTCCATTTCCCTCTCCTTTCTCTTCTTGGTCGCGGCCGCCACCACAGCTGCAACCGCAGCTACAGTTTTTGCTCGCGCTGCTTCGATTTCTTGCGTGTTGGTATTGATGCCCACTGACGCCTGAGCCATATCTTGCTGTCTCTGCATGTTCATGTCAATCTCTATTTCTTTTCTCTCTCCACCGGCACATTCTCCCCCTTTTTCTTAC